GGCTTAAATTAGAGACGCGTCTCAAATATGGGTTGGTTTCACTTAAAATTGTATTTATTGTTTCAATATTTAAGCCAGCGTTCAATTGAAACTGGATTTGAGACGCGGCTTAAATTCATTAAATTCGGACTCTGGTCAATAATGTGGAAGATAACGTAGTTTTTCTCAAAAGTTTTAAATTCTGATAATGTCTCTCTATTATTTCTGAAGCATGGAAATTCGCAATTAATTTTTTTTACAGAGAGAAACCACAAATGAAAATAAACATTCTTCAAAAAACAAAAACAAGAATAACTGATCAATTAATGCATACTATATAAGACTTCAAGGGTACCGGCGTGAATCGGACGTTAATAAAGAGTCCCTTGAAATTATTGGTTTACAGTCCCTTTAGATAAAAAAGGATTTAATATGCTAATATAAAATTATAATGATTTATTAGATACTTGCTGAAGGGCCCGGCGTGGCCCGTGGAAAAAAATTTAATAAAAAATTTAAACTATAATTCATTTTTAGCCTATAACACCCCCCGGCCACCCATGAGTGTCCACAAAAAAGTTAAGCCCATTCGGTCCAGATGTTTGGCTGGCTATATAGGCAACATATATATGAATGTCTTGTTATATTATGTAGATATTTCATATTTGTGCACTGTCTGTAAAGTATTAAATGATACATAATTAAACATTTTGTAATATATCATACAAAAATAGGCATAAACAATAAACATTGATTAATGCTATAAATTGATACCTATATTAAATATTAGATCTCTACCTGTCAAAGCTGACATTGTCTGTCTATTCATGCATATTGCTGTATATGTATTGTTTACTACATGTGTCCCACGAAACTTGACAGTAGCAATACGAATTGAAGGTCGTCTTTGATTTATTTAAATAATTTGTGGCATTAATTTATAAACCTAATTCTAGAGTCAAAAATAATAAAATACCCCTAGTCTTGGTATTTCCAAAATGTGGTCTGCCTTTTTTTGTGTTCTTAATATTACCGTAGATTTTATTGAACATTTTTGAAATCTAATCAAAATTCTTAATATCTCGGGTAACATTAAGGCATAAAAGGCCAAAGTGAATAAATACTAAAGTGGACCAAACTCATAGTTGGATGACGACATTTTATGTCCCAAGTATTTAGAAATATGTATANGATAGATAGATAGATAGATAGATAGATAGATAGATAGATAGATAGATAGATAGATAGATAGATAGATAGATAGATAGATAGATAGATAGATAGATAGATAGATAGATAGATAGATAGATAGATAGATAGATAGATAGATAGATAGATAGATAGATAGATAGATAGATAGATAGATAGATAGATAGATAGATAGATAGATAGATAGATAGATAGATAGATAGATAGATAGATAGATAGATAGATAGATAGATAGATAGATAGATAGATAGATAGATAGATAGATAGATAGATAGATAGATAGATAGATAGATAGATAGATAGATAGATAGATAGATAGATAGATAGATAGATAGATAGATAGATAGATAGATAGATAGATAGATAGATAGATAGATAGATAGATAGATAGATAGATAGATAGATAGATAGATAGATAGATAGATAGATAGATAGATAGATAGATAGATAGATAGATAGATAGATAGATAGATAGATAGATAGATAGATAGATAGATAGATAGATAGATAGATAGATAGATAGATAGATAGATAGATAGATAGATAGATAGATAGATAGATAGATAGATAGATAGATAGATAGATAGATAGATAGATAGATAGATAGATAGATAGATAGATAGATAGATAGATAGATAGATAGATAGATAGATATGTCTATATATTCTAGTTGTTGTGTAAGAGGAGTGGGTGTACTTGGCAAAGAAAACATGAATATTTTGAAGTCTAATGTTCACAATAATATCAAATATAAAGATAGACCCTGAGGGCCTCCCCATCTTAGCAAACCTATTTGTTTGATTTAAAACATTTAAAAATTTGTTTAAAAATATATTCATAAAAATAGAAATTTTATAATAAATTATTTTCCTTTTTTAGTTTTTCATAAAAAGAATATTTAATTTAATTTCTTTTTTGATTAAAAAATGTTTTTACACTTTCCTAAAATTAAGTTCAAAGTTTATTGTTTTGGAACAAAGTAAATTTACGCACAAAGGCCCACGGTCATCCAGTGATCCTACGCAAATCTGTTCTCTCGCCTACGCACATTTTTTCTCTCTGCACAGGTTTATTTAACGAACAATGATAGACGGGCTTTTCAATCTAATAAGATTTTAATTCTATTGAACAATTTGTGCAAATAATCTATCTTTTACCGCATTTGAAGATTTTTAGGCTTTACGTTTCTGTTTTTAACACAGTCATCGTCATATATTAATACAATAAAGACGAATTTCTATTTAAATTATGATTTCTACCAATCTTTCAACAGCATGGATAGTGGATACATATAAAGATAGAAACAAGGAGAAACTGTCAATTAACAACTTCTTCTTGTTTACTTGTACACTGTAATTTTAAGAAAATAATAAAAAAAGACTTAGATAGAAAAGTGTATTGATACAAACGTTGACCACTGTACTAATTTTGGCTTTTGTGGCATTGCTAGTGAGAATTCTTTGAACAAAAATAAATAAAAAATGTGTTTATAAGTTACCAACCAGGGGTCACTCCTGTATGCCGAGTCCATTAGCCCCTGATTCAATCAGGGTTCAGTCATGTGTTTGTTGTCTATTCTAAACCAATAGAAATTGTATGGCGGTAACATCTATCTTTCTATCTATATCTTATCATCCAATAAGAGTTATAAATCCTTATATCGGGGCTATAACAGTAAATGGAAATATTTTCTTAAACTATAGTGGGCATTTCCGATCCACAAGGGTACCCGGCCCTAAAGGTACAAGGGTACCCCTATTAGCTTTGTTTCATAAAGTATGAATAATGAGCAATCCATGTTTTGATTTTTTTTTAAAACTGTTTTATTTTCATTTTCTAGAAATGTGACTTGCGGATTCATTGTTCAAGAAACAAATGAGAAATTATGATAATTAACAACTTTTCAAGTCGTAAAAATGACGTTTTTTCAACATTAATTAATTAATTAATTAATCAGATTATGGTCAGTTACTTTACAGAAGGACATTTTTATCATAAACTTTGAAACGTTTAAAGTTAGAAAAGAAGATTCACCCCAATCGGTTTAGCCGTTTTCATGTTTTTGATTAAATTAAGCAAAATGATGTTGCAATATATTATAATTATCCTTAATTTCCGACAATAAAATCCTGATAGCCTTGATTATCCACTCTTTCTGTTTATTATTCTGCATGCACATACAAACCTAGGCCATTTCAGGCAAATCTTTTTTGCAATGCATGTTTTCAGGCAGTAGCCTTCGGTCTTGGGCCCTGTAAATTTATACAAGCCGCCACGGTCGTATATATAAATTGGAGTATTTAAAATGTTGCTTTAAAGGGACTGTAAGCGTAATTTCAAGTGATCCTCCAAGCAACGGTATACCTGTAATACCTTAATCTAATCAAATGTGTGGGATACTATCGTTTTTCTGACTCGAGAAGTACGTGTGTTTATTTCTCTGAGTTTCTCCGTTGCTTCTTGTAAACAAGAAATGCGCAAGTCACTTTTGCAGAGAAACCGCAAATTAAAATAAGCAGTTCAAAGAATCAAAAACGTTGATATATAATTCATACTGGATCAAACAAAGCTTTCAAGGGTACCGTTGCCATCTTTGCATGGAGGGTCACTTGAAATTACACGTACAGTCCCTTTAATATTATTTTCAATGAATGAACGGCTCATTAGTTTGATGTTTGGTTCACGTCTATTTCCTTCTTTATCAACATATAAGTCTAGCTTTTCCTGTTTTTCACAATTTGATTATAGTATCACGTTTTCTTAACAGATTTAAAACCTTTTTATCTGATGTTCCTTGACTCAATTATGTCATGAACGTCACAAATCGATGTATTGGTATTTGAAGATAAAAGATAGATAGAGAAATACATACATTTACATAGATAAATAGATTGCTATAGATGTATTGATAGACGCGTATTTGAAGATAAAAGATAGATAGAGAGATACATACATTTACATAGATAAATAGATTGCTATAGATGTATTGATAAACGTATTTGAAGATAAAAGATAAATAGAGAGTTACATACATTTAAATAGATAAATAGATTGCTATAGATGTATTGATAGACGCGTATTTGAAGATAAAAGATAGATAGAGAGATACATACATTTACATAGATAAATAGATTGCTATAGATAAATAGATTTAGAAAAATAGTTAATTGGATCTTATGATAAAACTGTCTTTAAAAAAAATGCATCTGTAAAGAATGAAATTAAATGATTATGTACGAAATGGGCTCTCTATGATATGTTAACTATGTAAACTGCAACTGTTTTATCTATCCAGCGTGAAAACTGCAACCGTTTCATCTCTCCAGCGTGAAAAGCTAAATCTGCAGATCTGTATTTAGATCTCTTTAATCTGTAGGCTGTAAACCACAAATATTTAGAGAAAACCAACTTCTGGTTTTCCCGTCATTCTTTACAAATACGCAAACAATTAAAGCGTCATACGTACACAGTACAAAACAACACGAGCAATTACGCAATACGCATTTGTATATTTTTTTCAAAGAACATAGAGGAAGTTTAAATTCATTAAGAGCATATTATGGACTTTAAAAACGTAATAAATGCGCATTTTTTATAAGTATTTGTTATTTATATTTAACTTTTCATGCTGGTTCATTGCTGGATTGTGTGTTTGTTTAATGGCTACAGGATGAAAAAAAACCCAGAGGTGCAGGAAAAAACCTAAATAAAAATATAGAAAGATAAAAAAGAATTGAAGAGAAAAAAAGACAGTTTAAAGAACGAGTGTAAAAGAAAATCCGGAAAATAATTTTTGGAAATCTATGATATTTTTCTATTCCAGGAAAATGCAAAAATGGTTGAATAGAGTGTAGAAGATCTTAAGAGTTAAACATTTTTTTCTGGATTGATGTGAGAGGTAAGCATTTTTAATAATAAAATATATTATGTTGTATCCGGATTTCAACATTTTCTGACATAAAACTTTTCATATTTAGAGAAAGTACGTAATTTTTATGATTTGTGAAGGATTCACGTAGACGTAATTAAAGTTTTTAAACAATCTATTGTTCAGGAACTATTAAAACATGATGCGTGTCTTAAAGATTCAGACGCAAAATTTCATCTTGTTGAGGTTGAGGTTGAGGTTGAGGTTGAGGGTTGAGGTTTGAGGTGCGAAGCTCTTGAAATTCCAGGGTTTCTGCCATGAATTGATTTGATAAGGTCGTGATTCAGACTATTTGCAACTTCGTCCTTTGTACAAAGTGCAGTCCAATACATTGAAATAGATTTGTCGTAGTATATATCCGGGATACAGACAGGGGGATACAGGGGGATACAGGGGATACAGGGGATACAGGGGGATACAGGGGATACAGGGGGATACAGGAGGATACAGGAGGATACAGGAGGATACCAGGGGATACAGGAGGATACAGAGGGATATATGAGGATACAGGGGGATACATGGGGATACAGGGGGATACAGGGGGATACAGAGGGATACATGGGGATACAGGGGGATACAGAGGGATACAGAGGGATACAGGGGCATACAGGGGGATACAGGAGGATACAGGAGGATACGGAGGATACAGGGGGATACAGGGGGATACATCAGGGAAATACAGAGGGATACATATTGAAAAGTGGAGAGGCAAAAAGTAATAATGAATAAACATAATTTAAGTTTCTTTAATTCGTTTCTTGTTTTATTCTATTGATCAATTACGATTTATTTACTTAATTATTGCCTTGTTCTAACTACGAATTGGAAAATTTAAGTATTAACTGTGGGAAAATATGTTGTTAAGTTGATTATAATTTCAAGTTTGTATATTTTTACACCTAGCAGAACAATACCTTCTCATTCATATACTTATGCTTTGTTTTAAGACCATGTCTAAGATTCTTACGTTTATTGAGAAAACAATGGAGGACAATGTTATAGAGACAATCGTCGTACTATTGAATGCCCCTTCGATAAAAAATAAACCTCTGATTTTGCCATGCTAAGTATAGTGCCCCTTTAAACTTTTTTTCGGAGCAAAAATTAGATTTTTTAGAAGTTAATAATGTTCATTTTCGAAGTTTCTTTTGAAAGTGCAGCGTGAGGATTTTTATTACAGAGAACTTTATTTCTTTTCAAGATATCTTACTTATTGTTTCTCAGATAAAGGTTTTACCATTTTAAATCGGTGATGTAACTGATAAATAAATAAAGGGTAACTTGAAATCACAAAGGTCCTTTTAAGTGCAAATAGCGTGTTACTACTTAAGTTTAAATTGCACCATGCGACCGACGGGTTTCCCGACGCTCTAGCACTCTCGTACGTGAAGCGATCCGACTGGCAAGCACATATTTGGAACAGCAGAGAGCCTGCCTATACGCACATGGGGGTCCCACGAAATATGACTGTTGTTGATTCGTTTTGAATGTCTTCTTCCATATATTATATTGGATATTAAAGACTTTTTGCATGGCATTTCGTTAAAAACATCTTTTTCTCAAATATATTTTAATTTGAAATCAATTTTACAATAATATAAATGACATACAATATTTTTCAATATCAATGGTCCCTTTAGCGAATAGCTAGCGTGTTACTACGTGAGTAACCACAAACCCAAAATCTGATGAATAATAATACACTGAATAAAAGGAAAATATCGAGTTCTTTCTAATTCTAGTTCAAATAGTTCAAACTTCAATCTAAAGTATAATTTAGACTTTTTATTTAGTCTTACCTCTATATATTACGTAAAATACTTTAATATTTTAATTCTTAGTTTTCGATTTATTTCTTTAAATATATTGACTATAGAATTTTGTATTTGTAATCTTACTTCTATCTGTTGGGTCTATAAAAAGTGTTTCTAGCGAAAAGGCTAAAGCGTTTTCGCGAAATTTTTTTTTCACGACCTTTTCGCTTCATTTTTGCGAAATTTTGCTTCAAGCTGTTTCGCGAAAAAAGGCGAAAACTTCGCGAAAAAAATAGAAGTTTTGCAAAATAAAAGAAGGAAATTTCGCGAAAAATACAGAACTTTTAACAACAAATGCAAAATTTTAGTGAAAAAGTTGCAAAAATTCACCAAAAAGGCAAAAGTTTTAGAATACAAGACTAATTTCAAAGCAGAGAATTCCACAAGTTCTTTTGAGCAATTAATTGTTGCAGCTAGAACTTATGGTTTTCAGAAAATTTTCGCATTTCGCGAAATTTCACTTCGTTTTCGCTTCATTTATTTTCGCGAAAAAATGCGAAATTTTTTTGCGAAATGTTTCGTTCGCTGGAAACCCATAGTCTATAAGGAGAAAATTGTTAAAAACGACTCATGCTGAAGAATGTAGCGTCCATACAAATTCAGAAAATTTCAATATACAACTCGGATCTTAAAAATCAATTTAATTTCAAACAAATCATTCAGATATTACAACCGAAAATCATCGATTATTTTTCGATACATTCAAATATAGTTAATATTTCAATCTTATTATATATATTTTGTACAGGGTGTCCCACGAAACATGACAGTATGCAAGAGGCCTTGAATGTCGTCTTGATTTTTGATATAATTTGCTGCGTTTATTTGTCAACCTAATTTTAGAAGTAAATTTCTAGAGATAATAATCACAAAATTCCCCTAGTCCTGCCATTTCCGAAATGTGGTCTGCATTTTTGTGCTTTCAATATTGCCCGAGATATGAACAATTTCATTTAGATTTCGACAATTTTGCTTTTATTTTACAAAATTGAAATCTGAACCAAATTCTTTATATCTCCGGTAAATATTGAAAGCACAAAAAACGCAGACCAATTTTTGGAAATCCCAGGGCTAGAGGAATTATGTGATAATTGTTTCAAGAATCATACATGTTAAAGTAGATAGAAGACTAAATGTCACAAATAAATTGAAATATCAAAGACGACTTTCAAGTCGTCTTGCTATTGTCATGTTTCGTGGGACACCCTGTATATAAAACAAATAACAAATATTAAGAATATTATGAGAAAATGCAATTGTGAGCAAGGGCGTGCACATAATGTGGGGGGGGGGGCTATGGGGGCTTAGCCTAACTCCAGGATCAGTATAAAATCTTTGGGTTTCAGGGGATTTTTAGGCCTTAATGGACGCTGACTGGTGAGCTCCCATTCCTCAGAATAAAAAAAATTTTAGAAGGATGAAAAGGGAAGAGTGGAATGTCTGGAAGAAAGTAGAGGGGGGGGGGGGGGGGTTAGGACGGAGAAAAGACGTCTAAAAGTGAAAAATTGTTAGTCCGTGTGTTCACTGTCACTGTCAGTGTCCAGTGTCCAGTGTCTGTATAAGAAGTGTAGAATGATTAAATCCCTGGGAAAACTGAAGAATATAAAACCTTCAAAACTTCTTCTCTTATATACTCACTTTTAACTTGAAGCCTGGAGCAAACATAGATTAGTCACATTAATCAACCGCGGACTAAGCTTCACAGCTACCATGTATATTATACAGGGTTACGCACAAAGGATGAGGCTTCAAAGACGACTGTAGTGAACTTATTCTATCTGTATGTTTATATTTATAATTCCCTGCAACTGTAAACTTTTATCTTTTTTTGCCATATCATTGAACAAGCCGTGAACATACTATATTTTAGGCAAAGGGGGAGGGGCTATATTTCAACTTAGAATTGTCATATTTTAAGAGTTTTCTGTCGTCTTTGCAGTCTAATCTTGTGTTGGTAACCCATTATAATATACATTGTATTGTATGTTACAGGGTTACACATAAAGGATATGACTTCAGAGACGACTGTCCGAACTGCAGACGCAGAGAGGAATTTATTCAGTCTTAATGTTTCTTTTATATGTAAATTTTTTTTTTTGCGAAATCAATAAGTTTACCATTTAAGAACTTTGTTCGTGACAGAAAACTAAATTCAAGGAAACCAGTTGTGGTGCAGGGTTACTCAAAAAGGATGAGACTTTATAAACGACTGTACGGAATTAACACTGGTTGTTTTTCTTTATTCATGATTCCCTGCAACTGTAAACTTGTTTCTTTCTTTGCCCAGTCATTAATAAGCCATAATTAGACCATATTCACAACAGAGTACTTAATTTAACCATGGAAACGCCACATTTAAAGAGTTTCAGGTCGTCTTTACAGTCTTTATATATTTGTGGGTAACCCTGTATGTTGTATAACCCTGTATATTGTATATCCAATCCTGTAGTTTGGTGAAAAAATCGATTTCTTTAAAAACTGCATGGAGAAGTGTAAAATTGTGCTCGAGACCAGAGGCCCCTGTCCTTGTTTTTTCCCTAATTTTCCAGTGGGGGGGTAGTCCCCCTTATTTTTCAGTGGGGACATCCCCTCCTCAATCCTTTTATGTTCACGATATCTTAAAATATATAAAATATCTTAAAATTCTTAAAATAAAATAATTTGATTAAGCTCATTGCGAGGTTTCGTGAGAAAACCATTTTTACTACCTGCTTTTCTATCTATCTATCTCATTGTCTTGTGTAGTAGAGTGTACACTTTCTACACTGTTCTTTTAAAAGTGAAGTGACTAATTCTTTTGTAATTATGGTTTAAACATGTTTAAATCACGAATTGCAAGAAAATAAACTTTATTTAAGACTGGATATGGTGTCATTTAACTTCAGGGATCATATATATGTACCAACCTATAACGACGTTTATTTATTTAATTAGTAAAATTTGATTAAATATTGTTTTATAGTTTTTTGTGTCTTGTTTAGTTTTCCTGTTCATGTTATACGTCATAGTATAGTTCCTGTTCATGATATAGGTCTAGTATAGTTCTTGTTCAAGATGTATGTCTATAATAGTGTTCCTGTTCATGATATATGTCTGGTATGCCTCCTGTTCATATGTCTAGTATAGTTCCTGTTAAGGATGCATGTCTAGTAATAATTCTTATTCATGATGAATGTCTAGTATAGTGTTCATGTTCCGTTCTGTTAATGATATATGTCTGGTATAGTTCCTGTTAATGACATAGGTCTGATATAGTTTCTGTTCATGATATATGTCTAGTATTGTGTACTGTTCATAATGCATGGGTAATTCCTAGTATACGATTTTTGGACCCCCCCCCGCTCCCTGTCTTAACCTAACCTAACCCTAAATAATAAAAAATAAATAATAATAAATTTGCTGAAAATAAGTGGTCATGTACAAAATTGATAGAAGGGAGGGGCCGGGGGGAGGTCCAAAGATCGTTCTCTAGGACATACCCTGATATATATGTAGTATAGTTCCTGTTCATGATATATGTGTAGTATAGTTCCTGTTCATGATATATGTGTAGCATAGTTTCTGTTCATGATATATGTGTAGTATAGTTCCTGTTCATGATATATGTCTAGTAAAGTGTTCCTGTTCATGATATATGTGTAGTATAGTGTTCCTGTTCATGATATATGTGTAGTATAACTCCTGTTCATGATATATGTCTAGTATAATGTTCCTGTTCATGATATATGTCTAATAAAGTGTACTGTTCATGATATATGTCTAGTATAGTGTTTCTGTTCATGATGTATGTCTAGTATAGTGTTCCTGTTCATGATATATGCATAGTGTAGTTCCTGTTCATGATATAGGTCTAGTAAAGTTCCTGTTCATGATATATGTCTAGTATAATGTTCCTGTTCATGATATATGTCTAGTATAGTGTTCCTGTTCATGATATATGCATAGTGTAGTTCCTGTTCATGATATATGTCTAGAATTGTGTTCGTTCCTGTGCAGTGTGCATGGTATATGTCTAGTATAGTTCCTGTTCATGATATCTGTTTAGTATATTGTTCCTGTGCATGGTATATGTCTAGGATAGTTCCTGTTCATGATATCTGTTTAGTATATTGTTCCTGTGCGTGGTATATGTCTAGTATAGTTCCTGCTCATGATATAGGTCTAGTAAAGCTCCTGTTCATGATATATGTATAGTATAGTGTTCCTGTTCATGATATATGTCTAGTATATTGTTCCTGTTTATGATATATGCATAGTGTAGTTCCTGTTTATGATATATGTCTAGAATTGTGTTCGTTCCTGTGCATGTTATATGTCTAGTATAGTTCCTGTTCATGATATCTGTTTAGTATATTGTTCATGTGCATGGTATATGTCTATGATAGTTCCTGTTCATGATATCTGTTTATTATATTGTTCCTGTGCGTGGTATATGTCTAGTATTGTTCCTGTTCATGATATAGGTCTAGTAAAGTTCCTGTTCATGGTATATGTCTAGTATAGTGTTCCGGTTCATTAAATGTGCATAGTATAGTTCCTGTTCTTGATCTATGTATAGTGTTCATGATATATGTATAGTATAGGTCCTGTTCATGGTATCTGTACAGTTAGTTTCTGTTAATGATATTTGTCTAGTTTAGTCCCTGTTCATGATATATTTAAAGTTTAGTTCCTGTTCATGATGAATGTTTAGTTCCTGAATGGCAAATGTCTAGTATAGTTCATGTTCATAAAATAAATGTCTTTATAGTGTTCCTGTTCATGATATATTTCTTGTATTTTTCCTGTTCATGTTATATGTCTAGTATAGTTCCTGTTAATGATATATGTCTAGTATAATGTTCCTGTGCATGGTTTATGTCTAATATAGTTCCTGTTCATGATATATGTCTAGTAGTGTTCCTGTACATGGTATATGTCTGGTATATTTACTGTTTACTGTTTAGGATATATGTCTAGTATAGTTCCTGTTTAGGATATATGTCTAGCATAGTTCCTGTTCAAGTTATCTTTTTTGTAGGATTTATCTTGCGCGTTTATCCCNCGTTTATCTAATTGCGCCTCAAGGGCTATCTTTATTTTGCATTCATTGAAACAGTTTTTACAACATTTAATTAGTTTTTAACTGATAAGCAGTTTATCAGTTTACACAGGCTTCAGCGGGTCCTTTACTTATTTTTTTTTATCAGTTAATCAGTATACATAGACCCTAGCGGGTCCTTTACATAATTAGTCTTTCATCAGTTTATCAGTTTACACAGACCTTACCGGGTCCTTTACTTAATTTGTCTTTCATTAGTTTATCAGTGTACACAGACCTTACCGGGCCCTTCACTTAATTAGTCTTTCATTAGTTTATCAGTTTACACAGACCTTAGCGCGTAGCGGTTCCTTTACTTAGTCTTTTATCAGTTAATCAGTATACACAGACCTTAGCGAGTACTTTTCTTAGTCTTTCATCAGTTTATCATTGTTCACAGACCTTAGAGAGTTCTTTACTTAGTCTTTCATCAGTTTATCAGTTTACACAGATCTTAACGAGTCCTTTACTCAGTCTTTTATACGTTTATTAGTATACACAGACCTAGCGGATACGTTACTAAGTCTTTCATCCGTTTATCATTGTTCACAGACCTTAGCGCGTAGCGGTTCCTTTACTTAGTCTTTTATCAGTTTATCAGTATACACAGACCTTAGCGAGTTCTTTACTTAGTCTTTCATCAGTTTATCAGTTACACAGATCTTAACGAGTCCTTTACTCAGTCTTTTATCAGTTAATCAGTATACACAGACCTTAGCGGGTCCTTTACTTAGTCTTATATCAGTTTATCATTGTTCACAGACCTTAGAGAGTTCTTTACTTAGTCTTTCATCAGTTTATAATTATATTTGAAGTTTTATTCTATTAATAATGCATATACAGTGTTACATTGTTACAGTGTTACAGTGTTACAGTGTACATGCATTATACATTCTGACTTATTAACAACCTCTGATTACACTTCACATATGTTCAACACAAAGGGAATTTGAAAACATTGATTTATTTCAAGAATTTTCTTGATAATTTAACCATTGTTTTCATGATTTTAATGAATATTTATTGTTGATTTCAAATATTAATGTATAGAACAAAGGGGTTATTTGTTTGTTTGTCTGGGTGTTTATTTGTTTGTTTGTGTCCAATAAACGTCAAAGGAAAAAATGTTGGCAATCAATATTTTTCAAAATTCGCCAATTTAAATAGAAAAATCCGCCAACATTTGAGAATTATTTAAAATGGCCACTTACAGCGCTCTGCAGTTTAACACTTTAGTGATAACACTTTTTTTGTTTAACAATTAATTAACAACAAAAAGGTTAAATTCTAAAAACTTAGTCTTTAAATGTTATATGAAATGATTTGGCGTAGAAAAAAATCAACACAACTGCAGGGAACCCCGAATGAAAGAAAGAGGGTTAAATACATTCCGTTTAATTCTCTGATTTCTCCCTGTGTATTTAAAGCGCTCAAACTAAACCTTTTTAATTTAATGTTTTTAATTTATTCCAGTGCTATATATGGTCTCTGAGTGTTAAGATTTATTTGGTAATTGATTTGTATAATCTTTAAATAATTAGTCTTTAATTAGCTTAAGCTTATCAGACATTTGGAATAGATGTCAACATTAAAACTCGTATTTGCTTTCAGATAAGAGCTGTCGTGTGAGTAGTGATAGATCAATACCTAGATCGATTATTTAATTAATCGAAACGAAGTTGGGTGCATATATATAGGCACTGTTTGTCCTGTAGGAAATGATAAGGTGAGTTTGATCTTTTCCATAAGGGAGGGGGGGACCATATCATTATTAAAGGGAAAGTAAGCGTAATTTCAAGTGACCCTCCAAGCTAAGATGGCAATGTCCGATTTACAACGTTATCCTTGAAAGTGTTATCTGATCCAAAAATGTGGAAGACATTGTCGTTTTTCTGACTTGAACAGTGTCCATTCAGATAATTTCTCGATTGCTTTTTATAATCAAGAAATGCGCAAGTCACTTTCGCAGAGAAACCACAAATGAAAATTAACGGGTCAAGGGAACAAAAATATTGATATCTAATTTATACTTGATCAGATTTAAGTTTTAAGGGTTCCGTTATTTACAGGGCATTGCCATCCTTAAAATACGCTTACAGTCCCTTTAATGTTTACCAGAGGGGGCTACAATTCTCTTTCCCTTTAGGTTTTTTTTAAGGGTAAGAAAAAATCCCTTCTTCTCCAGGGTGGGGAAATGACCCTCCAGGAGTTCCCCTTGATTGGGAAATTTAATCCTAACCCTTCAAGACCAGTTTCCGACGAGCATGTTCACTAGAATTAGTTCCCTTTTTACTTTTCAATTTACATTGCTCCGAATATGGTTCATGCTTTTCACTTATTATCATCTCTTAAGCCCCCAATTCCTCCAAAAAAATTAATGACGGGAGGGCGAGAGTGGGTTGGTGTGCCAGGAGGGGGGGGGGGGGATAAGATGCACTTCAAGTAGAAGGGAACTAAATAATTATCAAACTATAGGTTAGGGAGATAATTATTGAATTCTGAGATAAATGTTAAACTAATCAAACATGTTTTATAACAATTAATGTACCGTAGGTGTTGAGAAGTGCATGCATTACTAAGTATTATTTGAATATTTAAATTTTTTCATGTTCTCTGAGTCAAATGATTCTGGTTTCTGTCAGTAGTTAATTGAATGAATTTAGTTAATTTAATTCATTTGTCATCTCGGTGGTTTTTTATATCAAAGCTTTTATTTATCATTTATCCCCCCTCCCTCATAAAAATCGAATTCAGCAAAAACATAGAAGTCATTTATTTTAAATAACAAATAAAATGACGCAATAATCTATTTTTTCAAGATATTTTTTGTTCGACAAGATGGAGATAAAACATTCGTTCATTTAGTTTTTGTATTCTGATCCTATATATTGTAGGAGGTATGGAGGGTAGTACAGGGGGTACTGTAGTTCCCCCAGGTGGTGGGGGAGCTCCTGTATTCTGATCCTATATATTGTAGGAGGTATGGAGGGTAGTACAGGGGTACTGTAGGTCCCCCAGGCGGAGGGGAGCTCCTGTATTCTGATCCTTTATATTGTAGGAGGTATGGAGGGTAGTACAGGGGGTACTGTAGGTCCCCCAGGCGGTGGGGGAGCTCCAGTAGTTAGGAGACTCAGAACACTTAAAAGGAGAAAGGAAGAGAAGGAGAGTAGTAAAAATCAGGTGATTTATTAATCATAAATTAATTTATATTTAGAGAAGGGATTTTAAATAATGATTTATCAACTTTCAGGTCAAATTAGAACGAGTTCTAGGCCTTACTGTTTCCAGTAATGCCAGCCTCGCCACAGCACCATCTTCAGGTAAATTATCCTCGCCACAGCACCATCTTAAGGTAAATGAGCCTCGCCACAGCACCATCTTCAGGTAAATTAGTTTCGCCAAAGCACCATTTTCCGGTAAATTAGCCTCGCCACAGCACCATCTTCGGGTAAAACAGCCTCGCCACAGCACCATCTTCAGGTAAATGAGCCTCGCCACCGCACCATCTTAAGTTAAATTAATCTCGCCACAGCACCTCCTTCAGGCAAACTAGCCTCGCCACAGCAATATTTTTAGGTAAATAAGCCTCGTCACAGCACTATCTTTATGTATCTAAACTAGCCTCGCCACAGTACCTTCTCTATGTAAATTAGCTGAGGAATAAAATCACATGTCTAGATTAAGAACTGGAAAACAATTAAAAATGACTAATATTTTAGGTTTGGTAGCGTACCCTGCAGGATGTACTGTTGTACTGTTTAACCCTCGGAAAAATAAACAGACCCATGTTGGGAATCCTGGAAGGAAGACGATTACAGCTGTTGGATGGTAAGTCTTTGCGCGGTCTTTTTGCCGCACCCGAAAACATTGTTTTTTTCTAATCGACCATTTTCTGTTCATTTTCATCTCTTCCCCTCAAGCTTTATTTCTTTCCCCACTGCACGGTTGAGGGGGGGGGGTCGCTTATTTTACATATATTTCATGCAGAAGTATAAAATAACGATAATGCTTGAAGGAAGATGAATTCTAGATCATAAATCTATTGCATTTAAAATTTGAATTAAATGATGCAAAAGGTTCGCTGAGAGTGGGAAGTGTTAGAGTTTTGATAAAAAAAATTTTCTAGTCCAAGCCACATTCTTCTCATTTTCTCGTCCGAGCCACCTCGAAATATTCGTCTTCATTATTATATTTTTAGTGTCCGGCTCTTTCAAATAAAAATATTTTTTGAAAATCCGGCGACGTGAAGCCATACCACATTAGACACGGTTAGACTAAAATATTGCAAAGTTGTATCATGTTTGAACCTTTAAATCCATGAGAATGATGTCAAACTTTATTTAAGGTAAAATCTCTTCTGCCTGTGTAATGCCGAATTTTTATAATTTATAAGTATATCAATGGATTTTCTTGAACGTTGTCTTTAATCATTCAATATCCAACCATATAAAACCACATTGGGGGTCTTCCACTATCTTTTTTATTTATTTTTTTTTTTTNTTGATGTGCATTAAGCCATAGTTGAAATATTTTCTATTTGTGGAGGGCATTAGAGGTCATTAGAGGTCATTAGAGGTCATTAAAGTTCAATTTGATTTTATTATAGGAATTTCGAACCCTAATTAGGCGTGCATCCAAAAAATTGGAAGATTTGAACCAAAAATGAAGGCAGGGCCACCCCCCCCCCCCCTACATCAAATGTGCCAACTCCACCATCCCCTTTATTGATCTCGTACTAAATCACTATTGCCTGTCACAAGAATTTATCCAAGTAGATGATAATGTGGAATTTAAATTATTTAAATCATTTGCTACAATTTACTCATGACAACCCTATGAATTCAAACAGTATTTTTATCTGTAATCCAAATTTAAAATTTTTATTTAAAGAAGTAGAAGAATATCAGCGAAGATTGTCGCCATAATAGTGGTCAGAATGTGTTGCGGCAATACTGAAGCTCATTCTTTCAGCAGTTTGCTGCTCAAGTGGAGGCAGGTCTGCCACTACAATTTCTCGTCCGAGCCACATACTCCTCATTTTCTCGTCCGACATACCTCAAAATTCTCGTTCTTACCCATTGATAGAGATGCTTATTTGTAGAACATAGTTTACAAAGGATATTTATGTTTTCACATTTTTAAAGTTTGTCAGGTAAAATTTAATGTATTATTTTTTCCCTAACATGGCCAGATTTTTGTCTGCAAGGGTTGGACTTTCAAAAAAGATATTATTGGAAGGACTAGGATTTTGAGGTGGCTCTTACGAAAAAATGAGGAGAATGTGGCTCAGACTAGAAATTGTTGCAGTTGGCCTTCCTCCCCTCGTTGCCCTACCCATCATTTTTAACGCTAAAACCCTACTTCTCTGCAAAAAAATCTATAAAAACACAATTTAAGTTTAAAAGTATGATTAAAAACAAGATGTTTTAAAAATATTTTTACTATTTTTTATTTCATGTTATCATCTTTTAACAAGAATTTTTTGAATCCAGTTACTTCCTGTCTCGATTTATGTAAATTGTTTAAAATTGTGGCCTGAGGCCTGAATCTATCAATCAATATATCTGAGTAAGGTTTCAAATATGGATAAAATAATTCAATATTTTATCCATTTCAACCAACCTCTTAGGCTGGTTTTAACTCTTCAGCATAAAATATCATTTACATCTTCACACTTGAAAATAATTAAAGCAAACATTTGTTAAATTTGTTAAATTTGTCAATATTTCTCGTTTTAAGGGGACTGTCAGAGGAATTTCAATTGGCCCATGGGAGTTGACTAAAAGTGATTGTTAACTAAAATTTACTAAAAATTACTGTCAATATTCTAAAGCAAAAATTTGTCAATATTTCTCGTTTTAAGGGGACTGTCAGCGGAATTTCAAATGGCCCGTGGGAGAATTAACTAAAAACGACTGTCAATATTCCAAAGCAAAAATTGAAAATTACATGATTTGTCATATTATTATTATTATTTATGTATTTAAGTCTAAAAGGTGTAAGATATCCGTTAGAACATTGTTATCTAGGTTTAAAAAGGCATATTTTCTACTTTGTCACTTTAAAGGTCACAAGAAGCTGCACAACATTCTTTAGGATTTGGTATGAAGTAAACAACGTTGTGGTTTTAGGGAGAGAATTTTATATTTACATCGAGTTTATACTTTATCAAGCAATGTTTTCCAAATATTGTTGTCAAGTTGTTAAATAGGTATATTAGTAAGATTAGCATGATGACAGTCAAGTTTTTTTCTTCAATTTAACCCTACTTCAGACTTGTCACTGTATCTTGTATACATAATAAAGTACAGGGTGTCCAAAAAAGTCTCCGCGGGACAAAACTAATTTAATCATGATTTTTTTTACCCACCTGTAATATCCAATAAGTACCAATTCTATAATTGATACGTTAAACAATTGAACCAAATCAAAAGAGTTGAAAGGTTTTTTTTTGCGACACCTTTTTCATCAGCAAACCCTTCAGATATTTAAAAGATTTTAACGAATAAGATTTTTAAGAAGCTTGACTGAACTTTATTTGAAACTTTTATAAACTCAAATATATCTATCAAGGAATTCAGACGGCTCTTTACCAGGGGCATTTTATAATGTTCATTCCAGAGATCACCAATCCCCCTCCCCGTTTGTTAGTTTACACTGTAATGTACGTACTGCTTACATGGTGAAACAGTAGTGTACAGCGTGCATCTTAAAACTGTATTGTACACTGTACATTTTATAAATGTAGTGTACACTGTACTGTACAGTGAAGTATAGTGTATAGTGTATAGTGTATAGTGTACAGTGAGTGTACAGTGTACAGTGTACAGTGTACAGTGTACAGTGTACAGTGCAGAGTGCACAGTGCACATTGTAAGTGTACAGTGTATAGTGTATAGTATAAGTGTATAATGTATAGTCTATAGTGTTCAGTGTACAGTGTAGTCTATAGTGTACAGTGTATAGCGTACAGCGTACAGTGTACAGTGTACAGTGTACAGTGTACAGTGTACAGTGTACAGTGTACAGTGCACAGTGCACAGTGCACAGTGCACAGTGCACAGTGCACAGTGCACAGTGCATAGTGTATAGTGTATTGTGTATTGTGTATAGTGTATTGTGTAAAGTGTACAGTGTACACCCCTGTCTGCTGTTTCATTCAGATAATAGTTCTATCTTGCCTGAACCAGGCACTAAGAGCTTGGTCCAGGGGTCTAGGGGTCAAATACTTAGGGTCAAGATATCAACCAGTTAGGCCTAGTCTATAAATATATATAGTACTAGGCTTTCAGGGCGCTTTGCGCCCATTTTCTATTTCAATTGTGTAAATTTTCTAAAATTTTAAAAAATAATTTCCTGGCTTTTCAAAATTTAATGAAAATCGAATTTTGTTGAGGCATTTTTTTTTAAATTTTGATTATTCATAAACATTCCCTTATCTCTCATTGTTGGTCAAATTTTGAGATTTAAACAAGATATCTGTTGATTCTTTTCCACCCGGCCATTTAAAATATATTTCTCTATTTTTGAATCAAATTATAAATAGGTTTCTGACTTTTCCATTGAGAAATAATGATTTAAAAAAGGTGGTAGGGATTCACAAAAAAATAAAATATTTCTTAATTCCAACATCTAATATTTATTGCTGTAGTCTCTGTTTGTTTGTTTGTTTGTCCGATCATAACTAAGGAACTCCTGGACCAATTTGGCACAAATTTGACAGGAGAACTGGAGAGATCCACGGGAAAGTTCTTAGTTTGGTTTTTGAGATTCTAAGTATAGTGGGTCTACTTTAACGAGAAAAATAGCTAAATTCCTAATTTCTGACAAATGGCGGGTAAAAAGTGGGAATTACTAGGACTCCCCTGGTCAACGCCGGGTTCCTAAGCTAGTTCTTAATATTGTATTCTTTAGGAGTGAGGACGGAAGATATCTTGTAACCGGAGAATGCGGTCATCTTCCCAGTGTCAGGGTCTGGGACAACCAGGAGAAACAGTTCGTTGGAGAGTTCCAGGGACATAAGGTAATACAGGGGTATAAAGTAATACAGGAGAGTAAAATGTAAAATGTAAAATAGATTAGTTCTAGGGTATACACAGGAGTTCCAGGGACACGAACAGATACAGGGACATAAAGTAACCAATAAAAAGCATAAGAATCATTACGCATTTTTCTCTTTTCAAAGCGTAATATTCCGAATTTAAGTTTTGCATTGCTGATTGTAGGGTTTCATGTTTCTACGCTGTTTGTTTTTATTTTTATCTGTGCATCTGTATTAAGCTATTTTTATCTTTATTAACATGAAGCGCTCTGTATTTATTCTTTAAAGTGTTCTCCAACAGTTGCATGAGAGAACCACGAAGCCGGTTATAACCTATATTTGCAAAAAAAAGTTTAAAAGATTCTAGTAATTTTCAATTAAATCTGTATTGCGTGCAGAGTAGGCGAGCTAATATGTATGCTAGGAAGGTAGTTTACCCCCGGTCAGTAATAAAGTGTTTAACTCTCTTCCTAGTTTACTGGAATATGTATGCTAGGAGGGTAGTTTACCCCCGGTCAATAATAAAGTGTTTAACTCTCTTCCTAGTTTACTGGAATATGTAGACTAGGAAGGTAGTTTACCCCCGGTCAATAATAAAGTGTTTAACTCTCTTCCTTTTTTACTATCCTATGGTAACTTGGAAGTGTTGTGAATAGTAAAGGCCTTTTTAATTTTTTTTCATTTTGCTAAGAAACAGATTATTTTTCATTTCCCCTGTTTTTGCCATGTCAATTTTTGTATTTACACCCTTGAGTTAAGCTTATAATTATATACCAGGGTGTTATTGGATTTGTGGGTCATGTCGTCATTATTAAATAATTAAAAATCAAAAAAAATTGTTTTAATATTTATTTTGTTGCTTTCAATTAAAAATCTAGGGGGGTGGGGGTGATTTTTAAGAACCTTTTGGGAAATAAATTCTCAAAAAAATGTTTCCCCTGGTACAGTAAATATTATTAAACTCCAAGTGAGCATAACGTGTTTACAACTAATAACCATGTATCCTTAGTATGGAATCAACTGTGTGGCCTTTGCTCCCAACAACAAATACATTGTCTCGGTAAGTTTAAACACATCCTGTAGATGTATTTATATATACAGGGGGGTTAAAACAATTCTCAACCTTATAAGCTAGGTTTTTGTTGATTTTCAAGTTGTTTTTTACTCAAAGCATTTACAATCTAACTAATATTTTCAAGAACTTATGAATGTTAATCCAAATTTTTATTAAAAAAAAATTGTTTTGCCATTGGAAGTCAGCGCGGCGCGCGCAAAATTACTCCAATACTACTGTTTTAGTCAACAGTTTAGAGTTCTAATATAAAGTTTAAATTTGCACACCCTGTAACAATATTTATCTTCTTAATTATATCTAACTGTAAGGATTAATCTAGCAACTTCCTTTATTTACAAAACACATCCTTCTACCCCATTAGTATTGATAATTTATCACCTTTTTTATAATTGATAATTTATCGTATTGAAGGGATGTTACTTTGCTGTCTCTTGGGTTCTTTAAAAGAGATTGTTAACATAATTTCAATCGCTAATCGTGTTGAATTCTGTTTCTTTTTATCTTTGTTGCATAAATTATGCAATTAAGTGTTTAAACATTTACTGTCAAATTTTTTTTTGAATTTGAATATCTTATTGGATCCTTTAGATCTTATCTTTTACAGGTCGTTTAAACTAGATTAAACATTTTATGATTTTACTGCTAATATAATTATTTCAACCATTATTATCGTTATTATCATCATAGTTATAATCATCCATATCATAATTTTAGTCATTATTTACACTATAATTATCAGACACGTTTTAATTTTTGTTTTTATTAGAATCATTGTTATTAGGAAATTTCTTCATTATATACATTTGTTGGATCATCAGTAATTGGATATTTATGATGCTAACTAGGATAATGATGATAAAAATGATAATGATAACTCTATATTTAATAATCTATCTATTAGGTCGGATCCCAGCATGATATGATAGTGAATGTCTGGGACTGGAGAAATAACATTAAGGAAAATAAATCTTTCTATTCAAATTTAATAGATTTTATTTTAAACAACTTGGTAAGATTACATAATCGACTTTAAAGGCTTGTCTGCTTGTATCGAGTAGACGTTAAGTTGGCTGAACCGATTATGCCATTTTTTGGGGGGAAACTTATGACACAATGAAACATTTATGGACCATCAAAGATTTTTCCCCCCAAAAATGACATTTAAAAATTTTAAGCAGAAAAACCCCGCGAAAATTTGAAGCCGATTTCATATTTAAAAGTGAAAAGATAAAATTGTTAATAGGAAAGGGGTCGCGAAGCTCCATAAAAGCCTAGTTAGATAAATCTACCGTTGTTAAACTTTTTATAGATCTTTTTAACTTTTTAAAATACATCTTTATTTTAATATCATGATTTAGAAGCTTTTTTGTGCTTCCATCTTTTTCGCATTGGGTCAAAGAAACAGCTTCGATATTTTCTTGAAATAAATTAATCTGTGTTATGGCTTTCAACATCTTTCGGCTTGAATTATGCCTTAAAATTTCCGGAAGAAATCAACGTTTTTTTCTTTTATCCTTTCGATATAAGATTTGGTTTACTAGGTGGCCAGTAACAAGGTGTCAACAAAGGTGAAAGCAATTAGTTTTGCCGAGAATGGTTCATATTTTGTCACAGCTGGGAATAGGTGAATATATTCTCGTATTTTATTATCAAATAGTAAATTATAAAAATTGTATACCTGGAAAAATCAAATATGTAAATAACTATGTTCTTTTTTGTTTAATATAACATGAAGATGACCCATTAAAACAGTTTTCAGCATAGCTAATCCTTTAAAACGTGAAAAATGTGTTCCGGTGTACAACTTTAAGCTTTGTATGGAATGGTTATTAAGTAAATTTTCGAAAATTCAACGTTAAAAGGAAGAGTCGGACGCACAGTTACTTAAACAACCCCTTCCCTAAGGGGGGGGGGCCACAAAACGTATTACTCTCCGGAAAATTTAAACAGTGGTTAAACATAACTTAGAATTGTCGTAGGAGGCTGATTTTTTGCTGACTGGCAAGCACATTTTAGAACAGCAGAGAGCCTTAGTATATATATAGTTTATTTATAAGTAAATAAATTTAAAATGAATTAAATATACTAATAGGGGGGCTGATAATCAAGTATAAAAATACCTCATTTAATTACGGTTAAGACCTTCAGTAAAGAGTATAAAAGTAAACAGAGTGCTCAGGATTATGTATACTCGAGACATCTGATTGCAAAACTGGGAACTCTGTTAACTCTTTGTACTCTGTGTTCGTCTGTAATATTCTTGTGTAAATACAAATTAGAACTCTCTTCCCGGAAGTTCTTTGTTCATCCTAATAATTTTAGATTTTGCTTTATTATTCAAATCTAACTGTTAACTAGTGAATGGTTGAATAGTTAATTGCATAATATTTGATAAGTTTGTCAGTGCTAGATATTGTATATGTGTTACAGTAAAGAATAAGTGTTTTTATTTTATTGAAAATAATTTTTTCCCCCAAGATGAAAGGTATGTTTGACCAAACAGTTACAAATCTTTTAAAAAGATTTATTCTCTGAGTCCGGGATTTTAATTAATTTTTATTAAAACATAAAAAAATAAATAAATGCTGATATAATAGTTTAATAAAAATAAAATTTTTTATCATATTCACAAAACATGTTAATATTAATTTTTGAATAACTTTATTTTTTAGGCATGTTAAATTTTGGTATCTTGAGTACAGCAGATCTGCAAAATACAAGGAACCTGTTCCTCTCATGGGAAGGTATTGTGTATTGTGCTGTATTTTAGTTCACTGCACTGCGGTACTGTACTGTAATGTACTGTGCTGTACTTTTCTTTGCTTTACTGTAATGTTCTGTACTGTTCTGTTCTGTTCTGTACTGTGCTGTACTGTACTGTACTGTACTGTACTGTTCTGTACTGTACTGTACTGTACTGTACTGTACTGTACTGTACTGTACTGTACTGTTCTGTACTGTACTGTACTGTACTGTACTGTACTGTACTGTACTGTACTGTACTGTTCTGTACTGTACTGTACTGTACTGTACAGTGATTTACTGTAATGTACTGCACTGCACTGCACTGCACTGCACTACATCGTACAGTACTGTACTGTGCTGTTCATTATAAAAAAAAGTTGTATGGATGAGTGCATAATCCAAGAAATTGTGTGGATGAGAACTTACTATCATGTTCTCTGCAGATTGATTAAAACTTCGTTTACTTTCACTACTTATTTAGTAATTCCTGGTATTTCTAGTTCACCTTTAAACATTCATTCATTGCATTATTTTCCTTCTTATTTAGCCCCCTTTTGATAATTTCTCTTTCCATAGAGTTATTCAAACGTAATAATCTTAGTATTTATTTTAATCGCATTTTTATTATTTTTTTTCTAGATACCTAGATACCATGCCTATTCTTTATTCCATATTTTTATTTTTAACCGCAATTTGGTTAACATTACATACCTATGATTCTCCTGACAGATGGACGTTAAGTTACTTAACGTCCTTTGGGACAATTTAGTAAAATAACGAGCCTATCTGCGATATTTTGTATAATATATTTGCGCGTTTTCATCTGAAATGACGATAAAATAGTGTACAACTACTTTTTCTAGAGATTAAAATTTATACTTAACCGTCACGGAATTTCTCAACAAACTTTGGCAAGCAAAATGTCCCTAATTTCCCTGTTAATTAGTTGTACATAATTAATTATAAGGTGCGTCCTTTCTTATATTAACATGTTAATATTAATTAACATTATTTTCCTTCTTTATATTAATATTTCTTGATTAATCTCTTCTTCATCACATCCATACACATTGCCACATACGTTTATTGTAATTTCATGTTATTATTAATTATCTTGATTCACGGTATTTGTAGCTTCTCTTGCTTCCTTTCTCTGTATTTATATTTTAAATACGTCCTTTATATATATTGATCATTACATGGTATTTATAGTTTACTCTTTCATTCATTCATCATTATATTCTATAATCTCTTCTTCCACAAATTCACGTATTATCATTATTATCATAGCATTCATTGTGGACATTATTTGGTTCTTCGTATCTTGGTTCCTAGTTTTCCTAGAACCTCAATATTTACAGTTCTAATCTTTCTTTCAGTCCTTATAAATATCAGGCTAAAAGGAAAAATAAAATTTTGTTAAAAAATGGCGTTTATTTTTAACTATTTAGTTCTATATCCACCTTTTTGAAGCTATCAAGAGCTTAATCTTTAAAAAATAGCTGTCTAATGAGTTTGTTACATTGAGACGTAGTTCAAGTAATCTTTTTTTTTCCTTTTTTTCATGTATCTTCTGCCAGAGTCAATATTTGACATGGTAGAAGAAAAGCAAATGCTTAGAATGAATAAGTTTGAAATTTTTCGTTTTTTAACACACAGTGCCAAATTTTGATCCTGAAAGCACATTTGACGGGTATTCAAAATATCGGTAAAAAGAAGGAAACAAAAAAGCCATCTTAAAGGCAGTTTAAACTGCACCCTGCGACCGACGGGTTTCCCGACGCTTTAGCACCCTCGTACGTGAAGCGATCCGACTGGCAAGCACATTTTAGAACAGCAGAGAGCCTTAGTATATATATAGTTTATTTATAAGTAAATAAATTTAAAATGAATTAAATATACTAATAATTTCTATTTTAGGTCTGCTATACTGGGTGAGCAGAGGAATAACTATTTCTGTGATGTTGCATGTGGAAGAGGGGAGATGGTAAGTTTATTGCAATAATTTCATCATTTAAAGGGACTGTCAGCTTAATTTCAAGTTTCTATGCAGGAGTGGCACTACCCGATTCAAAAGTACCCTAGAAAACCGTTACCTGTTCAATAATGTGAAAGATATTGTCTTTTTTTTAAGGTTTTAAAGTGTTTAATTCTGATAATGATCCAAAATGATTTCCTGCAGTAGAAATGCGCAAGTCACTGAGAAACCACAATTTAAAATAATTTATTTTCAAAATTATAAACATTGATGTCAAATTCATACTTGATTAGGGTATCGGGCATTGCTGGATCCCGTGATTCACATCACGGAAGCTCCGATTTTAGCTGAGCCTTCAAGAGGTTTTCTGAAATAAAAAAGTAAAAAGATTTCCATCCCACCTGCCTTTCAATGAATACTGAATTTATGAATTTTGTAGAATTGTGCAATGTGTGCACTCAGGTCCGTTGTGTCGAGTTGGGTTTTATTCCTCTTAACTAATTTCAAGCCATGATTGGGGTTTCCGTATTCCTGACATTCACTTCCTCTAGTTCACTTCCTTTCAACATGGTATTATACAGTTATTGTTTGTTTTAAATAACTGTAAAACCTGTTTTTTTCAAATATTTGGATAATGGGCGAATTGAACTTTTTCGCCAACAGAATTGTATTTAGTCTAAAATATTTAAATATAAAAATGTTTTCAAAGATTGAATATTTTTCGAGTGTAATGAGAACTTATTTTCACCACAGAAGTTTTAATCATTTTGTTGATAAAACCGAGGTATTAATTCCCCCCCCCCCCCCCCCCCCCATCCGGCCGTGATAGCAAATTATAATTTATCACCTTTAATATGTTATTTCAAAGTTCAAAATTATCATATTTTTAATTTGAATTTTGTAGATATTTTAGAATCAAAATAATATAATAATAATAATATATAATAATCATATAATCATATAATATAATCATCTATTTAGTAGTATCTGAATATATAAAGATGTAATCTCTGTTTGTTTGTCCGATTTTAACTTATGAACCCCGATTTGCCTCAAATTTTAATTGGGGAACCCGGAAGAACCACGGGGATGTTCTTAGCTCGGTTTTAATAAACTAAGTTGCGTGGGTCCACTTTAGTTTGAAAAAATAGCTAAAATCGTAATTTACGACAAAACGGCGGTAAACGGCGGGAGTAACTATGAGTATCCCAGGCAACTCCGGGCACTTAAGTTATTGTACAATACACAAATTTCCGAAACTATGAACATAACTCTGCCTGTCTTTTTGGTCAAAAACATTCCTAAAAAACAGATTGTTCAGAGATATTAGCTAAGTTTTGATCTTTAGTTTATTTTGATAATTGTGAAGAATCCCTGTAATGAATATATCTATCTAACAGGGAGACTCTACCTACGCTATAACTAAATCTGGATTACTCTGTGAGTTTAATAATAGAAGATTACTCGACAAATGGGTTGAACTCAGAACTACCAGGTTTTTATTTTATTCATTTTCAAATTTTGAAAAATTTTCTTCATCTTTTTCTTTTTAATCATTTAATTCATTTAATTCATTTAATTCATTTAATTCATTTTATTCTATTCATTCTATTCATTCTATTCATTCTATTCATTCTATAAGTTAATTCATTTTATGTAAGTTTCTTTTTTCCATCAAATTGATTTTGTGAAATACGTTGCTTTTAATTTAAGAAGTTAAAGTTCCAATGTGTTAAGAAATCGTATTTTTTTTAACGTAAAATCTAAAATTATAAATTTTTTCTGAATAAACGGTGGAAATAAGTATCTGAAATTGACTGTAACCTTGTAGTTAATGCCCTACTCTATAAGAGTCTCTCAGACCCGGATCAATCCAAGCACAACTCAATCCCTCTTATCGGTCTACGTGGCACCAGTGCAAATCAGTTCAACAACTTTTCACTATCAATGTCAATACGGACACGATCTCGTAAACTATCAATGCCAAACACATTACAAAGCATAATTTTTGAAAAATATATTTATTCAGAATTGTTCTTTTTCCTGTATTGATATAATTTTTTTTGACTTAAAATAAGCCTTCAGTGGAAATTTAAATTATTATTAATAAACTTTGGGAAAAAAGTTTTAAAATCGACGTTTGCCTAAATTTTTGTGAAAGATAAAATTGTTAGAAATTGTTCGTTTTTTCTGATATTGATTGACATTTAAACAATGTTTGAATGTTTCAGTGCTAATTGTCTGTCTGTTGGCGAAGAGCTGATATTTATTGGTTGCGCAGACGGAATTGTCAGATGCTTCTCACCACATTCACTACAGGTAAACTCATGTACAAATGCACAAAATGTACAAAATACACACAATGTACAAAGTATACATAACGTACAAAACATTTCTCTTATTAACTATGTTACATGCTGCAAGCTGGAAAAAAATAAAGTCTTTCTAATCCCTTTATCTTAGAAATTTGAATTTTGCTGTTAAAAATCTTAAATATTCTATATTTAGACTATTTAATCTAACAGAATTCCTAGTTTGAAATATCTAAGGCCTACGACATTGGGTTGCAAAGATTTAGGGATTAGAAATTCAGCGTTTGTGGCAAAAACTCTTACAAAATATTTCCCCATATTTGATGAATATGTATGGGTAAAGATACTTGCAACCTTAAAATAAATGATGTGCTTGGTTTGAAATGTTTTGTTGTCAGATTATTTTGATCAATGTTTCTTATTTTGAGCAGTTATCAGATTTTAATACAGACATCAAAACGCAAACTACAGCAGATTATTTTAATAAGATTGTCAACAGGTCTTCATTAATATAATTTGAGACATGTGTACAGTCCTACTGTAGACATGTACAGTAGTGTGTTTAGTCTTGGTATAGGTTGTACAGCTCATCATACATTAACCAAACTTATGAGAAGTCTTTGCCGCAAACTGTGAACTTCTAATCTCAATATCTTTGCAACCTTATGTCGCGACCTCAGAGATTTAAATTCTTATACTCTGTTTGATCAAATAATCTTGTATAAAAATATATTTGGTTTACACCAATTGGTTATATATGGATTACAAAATTGAGTTTGTGACAAAGACTCAATTCCTTTATTTCTCTGTTAATGAAATAAATATATTTCTGAATCTTGATACAGGCGGAAGATAGAAAAATGAAATCTCTTGTTTAAAACTTTTTGTAACTTATTGTTAAACATTTATTCCTCTTCTAAATATTCTAAGCTTTTTCATTTTCATTTTTAAGTATACAGTACATCAGTAAATCAAATAAATAAGGGGTTGATTTATTTGTACTCTACTGTTTTGCCTGATGTAGCTGCTCTAGCTGATGAAAGTTGGCCCAATACTTAAAATATAATCTTTTTATTAATTTAGTTTGTGACAACCCTTCCTACAACCCATTACCTTGGGGTAGATGTCTCTAAAGGTTTAACCAGCTCTCATATGGCTAGCCATCCACAGGTTTGCTTAATTATTCGACTTACTTACAGAGCGGTCCGTATCATATTGGATTATCTCCAAGCTTTAAGGCCAAAAACGCACAAAATACTCGAAAAAACTAGTATTTTCTGCATACAAATTTTTTATTAGCTTTCTAAAACTTTAAATATGATTTAATTATTCTTTTAAAAGGGGACGGTTGAGATATCCTATTTGATGATGGGGGGGGGGGGGTCCATGCCTTCAGTTTTGGTTCAAATCATCAAGTGCTCGAAGTTGCTAAAATAAAACAAAATTGAACTTTAATGACCATTAATGACCTCTAACATGACCTCTGAGGACCTTGACGAATAGAAAATGTTTCAACTATAACTTTATACATATCAAACTAAAGCTAGGAACCCAGGGAATACAGTAGCAGCAACGAATCCAGTTTTTGACCTTCTAATGACCTCTAACGACCTAGAATGACCTAAAATTACCTCCAAATTAAAAATGTGAAACTAAGCCTTTATTTTAAAGTTTTAACGATTTAATTTGATGTGGGACACCCTGTATAGTGTATAGAAATGCTGAAAACAGTTTTTCCTTCTAATCATTAAAAGACCTCATTTCTGTATAGCTTGATAATCTTTAATAATACTCCTTATCAAATCTTATCTTTTTTTTTTAGTCACTAAATAATACTTTACACTTAAATTTTTTTGTATCAATTTGGAGTTTAAAAAGAGAGTGTCTCACTTTAAAAAGGCCATGGAAACCCAAATTAAATTTATACCCTAATAATTAATATGTTTATTAAAGGGACTGTAACTGTAAATCCAAGTGACCCTCCATTCAAAGATGGTGATGCCCGAATCACAACTTGAATATAATAAATAATGTGGAAGATATTATCGTTTTCTACCTTAAAGTGTTTATTTCTTACAATTTCTATATTTTTCCTGTAGCAGAAATGCGCAAGTCACTTAAGTAGAGAAACCACAAATGAAAAGAATCTGTTTTCAATGTTATACACATTGATATCTTATTCATACTTGATCAGACAAAGCTTTTAAGCGTGCTGTTGTAAATCTGGCATTGCCATCTTTGCATGAATGATCACTTGAAGATACGCTTACAGTCCCTTTAAATATATTTTTTATTTTTTAGAATGCCTTATATCCTGATGCGAGTGCTGTAAGCTACGATGAGCAGAATGGTCGTGTCTCTGTAGTGTACAACGACCACTCTCTGTATATCTGGGATGTCAAGGACGTTAGAAAAGTTGGGAAAAGTCATTCTTTCCTCTACCATTCAGCTTGCATCTGGGGACTAGAGGTAAACTAAACACCATATAAAAAAAAGATATTAAAAAATATTTCCTCGATTAGTAGGATTTTTATTTTTAAATGGTTTTTAACTCATTCGAAAATTGTATAAAATGCCCACGAGGAATCCAACACATCCTATTTCAGAGATGTCCCTTAAAATTACAAAAATATTTTCTTCAAAATCAAAAAGGAAGTTTTTTGAATATAATCCATTTAATACTGCCTCTTTTCCTTGGCTGAACAAGAATGAGAATGATGAGAATGCTTAGCTTGAAAAATTTTAAAATTCGAAATTAAAAAATGCTTGTTCTCTTTAAAATGTAATTATTAAAAATGGAGGATAATAAACATGTATTAAGATGTACCCTGCCAACATTGGTGATGGTAAGAAGGCTGTCCTTCCTGCTGGTAGTTTTATAACCTGTGGCAGTGATGATACAATCAGAATATGGAATATGGATTCTGGACTACCCACAAATACACTCTACAGGTAGGGATTTGCTTTCAGTTGGTTCGTTTTTTTTCGCTTTTTTCAGTGTTAACATTTTGCATAATGTAAGAGTAGCAAATATTTTTAAATCTTTTATTTTTAACATTTCCTATTCTTAACTCGTGTCAAATTTTGACCCAGGCCGAGGAAACATGCAAAAAACGACCCCAAAACTCGTGTCAAATTTTGACCCAGGCCGAGGAAACATGCTAAAAACGACTCCAAAACTCGTGTCAAATTTTGACCCAGGCCGAGGAAACATGCTAAAAACTACCCCAAAACGATAGTTTTAGGACCGTTCTTCCAGTTATTTAGGATATTAAGATATTGCTAAGTTTAATAAAAGCAAACATAATAACGTTTGCAAATATTGGAACTTTAATTTAAGTTTTTCTAAAAAGGATTTAAAACGATAGACAACACTATCTACAGGTACCATTTTAAGAAATCATTAATAGTCCCTTTAAAATACAGAAAAAATATTCCGTTCACCTTACTACTTTCCACCAATACGGCATGAGAAACATTTAAAAGTATTTTTTCCATCAAAAAATGAATGCAGGGGGGAAAAGTGTCGTAAAACTGTAAAACTGCTTGCAAGTTCATCAGCCATATTTTCTCTTTCAAAACTATTTCGATGAATTTTATTTTATTTATGACTTTATAACCACCCAGCCTTCATTCTTTAAGATTAGATTAAAACAACTGTTTGAAACCGTTGTCAAAATTCAATTAATTGATTAATCTTACTTCAATTAAAAGTTTATTTTATGGATTGTTTTTTATTACTTTCAAAATATAGATTGTTGATAGTTATATCTTGCATTTTTAGAAGAAATATATATCCTAGCCATCATTCTTTCAGATTGAATCAAAACAACTTTTTGTCAAATCCGAATTATTTCGTTAATCTGTTTTTCTTAGATTTTCAAATTATTGAATATTTAGGATAATCTTTGAGATTCAATCAAAACAACTTTTTGAAAAAGTCGCCAAATCCAATCAATTATTTAAACCCATTTCGATTAAAAGCTTTCAAAAAAATAATGATAATCATGTAATTTTAGAAGAAATATATACAGTGAAGAACTACTGAAAACTATGTACATAGATCCAGCACTGGGCTTTATAAAGGTAAACATTTCTGTTAAAGATTACTTTGGACAAAAAAAATTGGAATGTTGTTTTCACATGTTTTTTTTGGTGTAAAATATGTTTTTTTTTATTTTGCCGATTGATCTTATCAACATGCCTTAGTTAATTTTTTTGGACATTTATTTTTTATTTTTTACAATTAGCATTCAACTTTGGAGCATGGTTATACTGGTTGGAGGAATTGCAACAAAAAGAAAATAATTATTTATTTTACGGGACAATCCATTTTTTTAAGTGTCCGATCCACAACGTTACCCTTTAAAGTTTTTTATTAAAAATGTGTGAAATATCCTTTTTTCCAAAAAAACAAAATGATATTTTTATTTGTGGATTTATGTTGCAGGTTGACGATGAAGAAATTGTAGGAATTAAATGCTTTAAATATAAAAGCGAAATTATCTTCTTCAATGTTTTTTCCGATAGAGGGATTGGATATGACCCGACTCATAAAATTGACAGTCAATTGAGAGTACGTGTAGAGTCCCTAGAATATTACTGTTTGTTAGGAGGCTGATAACTCCCTGTCCTCTGGTGAGAAGGATACTGTATATGACCAGAGGAATGGTGTACGCTGTATCAGGATTAGTCCTAATGGGAAACATCTAGCTAGTGGTGACAGGGCCGGTAATATTAGGTAATATTTTGTAATATTTCGAGGATTTTATCTAGTTTGCTTCCCGCATTTCCATTTTAATTAAATTCATTCAAAATTTGTTTTCGAATATGCTTGTGCTTTTTATCGTTTCATCGCCTTTTTCGTTAACTGCGGCTTCCTTAATATTTCTATTCTAGGGTTCATGAACTTCAGTTCATGGACGAGCTGTGTAAGATAGAAGCTCATGATGCTGAAGTTCTTTGTCTAGAGTACAGTCTGCCATCTCCAGGCACTACAGCTAACTATCTAGCTAGTGCTAGCAGGTACAGAGCGTCCCATATAATAATAAATTCATGTTATTTCTGCATGCAAATATTCTTTAAGTAGCCTTCTACAATTGTTAAAGTGATTCAATCTTATCAAGTTTTCTTTCATATCCCAGAAGTCCCGATATAGAGCTATAATATGTCTAGAGCTTCCAACATCTTATTATCTAGGGACCGATTGACCAATCTGTTTAATGCTGGAAAAAACTATAGTTTTCTATCAACACTAGACGATCATAGTTCTAGTATTACAGCAGTTAGATTTCTTCCTAACCAGGGTCAGGAGGGGATACAGGTATACTTATATTCAAACAATTAATGTGACTTTCTAATTTTAGAGAGGCTTGTTAGATTCACAAGCCTCTCTCAACCTGAAAACATTTTTTTTGTTCATCAATAAGTTTTTGACTTTTTTAGTGTCTTACTCTGTTGTATCAAAATGTCTAAGATATGTAATGAATAATTTGGTCTGACTTAATAAAATATGATTAAAGAATTGATATAAATATTGTTTTTAGATGGTGTCTTGTGGCGCAGATAAATCCATTATATTTAGAGATGTCAATACTGAAGATTCTCAGGGCATTAGGTAACTTGTTTAAAATTTAATAAAATATTAAATAGTTTGTATTTAAAGATTCAGGTCCACTCCAAATCCCTTGCAGTAGCTATTTGGCCATAAAGTTGATAGCCCATAAATTGTTACAATACAACGTTTAAAAATCTAGTATAGAAAATGTTTGTTACAATTTTACGAGAAACAAGATCAGCGAAAAATATCTCCTCAAATGTATTTAAAAATTTTTTGTTGTTGTGAATCTCAGCCAAAAATGTTTAAAAATAACATTTTCAATTTCCGTTTGAAAAATATTCCCATGGGGGTATCGTAATCACGATTACCATCATCCGCAATTTATTAAATGACATAAAAACTGTTTTTGTTCTAGTTTGAATCGAGTAAATCATATTGTTGGGAAGACGACATTGTATGATATGGAACTAGACAGGTAACATTTATTTGATTTTGTATCCTTCCTTCGTAAATCCGCTATACTTTCGCACATGGGTGTACACTGAACAGCTGGTTGGACATGTTGCCGCAGCGTCAAGTTCCCTAGTCTGTCCTAGCTGCGGCACTCTGTACACTAGTTTTTCCTAGCCGCAGTGCTCGGCCCCGAAACGGTCCTTTCCTAACAAAACCCTCAATTAATACAAAATATCCTAGTTCGGATATTGAAGTAGATCGGAAAGTTATTGGATCAACAGTTCAGAAGAGTTGCGTAAAGACAACGTAACAGGGTTATTTAACATAATCAAAGCAATAGTAACCCATAATTCCCCCAAATAAAAAAAATATGGCGGGATGTTATAGAATTATATGTCCCTTGAAATAATTTTATTCTCTTCTTTCGTTTTTTAGTATAATTTTAACCAGCGAAGATGGCATTTATTTTTATTTTAATTTAGGTCTGGTAAGCATATACTGACTGCGTGTCAGGATAGGAGTATACGGGTTTACAGTGTAGCAGGAGCCAAACAGACTAAATCCTTCAAGGGGTCGGCTAGCGAGGATGGAACTCTTATCAAGGTATTAATAATCAATATCATCTATAAATCAATCAATCCGTAAATAATCCTTTTTAATTATGATATTATTTTGATCTTATTTGTAATCCCTGTATTGCAAACTGGACACTGCACACTGCACGCCCTTTGACCTTTAATCAAAATTCGGCAAAGTTTTTAATTGTGTTTAATGCATGTTGAATTTTTGGCAAAACTATATCATAAATCAGTCCTATTTAACCTCTTTAGTACTTCATTCCTATCCACTCACTCCATCTTGCTCCCCCTCGGCCCTCCCTCCTTCTTAATACCACTCCCTCTAAATTCCTTCCTTTTAAACCCACAATGGCTCCCGATCCCTCTCTTGAGTTTAAGTCCTCAATGTTTCCTAAATGCACAGTGAAAACCATAAAATTGCTGAAAGGGAAGACGACATTTGGTGTAGCTGATGTTATTATGAAGAAGTTAGTTTAAGTTACCAATTGTTTTAAAATTAGCTTATTAAGAATTGTAATCTGAGTCGAACACTTTTGTTCCTATTTCTATTTCTGTGTCTTACTGTACTGTACATTGTCCCGTGTACACTGTACACTGTACTGTGTCATAAATCATCATGTTTCAATGTACAACTGTGCAGGTTGTACTGGATCGAAGTGGAATCTACTGTGCCACCTCGTGTACAGATAAAACCCTCGCTATTTATGATTATCATACTGGAGAGCTGATGGCAACTATGGCAGGTTAGACAAGTTTAATTTAAGGTTCACATCACGCATTTTTGGATCATTAATACAAATAGTTACATGTCCGGTAACATCTATCTTTGTAAAAATGAAATAGATTATTATAATTCTATCAAGTGAAAAAATATGAAGAGGAATTTAATCTTGCTTTTGCAAAGTTCGAAAGAGTACAGTTATTTATCGGGAAAGAACATTTAGAAAATCAGGGAAAATAAAAATATATTTTTATTTTGGTATAAATAATGTTATGTTTAGGGCACAGTGAGCTTGTGACGGGGTTAGCATTCAGTTCGGATTGCAAGCATTTAATATCTGTATCTGGAGATAGTTGTATCTTTGTCTGGAGGCTTCCTACCGATATGGTTCATACTATGCAGGCTAGTTTTTCTATTTTTAAATAAAAAATATTTTTTGTTCTTGTTTTAAGAATGGTCAATAGATTAATTGTTTTAAAATTCTAATTTTGTTTGCATTGTACTGCAGGGTTCATTCACTATTTATTCAAAAGAATTTTAATCTTTGATTTCCGTGTTTTTTGTTTTTTTGTTTTTTTTTTAAGTAGAATTCTTGAAATAAATTGTTCTTCTTTTAAAATTAGTGTGTTATTGATAAAATATTATTTAGGCGAGATTAGCAGCAGCTCCTAACAGGAATTCTAGCAGAACATATATAACTAGCCCGCCGGTAAGTCAACATGCAGATTTTGTGTTTCTCGCGTTTTCTCATCTTGATACCGGTTTCCTTAAGAATTGTTGTGGATCTATTTAATACATCATTAAATTTTCCACCAAGGTAACCTTTGCGAATACGATATTATTATGATTTTCATTGAGCAAATTAATCTTTTGATTTTCAATCTTCTTCGATAGAATGAATATTAAAAATAATTTTGTCGCCAATATTATCATAATCTTTTCATGGTAATTGCGAATTTTAGTCATCAGAGAACACTTTGAACAGCAAAACTTGCCTCGAGTATCTTAGTATCTTAATTTTACGAATTTAGGAAGCTGAACCCCATTATTTAGATAACCAACAGTTTGGTTCCCCTCCTGAATTCCTGGATCCTTATTGTATATATATTTATATATATATATATATATATATAGGGGGCTGAATCCCCGTATATAGATAATGAACAGTATGATTTGGTTCGCCCTGAATTCCTGGATTCTAATAATATATATTTAGGGAGCTGAATCCCCGGATATAGATAACGAACAGTTCGGTTCCCCTCCCCCTGAGTTCCTGGATCCTAATGCAAACCTACCAAACGATAATGATATGTACAGGTATTATACTAAATCAAAATAAAATATATTTTAGGATAGGACAGTACGGTATTGAACAGCAAAGTACACTATAAAGAACTGAAAAGCAATACATCAATACAAATCAAAGCATTACAATGCTGATTTATTAGTACACTTACATTGACCTTTGACGTTTCTACTAGTTAGAATACAGGTATTGTGTACTTTTCTTTACCGTTCTGTGCTACAATTTTTCCAATTCTTGCACACTTGGAAAAATTCTCATTGTTGATCATCAAATAATAAATATGTATATAAAAGAATGAAATTTAAAACAGTACAGTGTACAGTATTGTATAGTCTTCAATGTGCACATTGTGCAGTTTTATGTCATAAATAAATTGTAGGAGAAGGCGTTCTAGCCGAATACCAAGATATTTAAATTCCAAGATTACAAACCGCACACAGTCTGCTCCTGTACATTCATACAAGTACAGAAAGTTGTTAAAGGCTTAGTACCAGCTTCATTTCGCTTTTCAATGCTGTTAACTTTTTTACACTCTGATAGCGTCTAGAATACGGATCGGCTTGATCCGCACAGTTTCTGTTCCTGGATCCGGATTCGATTGATCCGCACGTTTTCCGTTTCCTAATTCATGATACACTTAATCCGCACGTTTTCCGTTTCTTTATCCGGATATACTTAATCCGCACATTTTCCGTTTCTTAATCCGGATATACTTAATCCGCACATTTTCCGTTCCTTAATCCGGATATACTTAATCCACACATTTTCCGTTCCTTAATCCGAATACACGTAATTCGCACAATTTACGTTCCTTAATCCTGTATACACTGGATCCTCACATTTTCCGTTCCTAAATCCGGATTCGCTTGATCCGTACAGTATCCGTTCCTGAATCCTGAAACCGACTCCGGATCTGTTGCTATTTATCATATTAGATGTTTATTTCCAGGTTTTCTGTTGGAAAACTACCAGGTTGGGCTAAAACCAAGATAATCCAGTCCTCCAGTCCGGCACTTCAGCCCCAGGGGGACGCTGTGAAGGGAAGGTGGGCGGATAGAGCCAACCAGGAGATCAATCTCAGATCATTCGAGGACACTCCCTTCAACAACCCAGGGGAGGAGGACAGTAGTCCTAAGGAGGGAAGCAGCCTCGAATGGGCCAGGTAAGATAGCATGTTTAAAGGGATTGTCGGTGTAATTTCAAGTTACATTCCATTGATATACAACAATTCACTTCAAACCTTTATTTAATCAAAATTATTTTTCTAGCTTGAAAGGATTCAATTCTAGCGATTTTCCCAATGTTTCAAGTTGCCTTTTCAGAGAAACCACAACTGAAAATTTTCAACTTTAAACATCGATATCTCATTCATTCCCAATCAGAGAAAGCTTTTAAAGATACCGTTGTGAAACCGACATGCCGTTACTTCTAATTACGATTGCAGCCCTTTCAGCTTAGTCCGACCATACCCACCTGATTTTTGGTCCCTAATCTGTATCAATTTTATCAATCTTAAAATTTCAGATTTGGATTTGTGTGTTTGAATTGTTGAATATTTTCAGGACTGGTAGCAGTATGTCTGAGCTAGAAAGTATGTCTCCCCATCCTTCCTCACAGAATCCTCGTCCAGATACTCTAGATACCCTGGACAGCTTTAATGATGCAGATGTAGATGATTATTCTACCCAGGTTAGATCTTTAATCTTTAATGATGCAGATGTAGATGATTATTCTACACAGGTTAGATCTTTAATCTTAAATGATGCAGATTTAGATGATTATTCTACCCAGGTCAGATCTTCAATCTCAAATCTTTCAGCTTAGATCTTTTTTTGGAAACTTGTCGCTACTGTTTCCTACATTAAATAGATTATAATATTTCTAAAAAATCACACACCCCCTCTATCTACTTTAAAAAATTCTAAAATAGACATTGTACTCAATCTTTATTTTTTTATTCGTCCAGGGATGTTTGTGTAATTTTTATTCCTCTTATTCTTATCATTTTATTATTTTTCTTTTTCTTAATTCTTATTACGTGTAGGATGATGGCGGGGAGAGTACAGTTTCTTATTCTTAATCCCATTCTTAATCTTAATCTTATTCTTATTCTTAATCTTATTCTTATTCTTATTCTTATTCTTATTCTAATTCTAATTCTTTTCTTATTCTTATTCTTGTTCTTGTTCTTGTTCTTGTTCTTATTCTTATTCTTAATCTTAATCTTATTCTTAATCTTATTCTTACTCTTATTCTTATTCTTATTCTTATTCTTATTCTTATTCTTATTCTTATTGCGTGTAGGATGATGGCGGCGAGAGTACAGAACCTGAAAATACTGGCAGTACAATGTACTTTGGACAGGTAGAATTTACTTCATTTTTGGATTTTACTTGTGGTTGGAGCTAGAGCCTTTTAACTGGGATATTTTTTGAAAATTTACTCATTCAAAAACCGACTTTTTCTAACAAGAAAGCAGACTTTTCTAAAAGTAAAGACTGCTGTTGTAGAATATTTTGGAAAACGTACTAAAATTACGGTTAAAAGTCTCTAGCTCCAACAACAATTATATTCCAAAAATGAAACTTCACATGATCATTAAATACATTATTGGGAATCTCTAAAAATGAATAACGAAAATCGGATGATACCTTCATAAAAAAAATTGAGGTCAAAAAAAATAAATACAATTTCTGAGCATTTGCTAAAAGTAAATACAAAATAATTATAATTTAATCTTTTAGTAAGCAGTAAACAAGCGTTAAAATTAGCTTGATATTTGAAGTAACAAAAAGTTACAACCAATTAAAGCATGCGAGGTCAGGCCGAAAATTGCCTCGAGACCGGAACTTTAGGAGACTATAACTCAGTAACCAGAGGTCAATTGGATTTTGGATTTAATATTTTCTCATAACATGTCAGCTGTGTGCAAAATTTAAAGAAAATCCATGACATTCATTTCCATGATCACCAGAAAATTTAACTGTATTTAACTGTATTTAAACTGCATTTAACTGTATCTAACTGAATTTTACTGTATTTAACTAAATATAACTGGATTTAACTGGTAATAACCAACAGTAATTGAAAATAACTGAAAATAACTGAAAATAACTGAAAATAACTAAAATAACTGAAAATAACTGAAAATAACTGAAAATAACTGAAAATAGTTGGATTTAATTGAAAACAACTGGATTTTACTGGAATATAACTGAATATAACTTACTTTAACTGGACTTTACTGAATTTAACTGAATTTAATTGACTAAAACTGAATTTTAGTGAATATAACTGTATTTAACTAATTATAATTGGATATTGTACAGGTTGATGAGAAGTCAGATATTTACCATGTCAATGCTATGGATGTTGATGAACTGAGGAAATCTCAGCGAAGATTCAGGAATTCAAATATTTTAGAATGTTTAAATATGTTACTCAAGTTCATTTGCCACTCACTAATTAAGGTTTTTAAAATTTAAAATGGGATTTAACAAAATATCTAAATTAAAAAAAAAATTTGGCACTTGTGTTGTCAAAATTTTGGTTTCCTTAGTCCTTGAAAATCACATCGAACCATTTTATTTTTGTTAAAGATTAGGTTTAGCAAAATTCTTGTCTTTGGCGTTAATTTCACATCAAGTTAAGTTAGCTTCTCACAATACACTCACGCTGCAAATACAGGGTTGTGGTCAAGCACCGGGATGTGGTCAAGCACCGGGATGTGGTCAAACACCGGGATGTGGTCAAACACCGGGATGTGTTCAAACACCGGGATGTGGTCAAGCACCGGGATGTGGTCAAACACCGGGATGTGGTCAAACACTGGGATGTGGTCAAACACCGGGATGTGGTCAAGCACTGGGATGTGGTCAAACACTGGGATGTGGTCAAGCACCGGGATGTGGTCAAGCACTGGGATGTGGTCAAACGCTGGGATGTGGTTGTGATGTGGTCAAAGTAAAAAACTTGCAGGGTTTAAAGAAACTTTACAGGTTGATAATAATAGTAAAGGAATGGATTTGAAAATCATTTAAATATTTGTTATCAGAGGAAGCCGGGCAGATCTAGTAAATAGCGAGGATGAAGAGGAGGAGGGGGGGAGCAGTACACCATCAGCTGATCATTCAGACAAGAACATTCATTCTATGCATTGTATTAGGTAATAATATACAAGGTAGGGTGTGCAACGCCGCTATGAGCCACGCAAAATGATCTCCAAGCCTCTGCATTCACAGAGGAGTATTTAAAATGACCTGGCGCTACCCCTAAAGAAAATATTTAATCTTTAATTATGCAGTGTTTTCTTGAATATCCAAAAAAAAAATGCATAATTATTTAAATATTAAATTTTTTTCTAAAAATATTACACATATTTTCTATAATATCTTTAATAAAGGATGTGGGTAAAGCCAGGTCATTTTAAATACTCATCTGCGAATCATTCTTATTCTTAATCTTATTCTTATTCTTATTCTTATTCTTATTCTTATTCTTATTCTTATTCTTATTCTTATTCTTATTGCGTGTAGGATGATGGCGGCGAGAGTACAGAACCTGAAAATACTGGTTTACGTTACGTTACGTTACGTTACGTTACGTTACGTTACGTTACGTTACTTACATTTGAAACAATAAAAAGTACATTTTCTTCTTTTTAGAATATCTGAAATATTTTAAAATTGAATAATGAAAAAGATTCTCTTAAGTTTGCAGGAATTCAAATTTTTAAAACCACACATACAAATGAGTCCTAAGAAAGATTTACGTTGTAATCTAGGTTTAAAAACGAGGATTTAATAATCCCTTCGCTAACAGAGCTTAATTTTCAAATGGCTTTTTCACATTTTAATTTTTATTAATGCTTTTACACTATAAGTCTATTCAGAAAAATAATTAAGTCATGTTTTTGATACTCACTGTGTTTATGAATCATTAGTAGTGCTAATAACTATCTAAGGCAATTGCTTGAAAGCTTATTAAACGTCATATCATTTTCAAAAGGTTTTAATGAGAATCATGCATTTTTCTTAATTATATTTTTCTATTTTAAGCGTTCTAAAAGTATTAAATAAATTTTTCTAGAATTTTTAATAAAATAGATCTGTACGTTGTTAAAGAAACTGTAAGCTCTGGTAAAGTTGGCAATGTCCGATTCACAACAGCAACCTTGAAACCTTTATCTTTTTAATAATGTGGAAGATATTGTCGTCTTCCTAGGGTTAAAACTGTAAATGATACCGCTGTGATACGATGGATCAAAACCGTGTTTTAAAGTTAATACCGCTTGGCTTCTAAAATAAACTATTAAAAAACAAAAACAAATTTCTCATTTGAGAACATGATTTTTTGGTTTTTGGAACTTTCATTGTTGAGTTGTTGTTTTACTTTTTATTAAACGTATTGACACATTCTGTCTGTTTCAAGTTGTTCAGGGTTGCATCAAAACAAATCTTTTCAGTAGTTTCAATGGTTGAGATTATAATGTTATTGACCCGTATTAAAGCTTTGAAGAATAAAGACATCACTCTAATACTTCCTTCTAGGTATTCATTGTATTTGTTGCTGTTATCATAGTTTTAAACAACTAGAAATTCAAGGCGCTTCGCGCCCTTCTTTCTAGCCTTAGAGGGCGCTTCGCGCCCATTTTCTAAATTAGTTGTGAACATATTACACATATTTTCTATAATATCTTTAATAAAGGATGTGGGTAAAGCCAGGTCATTTTAAATACTCATCTGCGAATCCAGAGGCTTGGAGATNGACAAATATTTGAAATTTTATTTTTTCATAAACCTTCCCTGGGGTCCCTAGATGTCCCACAAAAGATTTGGGCCCGATCGGTTCAGCCGTTTTGACGTTTATTGGATACAAACAAACAAACAAACACCCAAACAGACAGACAGACAGACAAGCCAAATTTATATATAGATGTCATCTTTAAAAAAATATTTGCCGTTCAATTTTGACTTTATCCTAAAATAAACACACCAATAGACGGTAAAATTTTTGCGACTTTACTGGTGCGACTTTGTGACCTTTTAGCTCCTCAATTTTTTCATACGCACAAGTACAAGAAACCCAAATTTAATCCGTTATATATTATAAATGTAACACATTATTTTTCTTCTCAATAGCTCTCTTAAAGGGACTAAAGGAAAAATGAAAGGGGGTATAGGCTGAAAGCTAATCACTTTTGCTCTTGATCGTGACCCATGAAAGTTTTAGATGATGTTCCTGTCTCGAGAAATTTATATAAGACTGTGTTAAAATTATACGAAAGTTCACATATGTAAAATTTAGAAAATCTTAAACTTAAATCACGTGACCAGAACTATCACCAATGGCAGAGCAGTATACTGGTCACGTTTCTCCGCCTGTATCACGTGACCACTTTACTGCCATGCACTGACATTGGTGGAATTTCTGGTCAAGCAATATGGACGTATAAATAATATTATGAATTAAAATTATAAAAAATAGAAATAACAAATATAAAATTAGAATTGGAGTAAACCTAAGTTACAATTAGCTTTCTCTGGGATATCATAGTTTTCAGATTGGTTGCATATTTGCTGAATTTGATCTTTTTTAACCCTCTACTTTTATACAAAATTGTATATATATTAATTTTCGTATAAATTTGACAAAGTTGTAAATCAGTTTTTCGAGGTAGGCACATCAGATATAACTTTCATGGGTCGCGATCGAGAGCTAAAGTGATTAGCTTTCAGCCTATACCTCCTTTCATTTTTCCTTTACAGTCCATTTAATAGAGAAGTTATGATTGAAAAAATGTCAGATTTAAATATAACGTAAAGTTTACTTTAATTCGACTTGTTCTATTTAGTATGGAATCTGTGGACCAAGTGGGACGAAGAGAGAGATTTCTTCAATCTAATTTTGAATCCTTGTCAGGTATTATAAATATTTTTATATACATAAACCCACTTTAATATACCAGTTGTTAACAATTAAATTCATTTTTTGTTTTAAAGGTTTGAATAAGTTTTAAATGGCTATAATTTATACTTCTAGATTAATTTGAATACGTAATCTCCGAAACTGTAAAAGATCTGTGTTTACTCAATTTTAGGATGAAATGAAATCACCTGATGGGAAAGAGAGCATGGATATTTTTTAAATATTTTAAACAAAAACTGCCTAGTTCTCAAAGCTGACGTGTTAAGCAAAACAAGGAAAGATTTACCAAGATTATTTATCGATTATTTCTTGATTTGGAAACTAAAGAATCCATCTAAACAAATATGGGGTTACATCTTGTATTCCTTTAATATGGGGTTACATCTTGTATTCCTTTAATATGGGGTTACATCTTGTATTCCTTTAATACCAAAGGATTTTGTTTACTAAGGTGGAGATGAAACGATGAATAGTTTGACCCTGAACTCTAGTTCGATTAGCAACGCCTGGAGGGAAGGGGGAGCCATGCAACGCAACGCTGGAACTATTGGTAATAATTATTTACTACTATTTTACAGGGAAATTGTGAAAATTTTACTTCACCAAACAGTTCTGTAGACAAAATTGGGAACCCGTAGTTAAGTTAATATTTTAATTTCCCAAAACAGTAGTTGTCCACAATTTTATCGTCTTTAGAGATGAAAATACGCGAATTTTTTACTGAGGTGTCCCAATTGGGAATCGTGGAACGGTAATGTTGGTTTAGGGAGAGAAAAAAAACTAAATATTGAAAGGCAAATAAAACCCTAAATAATTTTTGAAAGGGGGAAGATTTGTCATTTAAGGAACTAAGTTTTTGCCTCAAATTCAAACTTTGTAATCTCTATTTCCTTTAAACCTGATGGTGTAAACCTTATTTCATACTTAGGCTTATTCATAGTTCATAAAAATCATAGTTTAAAATATCAAAGATTTACGACATCGGGTTGCACAGATATAGAGATTATAAGTTTGGAGTTTTTGACAAAATTTCATATTTAATCAATAAATATGTGTTCTAAATCAAGCAAAGACTAAGTATGAAAGCTTTACGGTTCTTTAATAAAGATAAAACTAACCAGTAATTTTGTCAAAATTGGGCTTTTTTAAGAGGGCACAAAATCTTCTAGGGGGTGCACAAAAAAAATTCTGCACGCTGGTGTGCGCATAAGCTGCTCCCCTACACTAAAGCTCACATACGCCCTAGCCATACATCTTAATAAATAATTAAACACTAGCTTGCACATTGCACAATGATTAAGACATTATTAATTTGTATTGTTTTTGTTTTGTTTTTGTTTTACTTTGTTTTTGTTTTTAATTAAACTGTTTTCGTTTTAGAAAAGGCACGTGAGACACGTAATGCTGAACAGAACAGGCGAAGAGAGGAACTACAGCGGAGGATTGAAGAAACAAGATTAAAACTTCAAAACGTAAGTTAAAAAAGGGATTTAGATCTAAATTAATTGATTTAGAATAAGAACTTACAATGATTTGATTATAATTATAATTCTTATCTCAACACTTCTATACGATACTAAAATGTGCTTTTTTATAAAAGAATTACTTGTCTTTGCCAAAAACTCTGATTTTCTAATCTCTATTTCTTTGCAACCCAAAGCACCTTAGATATTTTAAACTAGGATTTTTTTGGATTAAATAATGTTTGAAATGTCTTCAGGTTTAAACCATCATCTTGGAAAGATATATGAATTAGAAAATTTGAGTTTGGGGCCAAGACTTAATTGCTTTATATTTATTTGTAAAATGATTTTAATTTTATTTTCAATGAATCATTAAACCGTAAATTTTGAATTTTGATTTTATGTCTTTACACTATATAAATTTATAAAATATGGATTTGTTAATGAATTTGTAAAAATTTCATTAAAATAAAAATAACTACTCTGATCCAGGATCCAGCTTCCTCAACCTTTAAACCTAGTTCATCCCAGGTTTGACAAATTCACGGGATTATCAAACTCATCCATAATCCTTAAACTGTAATCCATAATCCTTAATACTTTATTTAAATTTGTTTATTAATAATCCTATTTATTCACTAAATCCTTATTTTTAATCCATATAATTCTACAATAATCGAGAGGATGTAGTTAAAAGGGATAAAAAAACGATCTAAACTATCTAAACAGACCAAATTTTACGCGATCAGTATTTTCCAGAAAGTCTTTTTAATTTTCATATTTTCCTGATGCATTGCTTAAAAATGTCGGGTTTCTACAAAACTTTGATAAAATATAAAATGTGACACTAGAGGGAGTGTGCTCTGAACTAAAGATTACAAATTTTCATCTAAAAACTAAAATCTCTCTCTCTGTGTTACTGTGGTCATCCTAAACTCGTTAACCCCTCCTAATCCTAATAAAACTAAAGGAGTAGAATTAACAAAATAATTAGAAGAGATAACCTTGTATCGTAAACTAATATTTTGACAATATCTATTGCAACTTTTGATTTAAATATGCGGTGCAAATGTTTCTAGAAAGCCAAAGTAAAAAAAGTAAAATTATTGTGCTCATACAGGGTTACCCACAAAGGATGAGACAAGCTGTAAGGACGACAGGAAACTCTTCCATCCCAAAGTTAATTAAGTCTATCGCTTCAAAGGTCTATAAATGGCTTTTTCAATGATTTGGCAAAGAATGGAAGAATTTTACAGTTGAAGGAAATCATGAACAGACAGTAAACAGTCCGTACAACAGTCTCTGTCTCATCCTTTGTGGGTAACCCTGTCATATCTTTTAGAATTCTATTAACTAATAAACTCAGTTGTTATTGTTAAGCATTAATTAAAGATAAGCCCACTGGTTCTTTTAAAGTCTACTTAACAGAATTAGCTTTAAATACCAGATGCAGAAAAGTTAATTGTTACAATGAACAACGTTTAATTAAGAACTTATTTTGCTTTAACCAGGAATCATCTAGAGATGGGATAGAACTTTTTTAATTAACTAATTCGTTTGCTGATACAGATAAATTGATTTGGTAGAAATAAATGAACTCATACAATTGTATAATGAATTTAAATCATTATTTAATTGCTTCCTCAGTAAAGTAGGAAACTCTACAATCAAAACTTAAAACATGACTTTTTTTTTAGAGTTTAATAATAATAACACAATTTACACATTTTACTTCTCGAACACTGAGTGTACGTAATTGCATGCTCAGTTGACTCACTGTTTAAATTGTTAAATGTAAACACCCAAATTGGTATGTTATAAACTATTTGGGTATTTGAACAAAATATCAAATATAATGTTAACAATTTGCAAAACTGAATGGTATTTACACCAGTAGATAGATTGTATATAGATATAACTCTGAAACTCAGTACATACTTTTTTGGCATTAACTTATCGGTATTGATCGGATGCTACCTGTGGCGGTCTCTTCTCTGATAATCTTATAATCTTAACTCACGTTACCAGCTAGGAATCAATTTAAAAAATGCAGAATAAAAGTTCCTCTCGTTTGAAAAGAAGGGTGGCCTTTTTATGATCCATTCTGGCTCTAAATCTTCATTGATTAGAAAAAAATCAGCCCTCCCCCACCTCCATCGACACCTTTAAAAAATGTCGTGTAGTAAAAATGTTTATTTCTTTAGATTGGATACAAATCAATGAAAGGAAGCAGGAGCATAAACGATCTCAGTTCATTTGGTGATAGGGAGACTCCTGTTCCAAGTAGTAGTAACAAAACCCTTCCAAGACAGAGAAAAGGTAAGATTTCTATTTTGTTTTGTAAAAAAGTTTTATTATGAATTAAAAAAAATCTCTGGAGAAACAGTAATATGACATCTTGCTTTTGGAGTTGTCTGCCGACCCAAATCTATGTTGGTTACTGCTGCATGGAACCGCACTTGCATGTTCACTAACCGTTCACAAGTTTCAGGTAAACAGGCCCCATCAGGGCCAGCTTCATCAAATGAAAGCTTGCTTACTACTAATCGGGATAATTCTGCTTCCACGGGTGAAGACTGCTTTTTGGGTGATGGTAGCACATCGAGAAGGATTCGAATTGTAGAATCAGATTCCGACTCTACGCTTCATGGTGATCTAGGATCTAGTTCAGGTTTTGTAGATATGTCCTCTGTAGTTTATCCAACTAACCCAAGTGTGACAGCATTTAAGATTAACCGTCCTTGTAGTAACTTTCCTGTAATCCTGTCTCCTAGTCTGTTCCGTACTGGAGACAAACTTGTAATTTCTAGCGAGGAGTCTGATCAATATAGTGATGACAGTCTAACAGAAAGTCCCAAGAAAAGAGAAAGAGTCACAAAGAGATTACAAGAGTTAGCTGAATCCTGGAGTGACGGTGGTAATACAATGCATGCCGTGGACAGCCTTTCTGATGAAGATTTGAGCACTGAACCAGAGATAGAAAAATTGTTTTTACTGGAGGAATTAAAAGCCTTACAAACAGAAATGATGCTGATGACAGACAATATTCGAATAGAAGAAACGGATAAAAAAGCATCCAGTGTACTTTGTAAGAAGAAACCAGCAAATTATTCAATATTGACTCCTGTACCAGAGCTTGATGAGCCCCCTGTTCCAGTAAAAGCTAGACATCAATCCCCCAAGCCTAACTTCCCTTATCTTAAAATAAGCAATGGAATAAGGAAAACAGTTGACGTCCCATCTCCCACTGGAGTTAAATCAATGTGGATTCCATCTTCAGCTCTTCAATCATGTTCATCCGCCTCATCTAGAACAATACCTTGCATTCCCAAGATCCACCATCGGCTTACCAGAAGAAAACCTATCACAGAGCTAAACAAGCGGATGAACATGAAGATGGTGTTGCCTGACAAGACTGAAGGTAGTCTGGCATGGATCTGTTCTCCTGCTTGCTCCAATTTGTCTTGTCCTCTGCTCGTTATTATCTGAACTTTAATTATTGCTTTTACGTAGATAGGCTTTGCATAGAGTAGATAGCATGTAATATTCAATTTTATTTACCCTTGGTTGGAACTTTTGTACTGTTTCTTCCTTTATATAGCATCCAGCTGTATTTTTCGTAGTACTACAGATTGTGTTAGTTTTTTTTTTAGACTAAATCTGACCATTCGAAAGTCGAAAGAAATCATGAAAATCTGTGACAGCTGCTTTCTTTACTGTTAAGCACTTTAAGCAATTTAAATTTAATGTGTTTACTGTGGATATTAAGTTCACACAAAAGTTTCAGTTCTTGTTTTATGATTCCCTTCATGGCATGGATGTATTGTGTTTATGAGCATGGTTTTGTTGTAGCTGAAGAGGATGTTCGTCATGTTGGTGAGGAGACTGCTAAAGGTGACGAGGACGGATCTGGTGGAACTAGTCTAAGAAGAGCTTGCTCTCTCTCAGATCTGAATAAACCAAATGTTTCCCGTAGGATACTGCCTTCTCCTCCTAACAATGGTATTTCAAATCTAATTTATTTTGTAAGATTCTTTTTTTTTGCATACACAGATTCTGTTGTTTACGTAAAGCTTGTTGGAGACCATGCTGGTTCATTTTTTTTAAGTAAACGTTTTCTGTGTTAAATAAACCATGTGCATGATTTAAATTTCACACTGCACTGCTCACACAACGTGTACATTTTTAATAGGATTTATTTTAAGGTATTTTCTGTCAATTATATTTATATTACTTGTTAAAAAAAAGTCAATAAATCATTAGGGATATTTTATTTTTAAGTGGCACCGAATATTTATATATATTTTACATGTTTCAGGTCACATGTTTGTTAAAAAAAAACGAAAGTTGCGCTCTTACTTGCCATACAATTATTTGATAAACAAACTTGATTTAGGTTTTATAGGGAAAAGTTTAGTCTGTTTTGTTTTCACAAAAAAATGGTCTAAAAAATTAAGGGCTAATTTAATTTGTATTTTTCTGTAACTAGTGTCTGGTAAGAAAGGAAGTGTGTCTGGATCCCGCCCTATGTCCAGTAGTGATGTTGACCGCCCTGACCGACAGCGGTTGATGGAGCGGAGGAAGTCGGTAGATGATCGGCGCAGTTCTATTAAGTCTCCTGCAGGAGAGAAACCTCTTAGTAGGTTGGTATCTTAAAAAGACAGTAAGCGAAATTTCAAGGGACACTCCTTGAGGAGATGATGGAAATTATTAAACAATAAAAGACCATGTTCTGAATTGTAATTTGAAGCTGCTTAATGTTGAATAGTTCATATTTAAAGGGTTCACCTACTTTGTAGAACATCACACATATTCCAACTTTTGGAATTTGAAACACAACTTATTTAATCTAACTAATTTAAGATGTCACTGAAAGCAATGTGATTTAGAAAATAATCATAGCGTTAGAGTCAACAGTGATCATTTATGTCCTCAGAGACATCTTTAAACAGTAAAATTTGATTCCTAATTAAATTTTTTTTTTTTTTTTTTTAACACTGAACAATCCCTTTAATTGTATTTCCACTAGACTTGAGCAGCATGAGCGAATGTTGGCAGAACGTGAACGGGAGCGACGAGAAGCTTCAAGATCAGCTGGACTAGGACATCGTCAACCCAGCAGAACAGATCTTAGACCTCGCTCCGTTGCCGAGGACAGTGATCGTGATGTGCCAAGTTACATGAGGTCGACCTCGGCTAGTATCAAGAAGGAGAAACTAGGGAACAGTCCTATCGATAAAATAAGGTTAGAAAATCTTTTTTTGTTGCATAAAATGGTTAAACGTGTTGTAGGTATATTTAGCTTGTTGTTGTGCAGTTTGCACCAAGCTAAATCAGTTTATGCATTTTTTCCCGAGATGTTAAATTTCAGAGGAAAAAATAATAAACTTTTTTTAATACATACTACCAACAAATTATTTTCAATTATTCAATTTATAAAATTTTTGATAATTTTCAAAAATAATTTTTCGGGAAAATATACACCCCTGGAAAATATTTGAGATAATCATAATAAATAAATATTACAATATTACTAGTAGTTGAACTAGGCAAGGCTTATTGTACTATAGAAATAGTTCCAATATCCATTCCAGTTCAACTTCTTATAGTGTTTTCTTTAGGTGTGAAAGAAAAGATTAAAGGATAAGTTGAAGTGACCCTTCATGCAAAGATGACAATGTCCGATTCACAAATGAACCCTGAAATCCTTTGTCTGATAAAATATGAATTAGATATTACGTCTTATAATTTAGAAAACTATTTATTTTCAATTTGGGTTTCTGTACAGAAGTGACTTGCGCATTTCTACTGCAGGAAAACTTATAGAAATTATCAGAAATTAACACTTTCAAACCTCAAGAAACGACAATGTTTTCCATATTATCGATCAGATAAAGGTTTTAAGAATACCGATGTGAAACGGGCATTGTCATCTTAAAATTACGCTTGAACTCCCTGTTCAATGAAAATGTAATGTAATACTAGGAGGAAGAGTCATAGATAAATAAATAAACATAGATAGCTTATGTACGCAAAATCACCAAGAATTGTACAGTCCGCGAACTCATACTTCTAGGGGTCAAAGTGTACTTCAATGATAAGAGGGGTGGTAAAATAACTCCGGGAATGGAACTATTTGAACACAATAATTCACTGAGCAATATATCATATTGACGAGAACTGAAGAAGGACATGAGAAGGACTAAACTAACTTAAATTTCTCTCTACAGAACTCATGTACACCACAAGTACTCAATGACATAAGAACAGCTAATGTTCACAACCGACCTTGTTAATCTATATAATAGGAATATCTTTAAAACATCTCTGTACATTCATATCTTTCAAGTTGAAAAATGTCGTCTTATGCGCAATCTATCTTTATCTATGGGAAGAGTGCTGCTAACTATAGTAAGTCCACTAATGATCTGTTAAATGAAAATGTAATGTTGTAATACTAGGAGGAAGAGTTCTGCTAACTATAGTAAGTCCACTAATGATCTAATAAATGAAAATGTAATGTTGTAATACTAGGAGGAAGAGTGCTGCTAACTATAGTAAGTCTACTAATGATCTGAGTGGAACTACTAGGGAAGAGGAGACTAGCAGTGAGGAAGAAGTTAGATTAAGGTTAGTTAACCCTCTGTCTCAGAACTAGGGTTTCCAGCCAAATGGGGAAATCGTTTCGCGAAAAATTACCAATATTTTTTGCCTAAAATTTCGCATTTTTTCGTAGAAGAAAATGCGTTCATGTTCGCTTTTTTCGTAAATTTAATCTGTTTATTATTAGGACTCAACCTGACATCTATATAAAGTAAACTGATTGCAATTGTTTGGAAGTCCGATCATAACTCAGCAACCCTTGGAACGATTTGGCTCAAAATTTCATTGAAGAACTCGATATAATGTATGATTTTGCTCTAAGCTTGGGTTTAAAGTTCTAAGTTGAGTGACTTAACTATTTTTGCAAAAATAATAGTTTCCAGGCAAAGCTAGATTCCCAACCTAGTTTAATTATATTTTTACTCAAGAGACTGTCGGCGTAATTTCAAGTGACCAAAGGCCGAATTATAAAAACGACAAAAACCAGTTCCAGTTAAGCGCTGGCTCTTCGAAACACTAAATACAATTTTAAGCTGAATCAACCATGTTTGAGCCGCGGCTCAAATTTTTTAAATTCGGCCTCTTGACATATTGTTAAGGTACATATTTCCAATCTTATTTATATTTAATGGATGGGATCTTGAAAGTTATGTCGAATGTAAATTACAAAGTCGGACTAGTTGTTGTATGTGGTTGAATCATATAATACATTAATAAGAAAAGTATATGATTGGAAAAGCTGCTCACCCAACCTTTTTGGAATAGGTCCNACTTAAAATTGTATTTAATTTTTCAAGATTTAAGTCGGCGCTCAATTGAAACCGGTTTTGGGAGGATTTGAGACGCGGCTTAAATTCATTAAATTTGGACACTGTTTATATTAAACAATTTCTGTGTCGATCATGTTCATTGAGGGACAATTTATCATTTAAAGTTATAACTTTAAGTTTATAAGTCGTCTTCCTATTTTAGAGTTTTTGGTTATCACTGTGAATATATATTTTGCTATAAAGAAATGGAGTTTACCTTGTATAGATGAATAAAACCTCATAATAAAATATATAGGAAGCGAAGCCTGAGTCAGGACAGACACGGTGAATCTTCGTCTAGAAACGGGCCAATCAGAGCTAAGAGTGAGCGTGATTTATCACGTGTTGCTAAGGTATGAAGTATGTTTGAAAAACGTATTTTTTAATTGTATGGTCACACTAGTACACTGTATTTTAAAAAGTTACGTACTTCATATTTAAAAGTTTAACACAAAATAAAATGATCATTAGATTTGGTTTACTGAGTATTTTATTTTTTTTTTATCTTCAGCAATTGCAAAAACTAGATAAAAATTGCAAAATTTGGGAATTTTTATCGTAAGAAGACGACCTTTCTATGTAATTGCTTTAGTTCCTGTTTATTTGAATACACTAATCATAATATGTCTAATTGATATGTAGTTTATGAATTATTATTAAGAGGCGTGAACCAAACTCGTGTTTATTCATATTTTTTTCACTTAACAGCTGGTTTCTTTAGATCAGGTTTGAATATACCTTCTCCTTTATAGTTCACAGATTAAAACGAAACCTCTGAATTGTAATGTTATTTGCAATGATGCTAATTCACTCAGTCAAAAAATACACAATGAAAAAGAATGATCTCAACGTCAATTATTTGATAGACTTAGTAATATTAATTTTTAAATAATTAATGTTCAGGTAAAGGTGAGTTCTAGAGAGGAGGGTGGTGGTACTAGTGGTGCTAGCACACCTACTAAACAAAGAACTAAAATGAAGACGACCACTATTATTAGTAACAATGGAGCTATGGTTGTAAACGCCCCTCCAGAGCTTCCATTTCTCTCCGCTAGAGGATCAGAGGCGGTTGATGTAACACGTGCTAAACTAACCAGGCAGCTGGCTGAACGTACCAACCTGAAAATGCAGGTAGATGATGTAGAAGATTTAGCAAACATCGACTTAATATCAAGTGATCCTTCTCATGTGATGAGTAGCATACGTCCGATTCACAATGGCACTCTTTATATTTCAAGTAACCCTCCATTTGAAGAGTATAGTATACCGATTTACATCGGTATTCTCTGAATCTTTACTTGAGTATCAAGTTCTTTCATCTCCATTCTCCAAGTTATTTTTATTGAAAACCCACGATTGAAAAAGAAGTTATATTCTGCTAAAAATGAAAAAGCACCATTTTGAATCTGTCATGGCATTCTGTTATTGCAGTATCACCTGAAATTACGTCAACAACGTTCTTGAAAATGAATGTTTACTTTGTATTGTCCAGGAGAGTGCTGATGACCTAGTTAAGCTGTATAAACGGGTCAGCTTGGATGATGACCTTGATGATCAAGTGCGCAGTGAACTACTCTCACAGCTGTCTGCAGGAGCAAGTTCTACCCTTCGAACCCTTAAACTGGTAACATATATTTATACTTCAATATATGATATACTAGATCGGTAGAAGAGGGGTTGATATTTACATTGCATCGTGCTCACTCAGAATTATAGGATTTGGCATAATTATACAAGCAACATTTAGAAATACAATTTTTTTGAATTGAAAATGAATTGCCAGTGTTCCACGGCTTCTTCAGATACCCATTTAAACATAATTTGAAGATTAATAGTGACATTTTGATTTTTTTTATTGCAATTTTAATTTTACAGAATATCTTGACAATACCCATTCAATACCAGTTGGCAATGTTGAGATTTCAGAAGAAATAGCCAACACTTTGATAGGGAATGATTATGTTAAACATTTATATTTATACAATTGCATATTGATCTGCATTCTAGTTCTTTCTATCTATCTGAGAATTACTAATTTAGAAGTTTTTTAACGAACTGTATTTTTTAATCGTAAAATTACATTGAAATTTAAATTTGTGCTGATAATAGTTGTTGCAGTAAATAATTACATATTTTATTTTTATCCATCAGAAAAGATGAAAAAGCAAGGTCATCGAGGAGTAGTTCTGAAGCCTGTAAAATGTTGGCTTTGCAGGGATGTCACAAAAACAAAAAATTTCTTTCTTTTTCAAAATCAGCTAACAGAAAAATAGAGATATGAAAAAACCAGCAGCTGCTATCACCTCATTATTTATACAATTTTGTAATTAATTGAATCTAGCTGGTACAATCTATATGGGAATTCGTCGACGAGCCATACTTTCCTGATTTTTTTCGTCCGAGACACCTGAAAATGCACGTTACTTTGGATGTAGTTTTAAGTAATCCTCCATTTAAAGAGTGCCACAGGTCCGATTTCTAAATAGCTACAACGACGCGACTATAAAAAAGTTCTGATCTAGGATCTATGATGTATAGATCTTTATTGTTACTATGATAGAGAGAGGTAAAGGTTTAAACCATTCTACTTTTTAATCAAGTCTGACATTAGAGCATGGGACGATAATTTAAACCTAACATTTTGATCATAATATTGAACTATCATATAGTTCAATATTATGAAGAGTATGTTAGGGGATACCTCAAATCTATCTGTATAGGTCTCTTTACATGGTTTTGTTGAATTAAGGTTTGTGAGAGTCCTGACAGTAACGGTTTAGCTGCTCTAACATCCTTCAACAGTATCCTGGCGAGACAGGCAACACAGCAACAACAACAACAGCAACAGCAGGAATATATTACACACATTTATTAACAAGATATTACTATTGTTACTAATATCATTTGCCCTATTGAAGATTTTGGGGAGCTTGTGCTCAACCAACCATTTCTAATAAATTTACATTTTAAAGAACAAATTTAGGAGAGGAAATATTAAGGGGTGCATGTGGGGGTCGAAGAAGTATTACACTCCACTGGACCAAGGGAAATAGTCCAATGCGACTTTGTGACCTTGTAGCTCCTCTAGTTTTGATTTTACGAACCGGTATAAGAAAAGCTAATTTATTAACATACTAGAAATTCAAAACATTTATGTTCAATTCTTACTAGGTTTACAATAAGAAGATGAGTAAGAAATTTTCTTCACTTAACATGTTGAACGTGGTATTATAATGTTGAGAAATTAATGATCTTTTATGCATAAAATGAAGAAAATGTGACCCAGGACCACGTGAATATCCTCCTCGCTTTCTGACGTTGTTCTGTTGATCGTTAAAATTAAAATACCTTTTGATAATTGACACATTTATTATGATTGTGTAATATTCTTGTTTGATCAGGATTTGGCAAATAATCCATACTTCCAGCATATGTTGGAGAACTATAGTAGTCTCATGTATCAGAATATGAACCAACCTAACCAACCCAAACCTGGACCTTTGAGGGGCAAACCCAGGGACCCTGGAGGACCCTCTTGGTGCTAATCTAGGGTACCTATGGGACCATCCTGGACTTTATATAGTAATCTTCCTTTTAATACATTTGAAGGAAAAGATAAAATTTTTAAATCCTGTGTTATCATTTTCCTGAAACCATGTGATTTGGACATTGTATTATTCGTCCTGCATTTAAACTATATGTACCGTAGTTATGTAATGTACTCACACAGTGTACATCAGACTAATAAGTACTAATTAGATATATATATATAGATTATATACAATTGCAAACAGTTCTATGATTATTGATTACACTGCAGTGCACTGTTGTGTGAATAACTTTAACCAATTAAACTTGTTTACATTATATTTTAGACTGATGTGTTTTTATATATAAGCTTGGTCAAATCAAAATTTAGGGACTACTAATATTTTAACTTGTGGGCTCTAGATTTTTATTCTAAAAATAATTTTTAATTTTTCCGTGCAATTTTTAAACCACCCCCTTTACTTTTTGGAAGAAATGTCTTCCCTAAGTCCTTGTTCTAATGTTTCAAGTGCCATTTTGTGTTTTTTTTTAATTGCCATAAAATTGAAAAAAGTAGTTTGTACTTCGTGCCAATCCTCCCAAACATTCACATTCCACATTATTAGATCTCATGCCGACCCACTTTTTTACCTTTTACAACCTTGTAACTTAACAATAAAATATTAACAAGATAATTATTTTAGTTCAGAGTTGAAGTTAGTTTAGTTACACTGCAGGGTGTCCCACAAAGAATGAGACTGTAAAGACGATTCCAAGTTTAAATTTAGTGTTGCCATGAATTGAATGTGGTCTTAAAGTAAATTATTTAATGATTTGGTAAAAAGTTTAAAAGAAGTTTATAGATGCAGGGAATCATAATTATAAATATTAATTCCGATGAAGTTGCATCTTTTGTGGGCATCCCTTTACATTAAATATACATGCTGTATGCATCATGTTCTTTGTGTTATAATTATAAAATTATCCAGTAAAGGGACTAGAAATGCAATTTCTAGCGACCCCCAAATACTTGCCCAGTCACGATGCAAACCCTCCTGCTCATTAGTTGACGTTGATGTTTGTTTTTACAAATAGAGCTTAACTAATTTAATTTACAATATCAATTTTCGCGCAAAAGAAGGTATGCATTTCTAGATGTACTTTGCGGTATTTTTTACAACGCTAATCTAAATTCTAAAAAGCTTTGTCTGACCAAGTATGAATTATAAAAGCTGTCTTATGCTTTCGTTTGTGATTTCTCTGCATAAGTAATTTGCGCATTTCTTGCTTATAAGAAACAAATGAGAAATTCACAGAAATAATCACTTTTTGAGTAAGTAAATCCACAGTTTTGCTTATGTCAAGGTTTTAAGGGTTGAAAATCGGATATTGCCATTTTTGCAAGAAGGTAATTGATCTTTATATTAAATAGACTTATAGATATAATTCCTCATAGATATCATATCCTGCAGGCCTAGAGATGGACGCGTTTGGTTCATTTTCACATAGCTCGTTCATCGCCGAGGCACGACCCGTTTCGTCCGTTTTATTTTTAATCGTTCAAAAAAATTTGATTTCGTTCGTTCAAAAAAATGTCGTTCACATTTTTCATCTATTTCGTTCGTGTTCTCGTGTAAACGATCGTCCAGTAAAATTGTTCGTTCAATAAAATCGTTCGTCCAGTAAATTAACGATAGTTATAATAAAAGTTGTGCTAAAAAATCAGTTGTTCGGTAAAAAACAATATTTGTTATCAAAATATTTTGAAAATTTCGTTCATGAAGAAAATTATCGTTTTTTAAGTTCGTTTTAAATTGTTTGGTTGTTTTGTTTGTTGTTAAATAAGATTTTTTTTCATTTCTCTGAACTATCCAAGTCGTTCGTTCATCTTTTGTTTCGTTCGATTTAAACACTTTCGTTAGTTCACAATCCACCTTCAATTTTAACTTTCTATTGTTGCTCTATCTGCGGCATTTTCTCTTCTCGAATTATCAAACAATAACTAGTAAACAAATCGTGAATTTATTGATTTTTAAAATTTTAAGCATCCATAGACCTTCCCTGGGGCTATGTGAGGTTCCGTAAAAAATGTATGTCCGATTGGTTCAGTTTTAACGTTTATTGGATACAAACAGCTTTAGACAAGAAAATTAAGTAGATATGTGTAGGATTAGCCATCATTTAATTTAAAATTTCTGGAATGTGAATTTTTGATAAAACTTAAATGGAAAAAGCGCTTCTTTATACCTTAGTATTTAAGATTTGTTGTACAAAGTTTATTGAGAGAAAATATTCGATTTCTTTATTTATTAAATTCATTAAAGGGACTGTCAACGTAATTTAAGCGGGGCCCGATTTTAAAAATGATAAAGATATTCTTTTGTTTTCTATCTGAAAATTTGTAAATTACTCTTTAAAGGTAGCTTGCGGATGAAGAGCAAAGAAGAAATATTTGTAAATTACACCTTTACAGAGAGATATCTACCACATTGAAGATATAAGTCGTCGTTGTGTATCGGACATTGACATCCTTGCATGAAGGGTCACTTGAAGTTACGCTTACTGTCCCTTTAAGTTAAAATTATGTCCAAAGTCCCTTTAAGGATCTCTCATCTAATCTTGATGTTGTGGCGAACTACCAGATCTTTAGATCAATCTAACAATCAGAAATTATAATTTAATATTTCATCGGAAAATAAGTTTCTAGTAAAATGTTCTTAAGAACATTGTTAACTATGTTATTATATTATTTTCTTTGTATATGGTTATGTGATTATCTGTAATTTAGAAGTACAGGGTTAACCATAATGGATGAGTCTTAAGACAAATCTTCTTCTTAACAATCTTTTTAAATTTTGATAAAGTCACGTTTTCTATATGAGTATCTGTATCAGCCATGTTTAATATTTATATCATGGTTATTAGTGACCTATGAAGGAATGACTTCAATAGAAAGATCTTAATTAAAATTCTGTTTTTTCATCTTTTACATTATGTACAGTGAGTACCAGAAAACTGTGGTATGAGAAGACGACATTGTAGCAAGATTTTAGAGTATTTTAAGTTTTTACGCAGCAAATAGTTTTACTTATATGTTCATTTGACTATTATTATTATTATTATTATTATTATTAATGTTTTTATGACTGTTCCTTATATTTTCGACAAGTTTCATTCATTAGTTTCTTGTTTCCATCTGATATTCTACAGTGTCTGGAAAAAATAAGTAAATTAACAAAATACATTATTTTATGCACCCTGGGAAGGTTTCCAAGAAAAACAATCATATTTTTTGCAAAATTTTTGCACATATTTTTTGCGTGTTTTAACATTAAACCCCCTTTAAGAAATTGGAAGGTGCAGGTTTTTTGAGAAAATAAAATATTTTTTAACCTACTCGCTAAGTATTGTGGAATTTCTTTTTTTATTGGAGGATTTTCAAAATTCTTTAAGACTTCATAATTTTAAAAAACTTCTTTTTTATTTTTGACCGGTTGTACACCTTCCCTGGGGTCATGTCACTATGTGAGGTTCTGTAAAAAATGGTCTGATTGGCTTAGCCGTTTTTACGTTTTTTGCATACAAACAAACATATTAACAGGCCCAGACCTGAGATCAATATGCTTGAGATTCCTGTTCTCTGAGTTGTTTATTCCAATTGATAAATTCTTCAGAGCGTTCATTCCACTGAAGTTATTCGAGGCCAAGATTACTAGATTATATCATTATCATCATTATCATCATTATCATCATTATCATCATTATCATCATTATCATCATTATCATCATTATCATCATTATCATCATTATCATCATTATTCCCCCCTGTTTTAAAGTTTATTCTTTTGAATTCCTCCACTGATCAAGGTATCTTACCTTACACATTCTCAAATTTAGAGTTTTTAGTTGTTTTACTCCCAGTTTTTCACAACATTTGACTAAATACAATTTATTTCATTTTTCAATTATAAAAAAAAGTTTTGAAAAAAAATTAAGATTTAAAACATAATTGTAAAGTTACGTTTTTACATAAAATAAACGTCAACTTGCCAAAAAAAAATCTGAAATGAAATAAAAAAATTTTCCAATTTAAATTTACCAAGCATCTGAAGTCCCTCTTGTCCAAAGTTGCTGTTATGAAGATCCACATTTTCAATAAAGAAAACAAACTTGGAAATCTGAAAAGTTTTTTTTTTATTTATTCATTTATTCATTATAATTTGCATTTAGGATCAAAATTGCGTAGTAATTTCTTGTGCAATATCAACTATAAAAGTATTTAGATGTGTGTTTTGAGGATGATATTTTTCTCGCAATTTTAAATTTCATTTTTGAACAATGCATTATATAAAACCAGTTTTAACGTTATGGAAATTTCCAAATTATTCTCCACTGAGAAATATGAATATGAGCCACTAACTCTAACTATTTTTTAAATTGAAGATTATAAAAGATTTTCTCAATATCAAATCATCAATTTAGTAAGAAATAATGATTTTTTTTCTTGTAATCTAAAAAAACTGTTCCCTGATGAAGACAACTGTCGTTTAGATTGGAGCTCGAGATATCCAAGGTTTTCAGAGTCAACTTCTTAGCGTCTCTAGAGAAGAAAGAAAAAGGTCGAAGACGGATAAAATAAAAAGGGTTAAAGAATAATTTAATTAATAAAGAAAGAAAAAAATCGGCTCAAATATGAAAAAAACGGACTAAGTTTGAAAGATCAAAATCGACCAAATACGAAAAAACTCATTGAAAAATAAAAATCGGCCAAAATTGGAGAAAACAAATCGGACTACCACTGAAAGAACACAAATCGGCCCAAATCGAGAGAAGAAAAAATATGTTCACGTTCCTGAAAACATAATCGTACTTAGATTGACAAAAAAATCGGTCAAAACTAAAACTTCTAAAACAGTCCAATATTAATTGTTAAGGCCCACTGACAGTGCACTGTTTTTAGTATTTTAGTTCTGTCAATTCAGGTATCTTTTGCAGGGTAATAGAAGATATATAACTCCAAGGATTAAAAATATTTGTGAAAGTGGAGCCCCTTGCAGAAAATTTATTTTCAAGAAATCGTAGAAATCAACTGAATTATCGGGTTTAAAGTCGAACAAAACAGTTGTATAAAGGTTTTATTCATTTTATTTTGAAAATAAATTTTTTTTTAGCCGTAAAAAGTAGGGTTCCCAAATTTTGTTATTCTTTTTAGTTACTGCACCTAATTTCTCTTCAAAAGGACTTTTTAAAGCAGTTTTTATTTAGTCAGGCAGTTAACTTGGGCTTTTATTTTCATGGCTGCCTCAGAAAAATCTAAAAATTTGAAGTTTTGCTAACCTTATTTGTCTCGAGAATATCTTCAGTTCGATCGGACTGATCGGGTTACCTAGTAAATTGGGTTCACCGACATAGGGTCAAACGACATAAGGTAAAACGAACCAGGGTTTTTCTTATATTATGTTAAATAATATGATGTCTCTCATCCAATTTTGGGTTAGGTCGGGTAAGACAATTTCACTGGGATGAGCGCTGCGACTAGGATGGGGTTGAGCGCCGCGGCATCTTAAATTTTAAATAGTATGCTGTTTCTCACCTTATTTTGGATTAGGTCTGGTTAATTTATATTTCCGAGTCGAGCGCTGCGACTAGGATGAGCTAGTGAACCGAGCGCTGCGGCATCTTAAATGTTAAATAATATGCTGTCTCTCGCCTAATTTTGGGTTAAGTCTGGTTAATTTATATTTCCGGGCCGAGCGCTGCGACTAGGATGGACTAGGGGGCCGATTCCTGCGGCCTCTAAAATGTAAAATATAGAGCTGTCTCGCACATTTTGACCCTATGTCGTTTAACCATTGGAAATATTAAATTGTTTTCATGATATAGAGGATATAGAGTGTCCTTTTAGGCCCTACATTCAGATCGTTATATTGACTTTTTAATACTTTTGATTCTCAAAGACAGTAAGAATTTTTTTTTTGAATTTTAGGCTTTCCAGCTCTTTCAGCTTCTTAAGCTTGTTCAATATTAACGTAGATATCAATTGTTCTGGCAATTTATTTAAGCTGTTATCATAGATTAATAAAATAACAGATAGGACACTACATGTCCTCTTTGCAAGATTCAAGATTTACGAAATGCATAAAAAATGATTTTTTGGCAAAATTGGTTTATAACTATGTGGTTGAAAAAGTTAAAGTTTCAGCGTTCCAGTGTAAGCCGTTTTTAAGTTAAAAAGAAATAACCTTAGGGGTGGGGGAGGGAACACCCCTGCCCCCCAAGCATGAAAGGGTTAACAAAAATGTAATTTAAAAAAATGAACTTTACCTTGCAGAATCACGTGTTCGGTTTTCAGTATTATTGGTATTAGCTCAAAAAATCCGTGTTCACTTTTTCAAATTAATAAATTATTTTTAATATTACTCTCAAACAGAAAATATCGAGATAATTGATATCAATGCGTGTTCTATGTTCACGTTTTCGCTGCTTCTGTTACGTAATTTATTGATAAAAAAACTAATTGACTTAGAAATATTGGAATGAAAAGTTGTTGGAAAGCATTTGTTTAAATGGTTCAAACTTTAGTCATGTTACATGTATACAATATTGTAACCAGAATCAAACCTACCATATGAAAATCTATTGACCTGGAGTTCTACATAGAATGTGAATCCTCGTGTACACTGTACAGCGTATGATCACCACATGAAAAACTACCATTACAAATCCCATAGCCAGAAAACCCGAACCGTAGCCCCTGCTATCAATTTTATCTATTAATTAGTATCATATTTGTTTTACTCTATTTCTGCTGTATTCCTGTTATTTACATATCCGTATTTATATTACTATTAGAATATACATAGTTGCAGTTTTAAAGGAAAATTGATTGATAATCACATTAAAATAGGGGTTTGGTTAAAAGTGAGCTTTAATTCATTTTCAACCGTCGTTAAATAAAGATGTTTTCGCATTTGCTATTTAAACTTTGTTGTGCGGGCCTAATTGTTTCAAATAATATAGTAAATAAAGTATCTCAAATTTGCCCCTTTAGTAAAAGTAAATTCAACCTATATGAAGCATAAAGTCTGACCGCGTCAACCTTGTTGCACCGGCTAGTCCTGTCCATAGAGCTAGGTACAGAACAAACTGGGACCTGAAAGGTTGACCCGGCTCGGAAATTCAAATGTACTGCGGCTGCCCGTGGTATGCGATATTTTCGACTGATTTAGAATCAGAGATAAAATTATGACAATACAGATTTTATTCCGTTGTAATATTTACGTAAATAAATCCTCAGCATTACAACCCAGTAAACTGAAAATCTACGTATTTATCAATTTTTTAACCTAAGCTGACAGCGACTCATATCTGAAAAGAATTTAATCAAACATTAGGATTTAAAATTTGATTATTTTTAAGATTTTTTGAATATGTTTATTTCATGAATTTGTTTTATAGAAAAGGCCAAGATTATTGCACTCAAAATCTGATTTTATAATCATTATAATTTTTTGCCTTGATTTCGTTGGCTATATATATTTCAAAATATGAAAACTGCTTTATTAAATATTAAATATTAAATGGTCAAAGTTTGAGAAAAAGGGATTAGATAATTAGAGGTTGATGGAGTGTTTAGTGAACTTTAAAAAAATTTTACTTTACCTAGTTTTGCAAGATGTTTAGTTCTACGATGCACTGAAGCAAGTTTTCGTATTCCATACCTTTAAAATTTACATTCTTATTATTAAAAAGAAATTTTATTACAATTATATTAATCATTTAAAAAATTCACAAAAACATTAATCATCTAAAAAGTATGATATTAAACTTTTTTTCGACTAAATTTTACTCTTTATAATATTCTGTTCTGTGATTTGAACTGACAAGGTGAATGAATTGTCTGAAATACTGTACTGTACTGTACTGTACTGTACTGTACTGTACTGTACTGTACTGTACTGTACTGTACTGTACTGTACTGTACTGTACTGTACTGTACTGTACTGTACTGTACTGTACTGTACTGTACTGTACTGTACTGTACTGTACTGTACTGTACTGTTCTGTACTGTACTGACCAGGTGAATGAATTGTCTGAGATATACAGTTCTTGTAGATGGCCAAACACCGGCATTATTCTGTGTAACATACAATAAATATGTATAAAAAATAAGATTAAAATTTTCAATAATGTCCGAATTCCAATTATTCACTTATAATAAATCAACAAATCATAAATTGATAAGATTAATAAATTGATAAGCTAAATAAATTAATAAGCTAAATGAATTGATTGATAGGCTAAATAATTTGATAAGCTAAATAAATTGATAAGCTAAATAATTTTATAAGGTAAATAAATTGATAAGCTAAAAAAATTAATAAGCTAAATACATTGATTGATAAGCTAAATAAATAGATAAGCTAAAATTGATAAGCTAAATACATTAATTGATAAGCTAAATAAATTGATAAGCTAATAAATTGATAAGCTAAATAAATTGATAAGCTAAATAAATTGGTAAGCTAAATGAATTGGTAAGCTAAATAAATTGGTAAGCTAATAAATTGATAAGCTAAATAAATTGGTAAGATAAATGATTTGGTAAGCTAAACAAATTGATAAGCTAAATAAATTGATAAGCTAAAGAAATTGATAAGCCAAATAAATTGGTAAACTAAATTGATAAGCGAAATAAATTGGTAAGCTAAATTGATAAATTGGAAATTTATTTTCTAAGGAGATCGATTGGAATTTGCAATGACGTCTATTTAGAGATGGATGCGTTCGACTTCTTTCATTTTGTTCGTTCATCGTTCATCATGAACGGCCCATTTCACATAAATTTCACTAGAAGGGGCGTTAATTTGGCGTACAGTCCCGTTTAGCCTCAAATGGTCTGTATTTGTACTGTACGGCTTGCCCTGGCTAGTTAAAATGCGGCCCGGTACTTGAAATAAACTTGAATGTACCGTGATTTCGTTCGGTTTTTATTCAATGATTTAAAAAATAATTGATTTCGTTCGTTAGTTTCATCTATTTCGTTAGTTTTCTCACTGAACGATCGTTCAGTAAAATCGTTCGTTCAGAAAAACTGTTTGTTTAATAAAATCGTTCGTTCAAATAAAAACAGTTCGTTTTAAAAAGTTTTTCAAAAAAGTCGTTAGTTTAGTAAAAAATATTTCACTTCTACTATCATTGGAATAGATACAGAGTTACCCAAAAAGGATGAGACTGTAACGACGACATAGAATCCTTAAAATATGACGAACCCAAGGTTAAAATAAGTCTTCTGATAAAATGATTTAAATGATTTGGCAAGGACAGAAATAAGTTTACAGTTGCAGGGAATCATAGATATAAAAAACGAGAAATAAATTCCGTACAATCGTCTCATCTTTAGTTGGTAACCCTGTATATAACCCTGTATAGTTGGTAACCCTGTATATAACCCTGTATAGTTGGTAACCCTGTATATAACCCTGTATATAACCCTGTATATAACCCTGTATAGTTGGTAACCCTGTATATAACCCTGTATAGTTGGTAACCCTGTATATAACCCTGTATAGTTGGTAACCCTGTATATAACCCTGTATAGTTGGTAACCCTGTATATAACCCTGTATATAACCCTGTATAGTTGGTAACCCTGTATATAACCCTGTATATAACCCTGTATATAACCCTGTATATAACCCTGTATATAACCCTGTATATAACCCTGTATAGTTGGTAACCCTGTATATTTGAACAAAAATTCATATTTTCTAAGATTTCGAGTAAAACCATGATTGTTTAAAAAAATTAATGATTGACGTCAATTGTAAAAAAATTAAATTAATGAAAATAATTTCACTCCTCTAGATTAAAAGATTTAAAAAATAATTTTTGTTTTTGTAAGATTCTTTTTTGTACAGTCCTTATCAATGCTTCGTCGTCCAGTTGACAATCTGACAAATCAAGAATCTAAAAATAAAATGAGTAAAAAGTAAAAAAAAAGTAAAAAGTAAAAAAAGTAAAAGTAAATTATCCACTTAAATAATTTAAATCGTCCAATCGTCCAATCGTCCAATACAAATATGAATATCATAAATATTATATTTTGTGAGTTGTTCAATGGATTTGATCAAACATTTAAATAACAAAATTTAATCTAAACAATTTTATTTGTTTATTTCTTTATTGCCTCATTTTCTTTATAAACACATTTGTTTCAACATTAAAATGTAGGCCTACATCCTGATGCTGTTTTTTTTTGTAAATAAAATTTCTGTTTATTAATCTAACAAAAATTTGATGATATTTTACCATCTTATGAATAATTTGAAGAGAGAAATATCAAAAAAAAATTTTTACCTCCAAGTTTTTTAGATCGTGATCAGTCATTTTTCTAAGGAAAATGTTATAATTTATATAATCTTAAAAACTGCATTTTTTATTGCTATACAGGGCTATATAATTTTATATTATAATATTAAAATTATATTATGCTTTATTATTTTTACAATTGCTATTCCGTCTAGAACGACATCAGATTTAAATCTTATCAAGAAACTTAAATTCTAATTTTAATGTTAAAAGAGAAGGATGGGCAAATAACCTGTTTTACATATTTTATCATTTTATTTTTAGATTTTTTTTAGGCAAATTTTTTTCTTTAGAAATAAATATTTTTTGTCTGAAATATAAAACTTGTTTTGATAAACTTGTTTGAATAACTAGGATAGCTCTTTGTAAAGTTCCCCTTGCTCAACTTTCATTAAAGAATTAATCTACCCCCCCCCCCCACCCTTCAACTGACAGGTCGGAGCTAGTTTTATTTCTGTGTAATAAGGTCATTAATGGGGGGGGGATAAAACTTGAAAAGTTTTAGACAGTATATACGCAGTAATTAAAATATGTTAATCCAAATTTTGTTAAAATTTTTTCTTTAAAATTAATCTGATTTGCTTAAAATAGGAAACAGTAAAATAGAAACATAAAAAATGCTAAAATAATGAAATATTTTGTGTATTAAGTTTGATTACTGAAAAGGGAAAACTAAAAGCTGAAAAGTGAAAACCAGGCTAACTCGATGTATACCTGCTAAAGCATGTTCCCTGTATTTTAAGTACCGGACCAACACTTAATCTCCGAAAGCAATCGGTACATATACAAATAAAGACTTAATAAGGCAAAACGGGACGGTAGTCCAAATGAATCTTTCTCTTCTACAGGGTGTCCAAATAAACATGGGAATTGAGAGACGACTTAAAAGTCGTCTTTGATTTCTGATAATTATTACATAGCAAAGAAAGTAAAAAAACGAAGCTGTATGTCTGACAGTGGTATACCTTCCTTGCGTCTTAAAAATTGACGAAGAAATTAGACAATAAGACAATTTTGATTTATTAAATAAACTGAAATTTCTACTTCGCAATATCTCCGTCAATTTTGAAATTACAAAAATGGTAGACCACATTTTGAAAATCTGAAGACCAGGCGTTTTTGATATAAAATGTTTCAGCTGGAATACTGCAATACTAGTGTTCATGAAAAAATGCTGCATGGATCGAAGACGATATAAAAGTCGTCACTGAATTCCCATGTTTTTTTGGGACACCCTGTAGTAAAGGTTTTGTATACTCTATACTTTTTTGGGACACCCTGTAGTAAAACTTATGAGAATTGCGTACAATGTAAACACAGCCTGGACGGTAAACGGGAATGCACACCAAATAAATCCTCCCCTTCTATAATTCCAATTTTCGTAGGATAGATGGATATCCAATTGTTACCTCCCGGCATTGTCCAAATACCTTTACAATCCCTTTAATTAAATAAACTATTTTTAACATTTTCCTAGTTAGCTCCGCTAGACCTTTATGTGTAAACACACACCCAGTCAACTGGACCTTCTTCAACCTCCACAACTAGAAAAGTACCAAATTTAAAGGGACTGTAAGCGTAATTTAAAATGACTATTTATTAATAGAGATGCATGTCCGATTCACAACGGTACAACAATACCCTCATTTGTAAAGCTGAAGATCGAGGTTACAGTGTACAATTTAGTGTACTCCGTCTGCTATTGTACAGTCGCGCGGTTTCTTGGCACTTAATTTCCCGCTATATAAATAAGAATATTTACGAAATACTTGATTCAACAGCTGTTTAAGGGGTATCCTTGTACATCGGACAAGCCACTCTATAGATTGAAGGTCTTTTAAAAATTATGCTTACAAGTTCCTTTAACAAATATAAATATGTACTCGGCTTCAGGGCGCGTCACGTTTCTTTTTCTAGTTACATTTTTAGCTAAGTGTAAAACAGTTTTTCAAACCGCCATATATTCTTCTTATTCTGAAAACGAAAAAGTTTCGCTTTTTCCGTTTTCATTGATGTTTTTAAATGAGGTTGTTTAAAAAATACATATTTTCTTGGCAATTATTTTGATTTGACTTTCAGGAACTGTATTTGTAATTTCAAGTTTCCTTCCATAAAAAAGAAAGAAAAAAGGGGGCACATCTCATTCACACCGGTACCCTTACAACCTTAGCCTTATCGGTTTTTTTTTCTAGAGTGTAAAGTGTTTGATTTTATTTTAGGGAAAAATGTGCTATTTCCTTCTTTTTTTCTGCGTTTTTGGAGATCCGAACGGAAGCCACTAATAACCTCTGATCCCAATTTTTCTTCGCGTTCTTTGCAGATGACCACAATTGGAGGCTGCATGCAAAAGTTCAGCCTTTTATCTCAATTTTAACGACTAAACTCAGCCTGTACAATATTTGGTGCCAAAAAGTGTCGAATTGACCCCCTTTCCCAGTTGGTTCTGAAGCAGAAATGCGCAAGTTGCTTTTGCAGAGAAACCAAAAAAGAAATAATTGATGGTATACTCTTAAATCTATGTTGATAATCTGATAAAGAACCAGGATGTAAGTTATAAAATAGATTTCCCCTGGATCAACAATGTAAATGTTTAGAAAGGTATTCAAATTCCTAATTATTTCGTATTTTAACAATAGACAAGACTACAGTACACTCTGACGTTTATTATTAATAATATTATACACAATAGTTAGACTTTGTAGATTGACGTGCTGAAGTGTTTAGAGCTCATTATCGAACAATTTCTCAACATCCGGTCTCAAAACCACAAATCCTTTCTTAAAACCACACACTCGGCCACAAAACCCAACATTTAGCCTCAAACCCCTCCAACTGGCCTGAAGCCACACAAAGTTTAGATTTGTTTTACCATTTTCTTGCCTAAATTCAGTCTAAACTCAATTATGCATCATTTTCACCTTTTCCTCCTGTCTAGATTGGAGTGAGGTCTTATTAGAATACATTGCTTACTTTTTTCCCGAGCACTGCAAGAGCTTCATCAGTTAATCCACAATCCTGCATTTTATACCATTATTAAGGATAACTACTGTATGATACAAGTTACGGTTTTAATTAGCCGTCAAATGGACATGAAATGCATGAATTTTTGCAGGAAAATATATAAGACCCATTTGACATTGATTGTTTAGTTGTATAGATAAAAATATTTACTTTTTAACAATAGTACAAAAAAATTGCCAAAATAGCGTATTCCTAGACAACAGTTTTATGCATTTAAAACAATCGTTTTAAAAAATATATAGTTTTCAACAACGACCGTTTTTTCGTTTTTTAAAAGTTCAAAAGGAGTGGGTCGCGTTTTCAAAAACGATTAGTCATCCTAACTATGTATATGGTGTTCCAATAAACATGAAAATTCAATATTGAGATGAAATTTTCTTTCGTTTAAAATATTTATAAATAGTAAAGTTAGTTTATTATTTTTCAGCTTTTAAAAATATATAATTTCTTGTTTTGTAGTTTAACTAAGCGAATACAAATATTAAATTATTAGAAAGATCTGATGTTTATTACATATTATTACTAAATTACTAAATTAGTAATCATAGTAATTAACTAAATTATCACACTAAAAACTGAATATTACATTAAGTAAAGTAATCAAATGTTTTTAGGACACCAACAAAGTGGCCCTCTATCTATTTACAGCGGTATTTTTAACGACAGAATTAGATATCTAGCAGAAAATTGATTATTTTTAACTTGCGGATTTTGCTGCAGAAACAATGAAGAAAATTGCAAAGAATATTCTTCATTTTTGTTTACTTTGATAAATGCCACTCTATAAATAAAAGATTACTTGAAATATTTCTACAATCCGTTTAAAATACAGGGTGTCCCACGAAACATGACAGTTGGTGAATAGATTTATGTTTCGTGGGACACCCTATACAACAAAACAAAAGTGTATTTATTACATCTATATATAATGTTGTAATCTATGTCTGAGTGTTTGTTTGTTGGTCCGATCATAACTCAGGAATCCCGGAACCGATTTTTTAAAAATTTTGATTAAGGAACAAGGATGAATCACAGAAATAGCTTGGTTTTGAGATTCTAAATTTAGTGGGTCAACTTTAATGGCAACAAATATCTAACATCTTAATTTACGACCTAGCGCGGGTAAACGGCGCGAGTAACTATAAGTAACGCTGGGTTCCCAGGCTAGTATCTGATATATCTTAAATATGAAAAACTTGACCTGAATAAGAAGACTTTCTGGACAAACTACGGTTTGATCAAAGTGTTCCAAGTAATATGTCAGGGCAACAACATCATGCAGTGCAAGTTTAGCCTGAAAAATATAAATTAATGGTATACCCTAAACAAACATAAAGGTTTTGTATACTCTATACAAACATAAAGGTTTTGTATACTCTATACAAACATAAAGGTATTGTATACTAACATAAAGATATTGTATACTCTATACAAACATAAAGGTATTGTATACTCTATACAAACATAAAGGTATTGTATACTCTATACAAACATAAAGGTATTGTATACTCTATACAAACATTAAGGTATTGTATACTTTAAACCAACATAATGGGATTGCATACTCTATAGTATATACAAACATAAAGATATTGTATACTCTATACACACATAAAGGTATTGTATACTTTAAACCAACATAACGGGATTGTATACTCTTTTGAACATTTTACAGTTTCTTAGTTAATTTCTGAATTATTTAGATCATCATAATTTAATTTTGCAATATGCAATATGCATTATGCAATATGCAATATGCAATATGCAATATGTAATATGCATTATGCAGTATGAAATATGCAATATGCCATATGCAATATGCAATATGCAATATGCAATATGCAATATGCAATATGCAATATGCAATATGAAATATGCAATATGCAATATGCAATATGCAATATGCAATATGCAATATGCAATATGCAATATGCAATATGCAATATGCAATATGCAATATGCAATATGCAATATGCAATGTGCAATCTGCAATTTGTAAAATGCAATATGCAATATGCAATGTGCAACATGCAATATGCAATGTGCAACATGCCATATGTAATATGCAATATGCAATATGAAATTTGCAATATGCAATACGCAAAATGCAATATTCAATATACAATATGCAATATGCATTATAGATATAATTTAAGATTTTAAAAAAGCAAGGCCAATAAAACTGTGGAAGAGGAAGAAAAATTAAATAGTTTTACCAGTATACAGATTGAAAATCAACTAATGAAGTGAATTGGGACTGTTTAGACTGTAAAGACGACTTGCAACTCTTAAAATACGACAATACTAAGTTTAAATTAAATTTTTTGCCTTGAATGTGGTCTTTCAACGTTTTTTTTAATGATTTGGAAAATAAAATAAAACTTTATAGTTGCTGGGAATCATAAATATGAGGAAACAGGCAATATATATATTGTACAGTCGTCTTTGAAGCCTCATCCTTTGCAGGTAACCCTGTATATGAAGGAATTCTAAATAATTAACAACAAAACAATCTTCTTAAAGTTTTCAAACTTTTACTTACTTGAATTACGCAAATATGCTTCTCATTAGGCGGAGGCAGCAAGCATATTTTTCTCATTCGAGCCTAGGCATCAACATTTCAATTATTCGGGCCTAGGCATCAACATTTCAATCATTTGGGCCTAGGCATCAACATTTCAAGCATTCGGGCCATGGCATCAACATTTCAATCATTTGGGCCTAGGCATCAACGTTTCAAGCATTCGGGCCTAGGCATCAACATTTCAAGCATTTAAGGGATCGCATCAACATTTCAATAATTTAAGGGACTGCATCAACATTTCAATCATTTAAGGGACTGCATCAACATTTCAATCATTTAAGGGACTGCATCAATATTTCAATCATTTATGGGACTGCATCAACATTTCAAGCATTTAAGGGACTGATAACCAATTTCAATCATTTAAGGGACTGCATCAACATTTCAAGCATTTAAGCGACTGCATCAACATTTCAAGCATTTAAGGGACTGCATCAACATTTCAAGCATTTCAGGGACTGATAACCAATTTCTAAGTGTTCTTTTATTTAAAAAAGCTCAACAAACGAAGCAGGATAATTTCATCTAAAGGGAAATTGATGAATATTGTGGAGATGTCTAAAACTGAAACAAAACATTATTTAAAAGGGGAACTTGTGGATTTAAACAGGAAAAAAAACTAATAACAACATGTGAAGTACATATCTACATGTGAAGTACATATCTACATGTGAAGTACATATCTACATGTGAAGTACATATCTACATGCAAACATTTAAAATACAAGTTTTAAAGTTACAAGTTTAAACCTGGGGGTGGACTCTATTTCAATTCTTCTTAATCAATAAGGATGTGTGAATCTAGACTTAAAGAAAGGGACTGTCAGCGTTATTTCAAGTGACTCTCCAAGCAAAGATGACAATGTCCGATTTACAACGGTACTCTTAAAAGCTGTGTCTTAATAATTTGATTTAGAGATCTAATTTATAATTTGAAGACTTATTATTTTCAACTGCTCTACAAATGTAACTTGCGTTGCGCATTTCTACTGCAGGAAAACATATTTGAATTAAACACTTATATACATAGAAAAACGACAATATCTTCCACATTATTGATCAGATAATGGTTTCGAGAGTACCGTTGTGAATTGCCATCTTTGATTCACGGTCAAAGGACCTAGGGTCAAACAATAAAAGTTTAAAACGCGAAAAAGGGTAAAATGACTAAGCGTAAAACGACATAGGGTCAAAAAGTACGACAAACAGGCAACATTTTATTCCGACTATTTTTAGGTTAATTTGAACTCATTTCATGTTATAGTAGCCGCAGTGCTCGGCCCCCTAGCCAGTCTTAGCCGCAGCGCTCGGCCCATAAATTGTCTTGACCTAGCCTTACCTTGAAAAATTACACTTTTCATGTTATTTTTATGTTAATTTGAACTACTATAGCAGCAGCCTCGGCACACTAGCCTTTCCTAGCCGCAGCGCTCGATCCAGAAATTGTCTTAACCCGACCTAACCCTTAAATAATACATAATTTTTTTTCATTTTTGACCTTTTGTCGTTAAACTCTTTGTCGCGTTTTTGACCGTTTGTCGTTTGACCCTAGGACGTTTGACCCTGGGACGTGTGACCTCTGTGACCCTATGTCAGTGAACCTCATCTTTGTATGGACGGTCACTTGGAATTACACTTACAGTTTCTGTAAGCCCTAGCTATATACTAACCTCATGACAGCAGTGTAAAAATGTAACAGGAGACTCTAACCATAATCCATTTAAGTGCCTGGTTACAAAAATATTTAGATTTAGATACATTTACTTCATTAATACATATTAATATTGAATAAAGGTCTCGTTAAATCATATATTCAATAAGTAAATAGTGCCTAGTTATAATAATGTGCTGCCCTAACAAATAATATTAAAAATAATATAAAAAAACAATATTTAAAAATTAAAATAATAATCACATTTTCAGATTTAGTTTTTAAAGCAAATTTTCCTAAAATCTGGAGGGGGGGGGGGGTGCAAAGAATTGTGTTTGTTATGTAAAATTCGAAATGGAAAAAGTAGGAGAAATTATATGGTGTAAAGAAAGTTATGCAACATACTGTTTTGGCTCTAAATTGGCGGGAAAATATGAGATGATTTATTTTTCTATCTGCCCTTACTAAACCGGTTTTAATGTAAACAAACACATATCCAGAAATTTTTTTTCACTTTTAAAAAAAAAACCAGAATAAATTAGTGGGTCTAATAGCAATGTCTGAAAGAGAAACGCCTGAACCTGAGATAAGTATCTGCAGTATCTCTATGTGGGGGATTATTAAAGAAAATGATTTACTTGAGATAATTATCTGTATCTCTATCTATCTATCTATTCTATATTATTAAAGGAATATATGATTTACTTGAGATAAGTATCTATATATATCTATATATCTATCTATATTATTAAAGGAATATGATTTACTTGAGATAAGTATCTATATATAATATGTATCTATCTATATTTTTAAAGGAATACGATTTACTTGAGATAAGCATCTGTATATATCTATATATCTATCTATTTATTCTATATTATTAAAGGAATATGATTTACTTGAGATAAGTATCTGTATATATCTATATATCTATCTATATTATTAAAGGAATACGATTTACTTGAGATAAGTATCTTTATCTATATATATATCTTTATATTATATTTTTAAAGGAATTTGATTTACTTGAGATAAGTATCTATATATATATCTATATATCTATCTATATTTTTAAAGGAATTTGATTTACTTGAGATAAGTATCTGTATCTATATATATCTATTTATTATATTATTAAAGGAATATGATTTACTTGAGATAAGTATCTGTATCTCTATCTGGAGGATCATAGGATAGCTCCTGCAGAAATTTAGTACACATCTTCTGGCCATCACTTGTCTCAACTAAAAGTATAAAAAGGACTGGAAGCGTAAATTAAAGAAAGGAATGCGGCCGATTAACAACGGTACCTTACAACCTTTGTGTATTCGTTTGAGTAAAGAAATATGTGTGTAAACGTGTGTGTAAACAGGCGCGTAGTGGAGGTTTAGCCTAGGTTTTTTTTTGTGCACCCCCCCAACGGTTGATGTGCACCCCCCTAAAGAACCGGTACTATGAAAAAATAAAGTTTATAATCTTTATTAATCTAAGGCTGACTATTAGTCATCTGACCATAATCCCCAATCATTTTAATTAAATAAAACTCCTCGAAAAAAAATATTGTAAATAAGATTGAAGTACAAGAAGAATTTGAGAAATAATCATAAAATGGACAAATTGTGATATTGTCGAATGATAAGAAAAGTAAAAAATCTAAATATATATGTAAGTTTACTGTTTAATAAATTAGAGCCTGCCTCTGGCTCTAGGGGGGGGGGGCTAAGAGGTGCGTGTCTAGGGGGGGCACAGGGGTACCTGCCCCCCCACTACGCGCCTGTGTGTAAATCCGCTTGTAAGATCACTTGCAAATTCCGGTGTGCACTGCGTGTACAGTCTGAACTGAACGAAGCGTCACCAGAACTTTCAGCTAAGCTGAAAACTTTAGAATGAGATATCCTGAATCATGATCGCTTAATCTGATCACATCCAATGTACACTTTTGATTTTCTTTTTATAATCCTCTTTTTGGATAATTCTACTGTATAAAAGTTACGTTTGATAACAATTACAGATACAATGCTATATCGATTGGACTATAATCCGATTGAATTAAAGTCAGCTGTTCCAAGCAGGCTTTTAGAGCATTAAAACAAATATAAATATTATCATGTTAATATGAAATAATTAAAAAACAGGTTTTAGGACTATTGTCATTTTGAACGTTAGTCTTAATAAAAATTAATCCAAAACTTACGTTCGTTCAATTGATGTTTAGTTCAATTGATATCCATTACACGCTGATGGGTTAAATTTTATAACTTCTTTCTTGGATATCGAATGTGTTTTAAAGTAATCTTGGGTTTAGTAAAACCAGGAGTTTAAGGATTAATCTTGATATCCACCATTCTAAAGTTTTCAACTCTGATTATACAAGCAGATTTAGATACAGTTACACACACATCTCTGTACCCGACCGTTGTAAATCTGACGCCTCTTTATAAATAGAGGGTCACTTGAAATTACGCTTACAGTCCCTTTAAAGAATGTGTCCAAAGTTTCTCTGGTATATTTTGAAAGATGAAAATTTCCACAAATGATAACTGATTAGGACTGGTATGATTTTGGGGAATTATATTTTAGTAAAAAAATATTTCTGACACAAGATGACTTTGTACAATGCATTTACATCGTACAATGTATGCACAATTTGCATATTGTACGCTGGTGAACAAGCGAAAAACATATTTTATCAAAAAAATCGAAGATTAAACAATCATTATCCCCTCGAGGGAAATATTTGTAAATTAAAAGTAAAAATCAAAAAAATAAGTAACTCCATGGAAATATAAAGGCAGGGTTCCATTTTAAGTTTAAAACTAGTGTTTTTTCATCTTTCTTCTTGTTCCAAATTCAGATCGAGTGTTGAATATTATGTAAGCAGTAAAGAGGCGCTTACAGCCTATATGGGGGGCTGACTGCTTAGCCCCCAGGTGGACAAATTCCTGTTAATGCTCCTGGACAGAGCTTGCAGCACAAGACGGGAAAAATACTTTTTCTTTTTTTTGATTTCCTGGAAGATTTGTGTATTTTTGACAAATCTCATATTATTTAGTTTTTAAATTAAGAATTTAAAAATGTTTTAAACCTGAAGATATTCCTGCCAGAAGAGGGAGAATTCGAACAAGTTTTGTCTAAATATATATTCTGAGCAAGTTTTCAAGGAAAAAATTAATTGCATAATTATCACAAATCTATCTATGCTTAAATATAAGGTTTGTTCTCTAAAAATTTGGAAACTTTTAAGCAAATAAATTTCTGATTTTTTTAAATTGAAATAAAAAGAATTGTAAAATTTTAAATGTATTTTTTTAGTCTTAAAAACAGTTAGTTTCTCTTTCTTCCTTTTCTTTTCTCTGAAAGTTTATCTTTAAGAGAAAAAAGAAAAATGAAGTAATCATTGTGCTAAAAGTTAGCTCGATTTATACCACAATGATTAGCTGTAATTTTTTTTCTGTTTTGATTGATTCCCGGATTTTTTCCAAAAAAAATTGGATATTTCCAAAAAAATTTAAAATATAAATATAAATTAAAATATTGTTATATTTTATTTTGCTTTCTTAAAAAGCTTATTTGATACAGAAATAGCAATTGAAATAAGACAAGTACACAAACGTTTCATAACATTACCTATAAAGCCATTATTTTAGCACGACGTGCTATAAAGTTTTTAGACTAAAATTTTAGATTCTATTTTGTCCTGAGCTTTAGGATTGAACCTTCTTGATAAAGAGAAAATTTCTGTCTAAAAACTATTTAACACTGCGAAACAAATAATAATTGAAATATTATCTTGTTGGATAAACATGTCATGAAAAAAAAACACTTGATTTATTTGAAAAAATACATTTAAGTTTTAAATATTTTTCCCTTTTAAAGGGACTGTAAAGGAAAAATGAAAGGGAGTATAGGCTGAAAGCTAATCACTTTAGCTCTTGATCGTGACCCATGAAAGTTATATCTGATGTTTCTGTCTCGAGAAATTGATGTAAAACTGTTAAAATTATACGAAAGTTCATATATGTAAAATTTAGAAAATCTTAATCGATGAACGAACAAAATGAAAAAACGAATGCATTCATCATTAAACGTGGTATTTGTTATATGAAAAGTTGCTCCAGAATATTCCTTAGAAATATCATTAATATCTTCAGAAAAAAGATGAAGATGAACTGAGGACAGGAACTCTACTATTTCTTTCTCTAAAACAAAAACAAGGAATTTAAAAGAATCGAAAAAAAGCTTAAAGTAATTATTGAGAAGTAGCCAAAGTAGGTGATGCTAACATAGTTCAACTATCCGTTCTTGAAAATCTATTTCTCATTGTAAACTAAGTGTGAATTTTTGATTTTCTATGTTTCGCTGGAAAAAGAACTTTTTCAATATTTTGTCGAATTTTGATTTAGCCTTTGGGGTACCATTACAAACGTCGGACCCACAAACGTCGGACGTTATAAAGGTCGGACAGTACAAACGTCGGACGGGTATAATTTATACGAAAAAACGTCGGACTTTGGTTGAGTTTGAAAAAAATATCATTGCTCTAAGAAATAAATTAAAAATCACTCACTTACTGTGAAAAAATAAAGTTTCATCCTTTGAAGGTAGCACTGTATAAAACAACATACCAAAAAGGAGTTGAGTTCAATTGTCTATAACAAACTCTGATGATGTTTCAATATGCCTATATCTTTGCATATATCCTTCGTATAACCTTTAATATTTCAACCATGGAAATATATAAGATCAAATAGTTTTAGTTTGAGCGTATTAAAGGTTATTACCATTACTAGGTTGCAAAGATTTAGGGATGAGAATATTTGAGTTAGTGATAAGAACTCAGTAACTTTCGGTAGATTTTTATTGACCAGTGGATAAAAGTAAATAACCTTTAAGAAAAAATCTTAAAATCCAAATATTTTTTTCCTTAGTCCGTCTTTTGTAACGTCATGTGTGTGTGTCTGTAACAACGTAGTGTGTGTAAAGTTTACTGAACCGAAGGCGTGTACTGTACATATATATAGGTATATACACTACAGTACATACGAATCTCGGTATTTGTACAATCTAGGAGAGTACATATTTGTTTATTGTTAATTGTTTACTTAAAAATAAGTTTAATATACATGTAATATATTATTTATATATTTAGGTCAACAGTATAAGACAAATTTTTATGCAAAGAAAATAATTTGATTAAAGTTTACAGTAAACTAGTCGTTATTCAAGCTTAATTGTAATTGACAACATTGTTCTGCAATTTCCTTGACTGTATAGTCATGTTGTGTGTCTGTACCAAAAGAGTGTGTGTAAGGTTTAACGAACTTGTCTGCAGAGCAGTGCGACTGGCTTTCTCATGCCAGACCAGCGCCATTTCTTTTCCCTTTATTCCTATTCCCTGGATATTACGCTTACAGTCCCTTTTAAGAAACACTAGATTCCTGTAATGTTTCATACCTGAGAAGTTACATTCAACGAAGTTTCCAACATCGTTAAAGTATGGACCTCTCTCCTGAAATATTAAAGTATGGACCTCTCTCCTGAAATATTAAAGTATGGACCTCTCTCCTAAAATATTTAAGTATGGACCTCTCTCCTGAAATATTATATGGACCTCTCTCTTGAAATATTGAAGTATGGACCTCTTTCCTGAAATATTAAAGTATGGACCTCACTCCTGAAATATCAAAGTATGGACCTCACTCCTGAAATATCAAAGTATGGACCTCTCTCCTGAAATATTAAAGTATGGACCTCTCTCCTGAAATATTAAAGTATGGACCTCTCTCCTAAAATATTTAAGTATGGACCTCTCTCCTGAAATATTAGTGTATGGACCTCTCTCCTGAAATACTAAAGTATGGACCTCTCTCTCCTGAAATATTAAAGTATGGACAACTCTCTTAATGTAAGAGCATGGACCTCTCTCCTTAAATATTAAAGTATGAACCTCTCTCCTGAAATATTAAAATATGGACCTCTCTCCTGAAATATTAAAGTATGGACCTCTCTCCTGAAATATTAATGTATGGACCTCTCTCCTGAAATATTAAAGTATGGACCTCTCTCCTGAAATATTAAAGTATGGACCTCTCTCTCCTGAAATATTAAAGTATGGACCTCTCTCCTGAAATATTAGAGTACTAGAAATTCAAGGCGCTTCGCGCCCTTCTTTCTAGGCTTTAAGGGCGCTTCGCGCCCATTTTCTATTTAAATTGTGAACATGTTCTTTTTGTTTACATTTTAAAACAAAAACAAAAATTTCGCGGACTTAAAAAAAATACGAGGATTTTCAAGAATTTTTTTTTTACAAAATTAAAAACCTTTTAAACACATTTTTTTAAATTTTTATCATTCATAAACCTTCCCTGTGGTCACGTGATGTCCCACAAAAAAATTGGGCCCGATCGGTTCAGCCATTTTGACGTTTATTGGATACAAACAAACAGACAAACAGACAGACAAGCCAAATTTATATATAGATGGACCTCTCTCTGAAATATTAAAGTATGGACATCTCAAAACTTGTTTAAATGTTGAATATTACGAAAATATGGATTTTATTAAACTTTGAAAGTGTGGTTTGACCGCCATTAAAAGTATGGTGCAAAAATGAAAAAAAACTGACCTGAATATTTGCAATTCCAAAAGATTCCAACCTTTGCCTTAATAATGATAATTATTACAATTGATACATTATCACTGATACTTCTTTACAGAGAGCGCAAGAAATTTTAGTCATTTTATTTACCAATTTCATGTTTATTTAGAACATTAAATTAGATAAAACTAACACAATTGTTACTGTTTAAACCTGAACTACAGTAAATTGAACTGATTCACAAAGAAACTGCAAAGGAACTGAACAATTTTCTCACGGACAGCCCTGGTATACATTTGAATTTCCGAGCCGGGTCAACCTTTCCAGTCCCAGTTTGTACTGCACTTAGCTCTATGGACAGGACTAGTCGGTGCAACAACGTTGACGCGGGATATTATTTTGCTTAAATATCCCGACTGAATAGTAACTTATAGACGAATTACTTTTCGCCCCATGCTTAAACCATTTTATCATAGAAAAACTTTTTTTTGAGTTAGTGCTAATCTACAACGATTGAGCTCAATATCCACTATTGTTCCTGAATTTATAGCTAATCCTTCACTTTAAAAGTGTTTGACTTCAGAAATACACAATTTTTATTTAGAAAAATGATACCTGGGAAGGATGACATCAAACTGTTCGAAGCTTAGAAGAGTTTTAGTTTTATCCTCCCCACTATCCACCACAGCTGTTACTATTACTAAACATTATAGTTGTATCCTCCCCGCTATCCACCACAGCTGTTACTATTACTAAACATTATAGTTGTACCTCCCCGCTATCCACCACAGCTGTTACTATAACTAAACATTATAGTTGTATCCTCCCGCTATCCACCACAGCTGTTACTATTACTAAACATTATATTTTTATCCTCCCTGCTATCCACCACAGCTGTTACTATTACTAAACATTATAGTTGTATCCTCCCCGCTATCCACCACAGCTGTTACAATTACTAAACATTATAGTTGTATCCTCCCCGCTATTCACCACAGCTGTTACTATTACTAAATATTATAGTTGTATCCTCCCCGCTATCCACCACAGCTGTTACTATTACTAAACATTATAGTTGTATCCTCCCCGCTATCCACCACAGCTGTTACTATAACTAAACATTATAGTTGTATCCTCCCCGCTATCCACCACAGCTGTTACCTCCCTGCTATCCACCACAGCTGTTACTATTACTAAACATTATCCTCCCTGCTATCCACCACAGCTGTTACTATTACTAAACATTATCCTCCCTACTATCCAACAGCATACACCAACCAGAAATATATTTCAGTACAAGAAAACGATGTAAAGTATGTGAAAAAAAACTTCTCTTGCAAGTTGAAAGTAGAAAATATTTGGGTTTTATGAAAAAGTCAGGTTTAAAAAGAATAACATTTAATGAGGAATTATAGACTGCAATCTAATTTAAAGTGGGCTTACATTTCAGCAATACCAATTGCATCTTTATCTGACCAATAGCGTGTAAGAAATAGACGTTTTTCGATATTGAAAAGTGTTAAACTTTTAAGGAGAATATAATGGATATCTCATGCATCGTTGTGAATTGTATATCCCACTCTATATGTGGAGAGGCTTGAGTTACGTCTATTGTTGGTGATTATTTCTGAAGATTATCAGTAATCATGAATCGATCATAAATATAATGATTCTCTTGAATGATCATGAATACAAATTATAATTTGGTTGTACAAGCGAAGAGCAGTAAACAGCACGTAATTCTAGAATTATAATTGATTTTAAACTTTTTCATAAATCATTCAGCCCACATCGGATCTAAGCGAAACTAGAATTTAATTTAAAATCTTATTTTCTATGAAACATACGAAATTCAAATTTAAACAACAATAAAGACTTTTTAAAGATAAATTAGCTTTTTGACCGTACTTAATTCTCTTTTTTATTTATATTTCATGAAATTTAAAAAAAGAAAAGGAATTAAATATTAAAGATTTTTTTCAAGTGAAAGTATTTTTTTTAGATGTAAATGCACAAACATACTTACCTAATGGGGGTATGGCTCACTTCTAATATTGATAGTGTTTGAAAACTAAGGAATAAGAATAAAGGGAAGGGAAATGGCATGAGAAAGCCAGTCGCACTGCTTTGCAGACGAGTTCGTTATTACACACGCACACTCTCTAGGTACAGACACACAACATGACTAAAGTCAAATTAATTGCAGAACAATGTCGTCAATTATAATTAAGCTTGAATAACGAGTAGTTTATTGTAAACTTTAATCAAATTATATTCTTTGCATGACAATTTGGCTTAAAGTGATGACTTAAATATATAAATAATATAATACATGTATATTAAACTTATTTTTAAGTAAACAATTAACAATAAACAAATGCGAGATTCTTATGTACAGTATAGTGTATAAGTGTATACACCTACAGTACACGCCTTTGGTTCGTTATCACTTACACACACTCTTTTGGTACAGACACACTCATACATGACGTTTCCGCCCCCTGTGGAAAAGACCAACAGAGCCTTTCCTCTTAATTAAACCACTTTAATTCTGGGGTTATAGGAGAAATTGTAACAAACCAACTACGTATTCAGTTCCTTTAAGGAAAAAGATAAAAAAATATACTTCCGGAAAACATTACGACAAAAAATGAAAATACAGCAAAACACGAGTTTTTTCTAGTTTTTCAGGTTCTCACGTGGCCGGCTTTTAATTAGTTTCTTGTTTTTCAAAACATTCAAACAATTCAACATCTTAAAAACAATTTGATTGCAAACCAGCTTTTCATTTAATAGATGGAGGTATGTATAGGTAGGCTTTTTCAAGGCGCTGGGCGCCCATCTTTTATTTCAACTTTTAACTGTGCAAACAGACAAGCAAAGTATATACGTGAAAACAATAACAATGTAGTACCATTTGTACTTCTAGCAATTGACACTGTTTCATTTAATGAGTGGTACAAAAGGGAGTTTTGTACTTAATTTTAAAAAAAGTTTGAAAATTGTTGAATTCTGATCATTTCTATTTTGTAGAGAACCACTAATGAAAATAATCAGTTTTTACAAAAGTAAAACATGATTATCTAATTCATACTTTATGGCAGAAACAGCTTTTGACTGTTTTAATGTGAATTGAACAGGAATCATCTTAAATTTAAATTAATTATATTTCTATAATAAGGTCTGGCTAGATACATGGTAGTTGAGCTAATGCAGTAATTTTGTAGGATTCATTGGAGATCTATCAAGCGTTTTTACGGTGCATATTTTTTCAGCAAGAGCGCAAATTCAATCTGTAAAATTCTCCTGGATTGGGAGTGGATACAAAACGTAGATCAAAATATTGATTGAAAACGTCGATTATCAAAACATCTAATAACAAAACGTCGATGATACAAATCGTCGACTTACAAAGTGTCGACTGCTACAAAACGTCGACTGTTACGAAACGCCGACTGCTACAAAATGTCGCCAGTTTCAAAATGTTAGATTATGATGGGATTAGAAAATTTGTGGGTCGAGTGCTGCCGCTAGGATTGGCTAGGGGGCCGAGCGCTGCGGCCTCTTAAATGTTACACGATGTGCTGTCTTTCACATTATATTGGGTTAGGCTGGGTTAGCATAATTTCTGGACAGAGCTATAAAGCTAGGATGGGCTAGGGGGCCGAGCGCTGCGGCCTCTTAAATGTTGAATCATGTGCTGTCTCCTACATTACTTTGGGTCAGGCTGGGTTAAGACAATTTCTAGACATGAGCTATTTGGCTAGGATGGGCTAGGGGGCCGAGTGCTGCGGTCTCTTACATTACTTTGGGTTAGGTTAGGTTAAGATAATTTCTGGGCTGAGCGCTGCGGTTAGAGCAGGATATTACAGTATAAATATTACAGTTATTACAATGCTGTGTTGTGTGTCCTGCAAGATCCTCCCCTTCTTGTGAGATAAGATCAAATTAGCTGCAATCTGCAAGTAATTCTCCTGCCAGGATCGTAAAATAAATTGAAACTGAGCAATTTTGCGTATTCTAAAAAAATTTCCTAGGACATTTTATTGTAAATTGTGTTTTTAGAATTTAAAAAAAATATTTGATGTTTTGTAGCAGTTGACTTTTTTTTTTAAAATTCGACGTTTTGTAACAGTCGACGTTTAGAAAAATTCGACGTTTTCTAGCACTTGAAGTTTTGAAGCAGTAGACGTTTTGTAACAGTTGATTAAAAAAAATATCGTGGATTTTCTAAATTTTCAAAAATTGAATTTTGTTAGAACTAAATTTTTGGAAATTCGATCATTCATAAACCTTCCCTTGGGTAACGCCAGGTCCAACACAAAAGTTAAACCCGACATAGTTTGCATTGAGGATAACTTTAAATTATGCTTACAGTCCCTTTAACTAAATCTATGTAAATCAAGTTTACAAATATGTTTTTAAACATACATTTCTGTTCGAGATTTATTGAAAAAAAATTTTAATCTTAAAAAACCGAATTTATCAACATGATTATTTAATTTAGAGACAAAATTTTTGTATTTAAAAAGTTTAGATTCATAAATAAGTATTAAATGTAGCATTCATTACTTTTATTGTATTTTATTTGTTCTTTACTATACCTCTGTATCCCTGTTTTCATGTATTCTTGTCTTCCTGTATTCTATAATCTTTATCTTGAATTCTAAATTCTGGACGTTGTGCTTTATTTTGTGTATTCTGTAATATGTATCCCATATTCTGTAATCTTTATCCTGAATTCTGGACTCAGTGCTTTACATTCTGTGTTCTCTAATCCGTATTCTGTATTCCGTATTCTGTAATTTTCATCCTGTATCATGTATTCTGGACTCAGTGCTTTATATTTCGTATTCTGTATCCCTGTATTCTGTAATGTTCATCCTAAATTCTGAATTCTGTACTTGGTGCTTTATATTGTGTATTCTATAATCTGGATCCTGAATTCTTAATTCTGAACTGTCTGCTTTATTCTGTGTTCTGTATCTCGTATTCGCAATCTTTATTTTAAATTGTGAATTCTGGACTCAGTGATTTTTATTCTGTGTTCTGTATCCCGCATTCTGTATTCTGTGTACTGTATTTTGTAATCGTTATCCTAAATTCTGAATTCTGGACTTAGTGCTTTTATATTCTGTACATTTCTGTATCCCGTATTCTGTCATCTTTATCCTGTATCATGTATTCTGTCATCTTTATCATGTATCATGTATTCTGTCATCTTTATCCTGTATCATGTATTCTGTCATCTTTATCCTGTATCATGTATTCTGTCATCTTTATCCTGTATATGTATTCTGTCATCTTTATCCTGTATCATGTATTCTGTCATCTTTATCCTGTATCATGTATTCTGTCATCTTTATCCTGTATCATGTATTCTGTAACTTTTTAAAGGCCAGAGAACTGCGATTCCATTACAAACCACGGATTTCCTTCAAATGTCAAAATATTACAAAACATTGAGGGAAAAAAATGTTTTTTTTTCCCATGTTTTGAAACATTTTTACATTTGGAGGTTTCGAGGTTTGCTCTGGAGTCTTTTCACTTGAACAGAAAACTGAAGAAACGTGACTTCTCTAATCCAGAAAACTGAAGAAACGTGACTACTGTAATCCAGAAAAACGTGCAAACCTCCAAAATCAAAATACTGAAGCGCTAGGATTGAAAAACAATTTAAACGTATATATTAAAGTATATATTAAAGATCTATACTTTGAGAGAAAGTTAGAATTTTTTTATCGTTCATAACAGTCCTCTAGTTTCTTTACACAGTCTTTATTTTACAAGCAAAAATAAGAGATATGCTTTCATAAGGTTCAGTTACATTTACCATAATACTTTTACAATAAATAATTCTGCCATAATTACACTTGCCATAAAACGTTTGCCAAAAGTAACACTTGCCATAAGTCCACTTGCCATAATGGTTACACTTGCCATAATTACAATTTAGAATAGTTACAATTATCATACCCTTTTTACCCCTTATCTTTTTTTGCGATAATTCAAAAAGTATTTGAGCTAGGAAGCTCAAATTTTCTGACTTTTCTAACTAACACATGCCCCTCACATAAGGCTAAAAGCTGGGCTTTTGTACCTACTGCCTGAGTCCTCAGACACAAAAATGCCTAAATGCCTTATTTCACCTTTACCAGACTAAATCTATATTTAGACCATACTTCCAGTCATTGGATTTCAACACTGTATAGCTCTTTGGAAAGCCAGTAACAAAAGCAGCCAGATTGCACAATTTTTGCAGATAAATTTTGACATATTTTTGCACAGGAATTTTCACATTTTCAGTTTATCTTGTATAAACATCTAGGCTTGAAAATGGTTTTCCAGATTTAAATTCTCTGGGTCAAGGACTTTTCAAAAAAGTATAATTTGTTGAAATTTGCGCCTTTTTTTGCACAATTTTTGCTTAATGACAAGATATTGCAATAAATATTTGGATTGCAAATTTGCCATTTTTTTCTTTTCAGAAACATATCAAATATTAAAGATTTTTATCACAATAAGAAAATAGAGGGGGGTCAATTCCCCCCCCCNCCCCGGGAACCAGTCATGTGAGGGTAAATAAAATTAACCATAAATATATTTATTTTTTGATAAGAAAACTATATTATAACTGTTGAGACTACAATTAACTATTCTAACTAAGGGACAGATCATGCGCAGTACGGTTAAGATACTGCTTTTTTGAAAAAGTATTGTATTGCCACCAAGCACTTTTTACCAGTATTACGAAGAGACTGATTAATTACTTAGGTACTTTGAGGGTAAACTAAATAGGTTATTAGCTATTCATTGTTATTAATCTAACTTTTAAAAGACAACTGTGGGCTGATTTTTCGTTCAGAATTCCAACGCAAAAGTATGATACATTTACACTTTTTGATGCTTTTTGTCAAAGCCATGGATTTTTGAAATTTTTAAGTAATAGATTAAACTGTGTAACTAATAGTTAATTGTAAATATCTTTATTTTTTATAAAGTTATTTAAAACTTGTCTATTTTCAAAATATAACATTAAACATTTGACGGATATGATAGGTTTTCCCTACTTCTCCAGGAATCTAGGAACCAAGTTGACGGAAAGAGAAGGCTGTAGTTGAAAACATGTTAAAACATGTTTGAAAATAAAAAATGTCAATTTCTTGATAATTCTAAAATCAAAAGTTTTCATATTTTTTTTATATAATGGCTGACACCTTTGCGCTGGAATTCTAAACGATAAATCGTCTTTTCTCTAGCCATAGTTTTCTTTGAAAAGTAAGACATATAATACCAATGAATTAGCTACTAGGCTATTTAGTTTACTATGAAATTGTCCAATTAAGTGAACGGTTCCATTAAGGTATTCATGTCTAGCTAGCTCTCCCGGCAGCATTCTTAGATAACTAAAGTTGTGAATTTTCATTAAAATATTTGGCGCATTTATGAAAATAGTTGGATTTTTTATCTTTCTAAGGTTTAGAAAATTATGGCTAAAACAATTATGGCAAGTATAATTTATGGCAAGTGATACTTATGGCAAAAGTAATGGCAAGTGTAATTATGGCAAAAGTAATGGCAAGTGTAATTATGGCAAATGTAACTGAGCCTTTCATATACCAGTCACTTTTTTCTGTGACTAAATTTAGTGAATTCGAGCTAAGTCGCTAAACTACCAACTACTGGATCAAATTTGAATCACTGATTGAAAGATTCAGGAGGATTTGAATCGGTGATTCAAGATTTGAACTGGACTCTGCTCCCTCTGGACTCGGCATTGTTTTGAGGTTTGTTTTAAGCAAACATTTTTTTTTAGGGGCTCTAGAGATATCTAAGAAATTGATATTCTCTTACACTTAATATACACAATATTGTATTATACAATATACATAATATTGCATTAGAAAAATATAAATAATATTGTATTAGACAATATAAATAATATTGTATTGAAAATATATATAATATTGTATTAGACAATATACATAATATTGTATTAGACAATATACACAATATACTATTAGACAATATACATAATATTATATTAGACAAATATAAATAATATTGTATTAGACAATATACATAATATTGTATTAGACAATATACATATATTGCATTAAACAATCTACACTATATTGTATTAGACAATATACATAATATTGCATTAAACAATATACACAATATTATATTAGACAATATACATAATATTGTATTAGACAATATACATATATTGAATTAGACAATATACACAATATTGTATTAGACAATCTACATTATTGTGAACCATACCCCTAAAATTACCCTATTGTAAGGTCGTCTCTGACAAACTGTATCTCCGTTGAACCCTCTGTCCACTTACCAAACCAAACCTTTTCAAGGCTTTCGAGTAATATAAACAAAAACCTCATAGAACTTAACGTGCATTAAAAGAACCAATTTAAACTTAATTTTCAGTGAATCATTTACAAATAAACAGTGAAACTACTTTAAGCAGTTAAATATTTCTTTCAGAAGATTTAAATTGCTTTAGACATCAGTTCAAACAACTTTTCGCCGCCCTACAGTTTTCTAGATTGTAAGTTCCGTATACTTAATTCACAACAATATCTTAAGCCTTCTATTTGCCAATTCACAATAGTACCCTTTTAAACTTTTATTTATCGATTGACAACATTAATAAAATATGATCTACAAAACCTGCAAAACTTAGAGTTTCCTAAACCTACTAAACCTAAAGTTTCCTAAACCTACAAAACTTAGAGTTTCAAATACCTTTTAAGCCTTTGTCCAATTCTCAATGTTACATTTTTCTAAACCAATTGATAATTTCACACAACTGTTTAATCTTTATTAACAATCATCATTTATACACATGTACGTCAATAACAATTTGTATTTTGTTGTAGGAAACCTTCGTTACTGAAATATACATTTTCAAGTAGTTGTTCTCATCTATGTATGGCCGGTAGAAAAGAGTGTTTCCCTAGCCAATTCGCCTTATTTCCCTCTTTCGAGTATTATTCCTTTTGTTCGGCTCACAATTATATTGTATCTTATTTTATTATACAATTTAATATTGTGCATAAATTACAATAGTAATTAAGACAATATGATATTATTGGATAATTTAATATTGTAATAGACAGTGAAATATTGTATTAGACAAAATAATATTGTATTATAGACAATATATTACTATATTAGACAATGTGATATTGTATTAGACAATACAATTTTGTATTTTAGTCCTAATGAGAAAGACATGGAATTAATTGAAAGTTTATAATGCGACTTTACATTTATATCTACGGCAATTTTAATTGCTCAAAAAGGCAGACCACAGTTTGGTGGGAACTAGTGATTATCGTTTCAACATTTTATTTTATTAGACATAGTGTATTAGACAATAACAATGTATTAGATAATTTGATATTGTATTAGACAATATTTTGTTTTATCAGATAATATGGTATTAAAATAATATTGGACAAAATTATATTGTATAGGAAAGGTTAATAATTTTGTTTTAAATGTTGAATCACTTATAATTTTTTTGTCCAAATAGGACTAGGAAACTGTAATTTTTCCTATCAATTATCTTATACTCTCTTCTTATACCATGTCATGCAATAAATGCTAAAGCTTTTCAGTTAAATCATGGTATTTTCCATACTACTATTACAATACAAAATATCTTTTTAGTGTTTAAAAGTTTTGCCTGCATAATACAATGCGGCAATTTCCCAGGGTACATCTTTCAAATTAATTCATGGAAAAAGTTAAATTATAAAGAAATGATTTCAGCTACTTTTGCCATTTTTAAAAACCTGACAAGAATTAATCTACGAGTTGCAAAACGAATAAAAACTTTTTTTTTAAAACTTTTCATTAGATATTTTTACCATATCATGAAAGGTTTTCAGTTTTAACTCAAATTAAGAATTTTTTTAGGAAGGTTGGATTAGGCTTTCACCAATAACAGAAAAATGCCCAGGACTAATTTTGAAATTGTTAAATAAAACCTAATATTAAGCTCGATCATTAGTTGAAATACAGTGAGAACCAGAAAACTGGGGAATATGAAGACAACATTAAAGCCTATACCTAAGGGAATATAAGTATAAAACATGAGGCAAATAGTTACACAGATAAATCACTTATTAAATAAAAAGGGATCTGGTTACAATGCATAATTGCTGTGGATCATTGTCATTACAGACACACGACTTGAATCTGAAAGTCGTCTTTCTTTTCCAGAATTCTATGGTTCTCATCGTAAATGTTTACCTTTTTCTGATGGAGATGGGTTCCCATTGCAGGTCCAGAAATTTCCCAATTTGTTCAAAACAATATAAAACATGGCCTAGAAACAAATACCAAAACTCATGTATATGTGATATGGTAAATGAACTTGTAAACAGATATTATTCGGCAAATATGAAACCTAATTTGAAATCAAGATAACCCCTGAGGTTCCTAAAATCTTTAGGTACACTCATTTTAATAGATTTAATTGTTAATATAATTGTTATGTATGTATCATGTGACCGGAATTTCAACCAATGGCAGTGCAGTATCTGGTCATGGGGCTCCGTTTGTATCGCATGAACAGAATTTCCACCAATGGCCGTTCAGTATCTGGTCACGTTGCTCCGTTGGTAATATTATGTACATATGAGGTTTTGTAAATCTTTGATACAATTTTATTTTAATTTCTTAAGACAAGGATATTAGATAGTTGCAATGAAGTCCTAACATTTTTAGGCTTTAGCCTATACCCTCCTTTATTTTACCTTAACAGTCCCTTTAAGAACAAATTGAACAGTCAGAAAATAGTATACTTCTTAGATTATGTTAAAAAAAAGGGGGAAGGGGGTCCCAGCTTTCAGGAACCCCCTTCTGAGGAGGAGAGGGGAGCAAGAGTATCCTTTCCTTCTCCGTCTAGAGAATGTTTTTATTACCTGGGTCTTTGTATACATCTTAATCTGTGCCCCAAACCTCGCCATAGTTCTAAATAATATGAATGAATGAGGACATAGCAAAGAGAGAATATTACGAACCGGACAGGGCAGGACATGTTAAGTCATGACACAGAAATAATGAGGACGTGGAAAATGAGAATTGGATAGGATAGAATAGGACAGGACAGTTTAAGATGGGTCAGGACAGGACAGGTTAGGTCAGGACGTAAGAGACAGGAATACATAGGATATGGCAGGTGAGGAAAGGATAGTACGGGACAGCTAATAACAAAAGAGAACAAGACAAGCTAGGACAGGACAGCTCCATTCAGGACAGGACAGAAGAGGATAGGACAGAAGTGGACAGGAATGGACAGGAAAGAACAAAAAATGACAGGACAGGACGGGAGTGGACAGGACAAGAAAGGGCAAGATAGAACAGTACAGTATAAAAACAGGATAGGATAGTACTGGACAGGATAGAACAAACCCGCAGAACAGGACAGACCATGACAGAACTGGGTAAACCATGACAGGACAGGACAAATCTAGACAAAAACAGTTTTTAAAAATGATTGATTACCTCACAACATTCTGTAGAAACCATTCATCTGTCTGACACAAGGATTTTAGAAAGCTTTCCTCTCTGAAATATTTTGCTGCTAGATTCAAGAAATATTGTGCAACTAGATTCAAGAAATATTGTGCAACTAGATTCAAGAAATATTGTGCAACTAGATTCAAGAAATATTGTGCAACTAGATTCAAGAAATATTGCACAACTAGATTCAAGAAATATTGGACAACTAGATTCAAGAAATATTGGACAACTAGATTCAAGAAATATTGCATAACTAGATTCAAGAAATATTGCGCAACTAGATTCAAGAAATATTGGGCAACTAGATTCAAGAAATATTGCACAACTAGATTCAAGAATTATTGAGTAACTAGATTCAAGAAATATTGCGCAACTAGATTCAAGAAATATTGCACAACTAGATTCAAGAAATATTGCGCAACTAGATTCAAGAAATATTGCGCAGTTATATCTAAGAAATATTTGCAACTAGATTCAAGAAATATTGTGCAACTAGATTCAAGAAATATTGTGCAACTAGATTCAAGAAATGTTGCGTAACTAGAAGTTAGAATCACTAATTTGAACCTGATTTTCTTCTTGATTAATGTCTCCATAGTTTCCCTGTTTCTATCATAGTTTGCATTACTGGAACTTATTGCCTCCTTTCACACCAGGCAAATCAGTTGATCAGCAGTAGTTAATAAATTAGTTTATCTGTGCTAGTTTAAAAATCAATTAATCAGTCAGTGGTTGTTAGAAAATCAGTTTTTCAGCGGTACTTAATGAACCAGTTTATCAGTGGTAATTGAACAATTATGTTATCACTCTCAGCTTATAAAAAAGTTTATCATCGGCAGTTACTAAATTAGTTTAAAAGAACTAGTATATATAAATCAAGTTATCAGCTGTAGCTTAACAATAAGTTTATCAGCCAAAGTCAACTAAATTTATTAGCAATAGTCAACCAATTTGTCTATATTGCAACAACTACCAGTTAGTTAGCTGATTATATCAGCTGAATCCTAGCATCATGTATAGATTAATAATAAGCAGAAGAGAATTATGCTATTACATTATTATCTCATTCATGAACACTAATTTTTAAATTATCTTTAAAATTGTGAAATTTAAATGATTATATGAAGTTAAAGGAAGAGACTTGCTAGAATAAAGGGGTTGAACTGAAACTGCAGCTTTGTAGAGACAAATTTTAGGATTTATTTAACCCTATTCCTGCTGGGAGGGGTCAATTAGACCCCCCTCCTGTAGTTTTTTACATAACTCAAAAAGTATTGGTCTGAGGCTGTTGAAATTTTCTGACTTTTCCTACATACCCAAAGCCATCCCTTTAGGGCTAAAACCGGGCTTTAATACTAACTACTCAGTAAAAATGTCTTATTGAAATTAAATGAATTCCAATATCTTTCTCTATAATAGTTTAACTACAGGGTGTCCCAATAAACATGGGAATTCAGTGACAAATTCGATATCATCTTTGTTAAGAATTAGCATAGTAATACCTGATTACAAAAACCATAATGTTTGCTAGAGTTTAGTTTATGAAAATGGTAAATGGCTTCAATAATGTGTCTTTAATCTCTCTTCAAGATGAACCGAGCTGCAGACTATGTTTACAGTGTTTGTATACTGTAATTTTCTTGTTTTACTAAGTACAACCGCATGCAGTCAAAACATAAACAAACAAATTGTAAACATAGAAGACCAAAATCCTACAGATTACAGCTTTTTTGGTAGGTATCACTATACCAAATCAAAGAATTATTTAAAAAGACAATATAAAATTTGTTACTGAATTTCCATGTTTATTAGGACACCCTGTACCATACCTTTCAGGTTTCTCCCTTTAAATGAAACTTGAATCATCTGATTAACCTGCCTTATGAAGTACATCCTTAATTCCAAGTTCAATGGTATCGGGACCTGCACATGAATTAAATAAAATTGATAAATATGGTCACATGGCATGTATCTTTTTAAAAAAATCACATTTTGTAAGCTTTAGGGTTATTATCTTAGTTGGGGGCTCCAATCTTGCCTTTACTTTGTTTATAGTGTCCTAATTTTGACACAACCTTTACTTTGTTCATATTGCTACCAAAAAACTATTCAGTTACATTGTACCCCAAAAGTCATTTATTTACCCCAAAAGTCATTTATTTATCAAAATTAAATCATCTATTTATTCCAAAGTTCATTGATTTACCCTGAAATTCATTGTTGAGTTTTTTTGAAAAATTATTTCTAATTTAATGTTATAACCATGATTTTTATTATCATTTCATAAAAAATGAATGACCTCATTCGGTTTTTAATTCACATTATTTTGTTGTGGAAGTTTTTTCTCTTACTTATTATTTTTTTCTGTCTTCATTGCACTATAGTACTAATTTTAGACTAGTTGCATGCAAATATTAAGAGTTTTTAGAGTTTTGTCTGTAGTATCTTGTTTTGATTATTGGAACTTTTTAAATTTAAAATGCAACTTTTGAACTAACAATGCATGTCATATAACATAAGTTTTAATTAAAGTTTTAGCATGTCCGTTCTGTATTTTTAAATCTACAAAATCAATCACAAAAAAAATATGTTGAAAATTAAACAAAGTTAAAAATCTCCCCCTTTATGCTATACAAATGAAGGTTTTTGCTGCTAAATAATCAGAGATTATAAATATAATAATTTTTATTTTTGTACCACTGAAAACTCACCTGTACTTTGACTAATTCCAGACACATCAGCTGATGAAGGTACACTAAATATTTTACAATACAGTACATACCATATTGCTCACAAATAAAGGTAGTGTACAAATAAGCAGCACACTATAATTTGCACAGATTAACAGTTCACAAATATAGAATACACAAATTAACAGTACACAAGTTAATACAAATTAAAACTAGAAAAATTAATACTACTAGGAATGGGTATAGTTTTCAAAACGATAGGAAAAACAATCGTATTTAGTTTCATTCTGGTTTTTTTCAAACAAACTAACATTCCTTTTGATAAAACTACAGTTTTCAGAACAATCGTTTTGAAAAATGATCATTTTCAAAAATGAAAAAAGATGGGTTTGAAAACGATCGTTTTGGAATAAAAACAACAGATTTGATAAAAATAAATTTTTTTTTTAATTAAAATAAAATTGAGGAAAAATTATTTGAAACTTTAACCAAAAAGCTCAAAATGTTTTTTACAAATTTTCAAAATTTTTAGTATTTTAAATAATAAAAAAGCATTTTAAATTTATTTAAGGTGTTGTTTTTATTCCAGAATGATTTGTTTTTCTATTATGAAAATGATCCTTTTTCAAAATTTTTGTTTGAAAACTATAGTTTTACTAAATGATCGTTTGGTTGATCAATGGTTTGATTTTTTTGTTTCCTCCCTTTCAAAAATGAAAGTTTTCAAAAGCATCATTTCATTTTTGGTTTATTATCTCGTTGTTAAGGAAACTAAACAAATGTTTTACAAAAAAGTAAAAACTGCCCATTCCTAAACTCTACCCAAATTAACAAAACACATTGCAGTTTATAGAAATTTATAGAATGCAATTTTTTTCTTTCAAATTTAATCTTTATAATCTGTGAACAGCTCCCTGCAAACATTTAGTCTCCAACAAACTGATGTCAAACATATAAAGTCCAGAATTATTTACCCGACATCTTCGCCATCGGCACATAAAGTTGGTTAACATGTTTCTTGAACACTGTACAGTGTACAAGGTAAGTACACTATAAAATATACATACCTGGAACCACTGCATTAGATGTACTTTACTACTTTGTGCATACCTTGAAGCACTGTCTACATATTTCCTACGCCCTTTTTTGTCCTTTGTGTAGGCTCTGTTGGACTTATCTCTAGATTTTGACATAAAATAACCAGTTTAGTATATAGGGGTAGGATTTCCAGCGAAAAAGAAAAATTGTTTTGCAAAATTCACAAGAAAAATTTTTTCCTTCCATTCTCTTGCAAAAAATGCAAAAATGTTTGGTGTTTTACATAAAATTTCACTTCAATTTCCACTAAAAAAGGCAAAATTTCCGTGAAATAGGAAAGGCAAAAATTTTGCGAAAAAATGCAAAAATTTTGCCAATACAAGATGCATATTCCGCGAAATTTTTTTTTGGAGGGATTTTTTAATTTAAATATAAAGAGACAATTCAAAGATTTGCTTGTAAGTTATTAATACTTTCTCAACCGTTTGGACCTTTTTCTTAAAACACAATATAAAATTTATTACAGGAAGAACAAAAATAATTCAGAACATTTTAAATTCACCCTGTAAATTAACTATCTGACTGGCTGGGTCATGGCTACCTGGATTTGTGTGAACGTACGTGGACAGAAAGAAACTCAGAAAGGTAGAGAAATCAAATTCTCTTCATCAAACATTAATTAAAATAAAGGAAGAGAAAATATTATTATGGAAAGACATCTAATGTCGAGCTCTCAGAGCAGAGAAGTCCACAAGTTTTTTTTGCTGAATGAATTGTCACAGCGCCACTAAATTTTGCTTCGTTTTTTAATTTTTGCTTCATTCATTTTTGCGAAAAATTGTGAAATTCCTTAAAAAATATGAGAAATATTAAGAAAAATGTTCGCATGTTTTATTTGCTGGGGTGATCAATTTTGGACTTTTTTGAAAATCAGATAACCCCCCACCAGAGGTTGATGTAGGGCTGGGAACGTTCCTACTTTTTATATTTAGTTTTTTCTGTTCTAGAACAAGGGCCAGTTGTATCCACGTTCCTTTCCGTTCTGTTCTTGGTGTTCTTAATCAAAGAATGGTCCATCTCGTTCTGTTGCCTTCTTTGTTTTCTGGTAGTAAGTGCCATAAGAGTCTGTCAATCAGACCCGTATCAATCCAGGTACAACTCTTCACTATTAATGTCAACACTGACGCAATTTTGTAAACTATCAATGCCAAACACTGGGCATGATCTTATAAGCTATCGATGTCAAATACAAACAAGATCTTGTAACTATTAATGCCTAACACTGGGAACGATCTCAAAAACTAATGATGTCAAACACAAACACTATCAACGCCAATTACTGGGCATGATCTATTCCAACTAACTGTTTTTGGGATTCTATGTTACAGGTTAAAGTTTAATTTCAGAAGCAATTGAAATGCATGAGTCACTTTTGTAGAGAAACCACAAATGAAAATAAGCAGTTTTCAAAATGGGAAACATGGATATTTAATTCAAAACTTGATCAGACAAAGAATTGAAGGTTATTGTTGTGAATCAGAATTGAAATTATGTCTGCAGTCACTTGAAACCTCTTAATTGATTCTACATTGATTAAACTGATTTCTAGGTTTGTGAGCTTTGAAGAAATGAAAATGAAATTTACAAAATGGTTTTTAAAAAAGATGAAAAGCTTTAAAAGTGCTGCCTCCAAAATCAAGAATCCGTGTATTTTTTCAACAAATTCTCCAGATGTAATATTAAATGAGCCCCCCCTCAGGCCCCCCTTGTACACCCCTGCTTATTCCTGATATAAAATGCGCCTTAGAACGCATTCCTGGTGATAAGAAAGCATTCCTGATTTTAATGTTCTTTTCAAGCAATTACCATTGGTTCCTTGTTCGTTCTTTTAATAATCGTTCCAATATTTTTAAGAAAGGGTTATATTTGTTTCTTTCTTTTTTCAAAATGATGGGATTGTTTTTGATAATTCCGTTCATTCTCGCGAAAAAAAACAATTGTTCCCCAGGAACAACTCCCAGCCCTAGTCAATAGTAAACATATTGAATAGGCTTTATGCTAAATTTGAGCCTTTTAAGATAAAATTTTTTTCCTTAAGTCCGAAACACTAAATAATAAAATGACATTATTGACTAAAATTTTGTTGTTGAAAATTTTATGTTATATATCTTTTTTTTGGAAATTTTAAGGTAAATTCAGATTCCAAAATAAATTTTAAAATTACAAAGAAATGTTTTTATCTTTTTTAAGGTTTTTGGTAGGTGCTATATCTCATTCAATTTTCAAATTCATTTAAGATGGTTTTCAACAAAGTTTTTTGGCCTATCTGAAAAAGTTCTTAAACTTAGATGGCAAAAATTTGTCATAAAGCCTAATCAATATGTTTACTATCAATCTGCAGTGAATGATTAGCTGATTTCCAAAGAAGTCCAAAATTTATCACCCATAATATGTATAAATGAATAAAGTTCAAAAAGTCCAAATTGCTAAAGATGTCTAAAGATGTCTAAATTGTCTAACTTTCTACAGAAGATCAAAATTTGAAGGTTTTAAAAAAATTTAGAATCTAGATAATTTTTTTTTAAAAATTTGTACAAAATGGAGCTTTTCAATGCATCTGTTTAATTTAATTTGACAAAGTAATTGTGTGCCAAGATCTATTCCTGAGTAATTCTTCTCCCTCAATTGTTTTTCTTTCCTGGATAAATATGGTAAAAAAAATTGTGCAACATTGATTTGAAACTAAGTAACACTTCAATTTCTAATATCAAAAAGGTTTTGCATCTAAATTCTATCTTTTTTTGCATCTATAAAGGTGCCTAGTTTCAATTGGAACCAGTAGTCTAATCTCCATACAGTCCAAGCTAGTAAAATCTTTAGCAATTCCCAACTCTAATAAAAATACTTTGTCACCCTGTACACTAACCTTTAGCTTCTTTAAGTTTTCTCGTCTCATTTTCTCTAGCTGAAGAATATCTAAATATGTTTTCCGCTTTGTTGATATTCCAGATCTAAACATGAATTCAATTTGTGTAATGCTGAAGGGTCATTGACTTTAGAATGTTTAATCAACCAAAAAAATCTATACTTACATGCTGTAATCACACTCATCATCTGAAAATAAGGATTCCTTTCGAGCCATTTTTCTTTTGGATTTCAGAAATGGTTTCTTAGTGGGGCTTTCAGAGGTTTCAGAGCAAGCTCCATCAAGATCAACTTCCTGGCCTTCTTGGGGCTCAGAGCTTGCGTTTTCTTTGGGCTTCAGGGGGGATTTTTTAATTGGACTTTTTGATGCTTTTCTTGGACTGGATGAGTTCTTTGTTGGACGGGTAGGGGGTTTAGTAGGACTTGTCGGTGGTTTTGTTGGACTGGAAGGAGGTTTAGTAAGACAAGAAGGGGGTTTGTTGGGACTAGTTGGAGGTTTTATGGCATTGGATAAAGGTTTTGTGGGACTGAATGGGGGTTTTGTTGGACTTGATGGTGTCTTAGTAGGACTAAGTTTCTTTAAAAATTTTTTACTTCTACTTTTAGTTGGACTTGATATTGTTTTAGCAGAATTTTCAACACTCACATGAGGACTATCAGCTAAATTGGTTTGTTTGGTTATATCTAATGTATTTGATTTGATTTGATTTTCCTTTGGTTCTTGTTCTGTATCTACTTCTTCTTCTTTCTTATTTTTGCTGTCCTCTTTTCTTTCTTCATCTTCTGGTTTTCCTCTTTCCTCAATTTTTTTAATTTTTAGCTTTTTAGGACTTGAACTTGTTTTTCTTTCAGGTTTGGTATTCAATGTCTTAGTTTTGTTCACAGTTGCAAGGTTTCTTAGATGTGGTCTGGATTTTCTTGGTGATTGTGCATTCTTGGATAATACAGGTTCACTGAAGGTAAACAACAAGTTTGGCTTTCAGAAATTTTTAAGGGCTTCTGTTTGCAAAAGTAATGTGCACAGATTAAAACCAGATATTGATTTTCATTTTGTAGGAAAATTATTGATATTTAACCTGCAAACTACTTTGAAGAACCCCCCCTCTTGAAAACCTAAGTTCTCTTTAAAAATATCTTTGCAAAAATTGTGCAATCTGTTTTCTATTGGTTTTGGTTTTCAAAAAAGTTAAAAAAAAATGTTGAAATCCAATGACTGGAAGTAGGTTCTAAATTTAGATTTTGCCTGGTAAAAGTAAAATAAGGCATTCAGTCAGTATGTTGACGACTCAGGCAGTAGGTATAAAAGCCTGCCGTTTACTGTAAAGTGAGAGTCATGTATAAGTTAGAAAAGTCAAATAAATCAAACAGCCTCAGACCAAAACTTTTTAAGATGACACCCTCTCAGTCAGAATAGGGTTAATAATAAACAAAACATTTGCAATTATAATACATGCAATTCTGATCATAAACTTGTCTTTTTTCCTTGGGCTTTTTTTTCTTTGAAGAGTACTTTTAAAAACTTTTACTTTTTCTTCAGTTTTATTAAATTCATTTTCATCCTTTGCATATTCATTTTCATCTTTTACAGATTTAATCTCATCATTCTCATCATTTTCAGTATCTGTTTCTTCACCTCTATCCTTATCCTCATGACCATCTTCATTCAGTTTCTCAATATTTTCATCATCATCTCCCAAATCCTATTTTTATATTTCATTAATCACTATCCAATGCAATGCATGAGGGGAGGGTGTCTTTTGGTAAAAAGGAGTTTAGGTGGCTTGTTCAATCAAGGGCGAAGAGGTGGGGGGGGGGGGATAAATTGCCAATATTTGACTTAATTTATTAATCTATGGTTCTATTGTGTAGATAATTGTTATCTTAGAATAAATTGTGTTTTTAACAGTTCTGTTAGATGATAGATCAAATAGTTTGAAATTTTAAAGGTTTACACCATAAAGTTGGAAAGATAGCAGTATTAGAAAATATAAATGTGTGGCAAAAACTCAGTTCCTTTGCACTGAATTAAAAAAATTGTGAGGATATTTGCTTCCTGTGTTACTAATTAAATACCTATTTTATCAAATCCTACTTTTAAATATTGAAAAGTTAATTTTACCTGTGATTGGTCTTCATCATTATCTGATGTTAATGATAGCTCAGCTGGCTTTGGAGGACGCTAAATGCAAAAATTATTTGCAAAACCCAAAATATTTACAAAACATAGATTTAATGTGATTTGACTTGTCAAAAGTAATTTTGTGTCTACAGAATTTCAAATTCTTATACATAAAACAATATTTTGACTCTTGTAAAATAAGTCTTTCATTCAGTTTTTTCTTCCAAAGAATTTTCATTCCTCTTGTGTTGTTTTCTTCATCCGACTTCTTCTATCTAATCTTCTAGTTCTCTTCTCTGTACCTATACTTGGTAAACTTCTAGTACCAGATTTAGTCACTTTTTTACACTTTTCATATTTTAATTCAACATTTTCAGAGTAATCCAGAACTTCAGTAACTGCAGACCTAGATTTATAGATTTCTAGGTTAAGGTCTAGGTCTAGGTCTAGGTATAAGTCTAGGTCTAAGTCAAGGTCTAGGTCTAGATCTAGGTCTAGGTCTAGATCTAGGTCTAGGTCTAGGTCTAGGTCTAGGTCTAGGTCTAGGTCTAGATCTAGGTCTAGGGCTAGTCTAGGTCTAGATCTAGATCTAGGTCTAGGTCTAGTCTAGGTCTAGGTCTAGGTCTAGGTCTAGGTCTAGGTCTTGATATAGATCTTTATCTAGGTCTATACCTACCTTGGACTTGAACTCTCTGACTCCACCCTGTCTGGCTGAACTGATGTACCTGCACCCAAGATAATTTATATGAATTCAAGAATTTTGTGAATATTCCATCTTTGTTATTTTGCAATTCTTTTTTGTTATTTTTAACAATTTTTAAAATTTTTTAACCTTCACTTGAAGATGTAATACTGGAACTATTTGTTCTTCTAGATCTTGATGGAGGAGGTCGTCGGTGTTTCATAGATTTCTTTCCAACTCCTGAGAAAAATATTAGTTTTTAAAATCAAAATATATAATGGTCAATGTAACATAGCCCTTTTTAAAAATAGTTTTAGATTGACGATCAAGCTCTGACAATTATACAAAATTTATCATAAAGGTTTTGTAAAAGGTTTTGAAAAATCTTTTTATTAAAGGTTTAATATGACTTTTATTTTTAAGGTTTCTTTCATAATCTTTTTACGACTTAATAATAACGTTTATTATGCAAAGGCCTTTAGCTGACATTCATTCCTTCTTCTTTCTTTCAAATTGTTTTTGATGGATAACTGTGTTTGCTTGTTGAAAATAAAATTATCTTATTATTACAAAAATATCAGGGGACATGAGTTTCAAACTCTATTTGGCCCATTTCTAATAATGGGTGTTGAAAATTATAATATGATATAATTTTATTTTTACAATAAGATTTAAATACAAATGCGTGAAATTGCTTATTCAAAATGCATGTTGATTATCTATATTAACAAAACAAATGTGGTGACATAATTCAAAATTAAAATAAGTTTTGTTTTCACTTAATTCTTTTGTATGTTGTTTTCGGAATATGTTGGAAAATGGAAACCCTGACATTGTCTTAAAATGGCCGAGATTTTAAAGAAAAACAAATCTCCTCTTACCATTTTAATTTTTGAAAATATTTTCTAATGGAAATTGTGTCCTTGTCGTGCTCATAACATGTTGGTTATAGTTTGTATTATCAACTTTTGCTATCATGGGAAGAGATCCTAAAAACCCAATAATTCTTTTTATGTCCATTTCTAACACTCATTGTTAGAAATGGGCCATAACCCCAGTTTGGAACTAATGTCCCTGAAAATAGTATTAACAATACCTGATGTATACTCCACAGGAGGCTTCAGGCAATTATCAAACATTTTAAAACTTATTGTGATACCCATTTAATTTAGAATTGGACGACACTTTTAAGCCATTTTGTTCGTGAATTGAGCCTGTGTACACTTTACAGTTGCTGTGTTTAGTTTTTATTGGACTATTTTAAATCCAACAGTCATCTAAATATTCTTACAGTTTCATCAGTCTCACAGTATTAAATATTTTTCTTTAACTTCTTATTCTGTATGTTGTACTTATGTTGACTGAGCTTGGAACTTTAGAATTGGAAACCTTTAATCCCGGTTGCTTAATCTGAATATCCAATGTGGACACTTTTAATTTCTTGTTTAATCCACAGTTAAGTTATAAGATTCAGTTTTAGAAAAAATACAAACGAATAAGAAAAATCCAATTCAATTTATGTAATAAAGCTCTTCACTCACATATTATGTTTTATTATTTAATGTTAGTTTAATCTTAGCTTACAGCTAGACCAAATTCGCTGAAAGGAATTGAATCTTTGCCACAAACTCTGATTTTCTAATCACTATATTTTTGGAACCAAATGTTGCAGACCTTAGATATTTCAAACTATGAATTCTGTAAGATCGAATAATCAGAGTTTGAAATATCGAAGGTTTACAACATCGAATTCTAAAGATATTGAGATTTAAATGTTTGATTTTGTTCCAAAGACTCAATTCCTTTGTTGAGGAAACCCGAAGGTAGAAAAAGAAAAACTAGATTTTTTTTTTCAGCATCGATTTTTTCTTCAAATTTTTTCTTCTTCTTAAAAATCACACAGGCTATGCAGGCACTTCAGATAGTGTTATGCATGTTATTAAATATAAAATTTAATTTTTAAAAGTTTGTTCCTTAATTGAACCGACCGAATTGGGATCCAGAGATAAGTTTCTAGAATGAAAAAAAATAGTTCATTTGATTAATAAAACAAGTTTTAAATTTCAGTAGTTTCAATTTTCCATTTCTACCGAGAAAAGATTTAAACTTCCCAGTATTTTGAAAACTGTTTTGTAAGAGCCCTCACGTTGCAATAATGTACATGTGATTCTAATCAACCAATTATTGCTTAAAATGTTATGAAACTTTAATCAAGATTTGTTAAACACAATCAATTTTACTTAAAGGGGGTTTTAATTTTTCTGACTTTAAGCATAATTTCATGTGACCTTTCATTTAAAAAAGGGACATCGTCGATTCATAACGATATTTTGAAGCCTGTGAATAATCATTGAGGACAGAGAACTCAGTGTATATATCTTTGAAATAACTTGTAAAAAGCCTTAAAACTGAAGAGTATAGCTACTAATTTTCTTTGTTATTAATAGTTGTTATGAATATTATTTTTTCAAAATTACTATGTCTTAAGGGTACTTTGAAGATTTTTTCTGTATAGATAAATAAAGTATACATTGCCAATATTCCTAGGAAAAAATGTTTAATTTTGATTTGCCAAAAACTTTCCCTATGTGATGTGAGCCATTTTTATCCCAAACACCCAAACAAATTATAATCATAATTTTCTATTTTTTTTGAAAAATTGATATAAAAATTCTCTGACCTGACTGTTTGTGCATGATACTTGAGCCTAGCCTGTTCTAAGGCAGCAGATAGGCTTGTAACATCCATTTCTGTTGGGTGCCCTAGACAAAAAAATTATAGTTTTTTTCTGGTCAAAATAAAACACATTTGAATTAATCTTGAAATTAAATCAAAATTAATTTACTGTTTCTTAAAAATGTCATATAGCCCTGACTAGTATAAGGGGTGGTATTCCCCAAGTATCTAGAAATTTCCTTAATTTTAAAAATTCCTACAGTAATTTAGGTAATCTGGGGAATTCCTCAATTACCTGAGAATCTGGGAAATTCCCCAAATGCCTGGGAATCAGGGAAATTCCCCAAATATCTGGGAATCTAGGGAATTCTCCAAAATCCTTGGAGAATCTGAGGGTGGTTTATTTTTCAATAGTAGGAAATTTCTGAAATGCCTAGCTATTTGGGAAATTTTCCAAATACCCAGATATTTGGGGAATTCCCCAAGTATCCAGTCATTTGGGAAATTTCCAAAATCTAGACATTTGGGAAATTTCCCAGATACCCATGCATTTGGGAAATTTCCCAGATAGCCAAGCATTTGGGAAATTTCCCAGATAGCTAGGCATTTGAGAAATTTCCCAAAAACCAAGGCATTTGAGAAGTTCCCAAGTACCCAGGCATTTCCTCAAATACCTGGGATTCTGGGGAATACCCCAAATATCTGGGAATCTGAGAAATTCGCCAAATTCCTGGAGAATCTGAGGTTGGTTAATTTTAAAATTATAGGAAATTTCCAAAATACCATCCTTAAAGTCCTGTAGAGATTTGGGAAATATTGGGAATTCCTCAAATACCTAGGTATCTGGGAAATTCCCCAAATACCTGGGAGTCTGGGAAATTCCCCAATTAACTGTGAATCTGGGGAATGCCCCAAAGTCCTATTCCAAAAGAATAATTGTTGTTGGGTCTGGGAATTAAATGAATGAATAACTGTTTAAAAATTGAACAGGTAATCTTAAAGGTTTTTAAAAGACACTTTTCAAATTATTTTGGTTCAGTAGTTTTAATTTTTATTGGGCAGAACCATAATATAGCTAATACATTTGTGAAGTTCAATTTTCACGAATTTCAATGGATTTTTGACCCATTTTTGACCTCATTTTGATAAAAATCTCCAAAATTTTAGCTAAATTATAGATTTATCAAAAATTTGGAAACCCTATCTTCAACCAGATTTTACCTGCAGACATACACCATTCATCTAGAATACCAGCAACCACCTATATATTGTTATACAATTAATAAAGAAAAATCTTGTTTATAGAAAACTAGCTAAAGTGCCCGTCGTTTTCAGTGAAATTTTAGAAACACTGTCGTAAAAAATCGAATTTTAAAGAAACAAAAAATATTAAAGAAACAAAAAATTTCTTATTTTAGAGAAACAAAAATTTCTTATTTTAAAGAAACAAAAATTTCTAATTTTAAAAAAGCAAAAAATTTTAGAAAGGTTAAATTCTGTTTAGCCCATGTTACCCCCCATATTACAAATTAATATAGACAATCCTTTATTTCAAAGTGACTTGCATATTTCTACTGGAGGAAAACGAAAACTTTTAAATTTTAAACTTAAAACTTTAAAATTATCAATTTTGTGATTGTAAACTCTATCTGTATACAGATACATTTATTTTAGCAATAAACTTTATCTTATCTTATCTTATCTAACTTATAACAAGGACAATACTTGACCTTCCATATTATTAATCAAATAGATATTTCAAGGGTAACGTTGTGAATTGGGCATTGCCATCTTTGCACAGAGGGTCTACTTGAAGTTTATTTTAGTTATTCTTTGAAATTTTAAAACTATTTTGTGACAAAAACAAAACAAAAATATTTTACCTCAGATCGTTTTTGACCATCCTCTGAAAACATCAAAGAAAACTCAATTTTGAAGTTGCAATGATGAAAAAGTTGTCAATGATGAAAAAATAAGAGACACAATGTTTCCCTTGTTAAATTATTCTTATCTAAATCTTGCTTAAGAAAAACACCATATTTAATGTATAGGGTTACTCATAAACCATAAGACTTCAGAGACGACTGTAAAGAAATTCTATTATTTTTTATATTTTAACCTACCTGCCCCTAAAATTTGTTACTTTTATGTCAAGTAATTAAAAAAACCTTGAAGTAAATTTATTCAAGGCAGAACATGAAAGAAAAGTTTTTTTGGTCTTCACTGAAGTAGTTTGTCCTATGTGAGTAAACTTGAATAAAAGAACAGGATTGCACATTTTTGATATTCATAATTGCAGACTTTTTTTTGTCTATATTTGATTAAAAAACTTTTTAAAAAGACGAAGATAAAATCCAATTGAAAATTGACAATATTAATAAAACACCATATAACACCTGAAAATACAGTTTGAGTTTAGTTTGATTTTCCTAAATCTTTTATTTGTGGAACTAAAAGTCCTGCTACTCCAAGTATACCTGCTAAAGCCTAAACAAAAAAAATACATAAAGAAACAAATTTCGGAAATTTTAACATAAAATGTAAAGAACTTTCCATTCTGTTTGTTCCCTAAAATTTAAAAATTAATTTAACTATTTATCAAAAATTCATATTTAAAAAATAAATGCCGTGCATTTTTGTACAATGTAAGTTTTAATTATTCCCATATTAAAAATACCATGGCAAGGCACAAATGAATTAAGTCTTTGTTTCAATAGAGATGGAAAGTCTCACTTTTTGATAAAAGATTGTTGTTTTTAAAGAAAAAAGAAAAAACGAAAACGACGCGATCGTTAAAAAAATAGCGTTTTTTAAAAACATTCGTTTTCAAAAACTCAATTAACTCGTTAACGACCAACATTATTTGTCACGAAAAAAACCTTTTAAAAAACGAAAATGAAGCGATCGTTAAAAAAATAGCGTTTTTTTTAAAAACATTCGTTTTCAAAAACTCAATTAACTCGTTAACGACCAACATTATTTGTCACGAAAAAAACCTTTTAAAATCATAACCTTAGCTTCCTAAAAAAATGAAATTAATTGACATACAATTATTTCAAAAAACACATTTTTTAAAAGCGATCCCTTTTTGTTTTTTGAAAGTTCAAATGAGTGGTTAATTTAAAAAAAGGATTGTTTTTCTAAAAACGGATGATTGTATTTAGAAAAAAAAATAAAAATGAAATGAAAAACGTTTTCTTTGGATTGTTTTTAAAAATAAATAAAAACCCAAATTTGAAATATCAAAGATCTACGACATTGAGCTGTAAAGATACTTATAGGAATAAGACAATCAGAGTTGTGTCAAAGACTCACTTCCTGTGTTTCTGTGACTCAAATTTTTTTGAAAACTAAGATAAATGTATGCACTGTAGAGATGGGCGTGCACTCTAAAACATGCAATTTTGGTCTTTAGCATCAGGCATCAAAGTTCTTCTTTCATATTTCAAATTTCTTATTTCATATACTCAAATTTTGTTGAATATTTTTCCAAAATTACAATCTAACAAAACTTGTTAATAGCTTATACATTGTTCTCTCAGCATGTGTCAAACTTTGTTATATGACATCTTTCTTTTGTCATGTGACAGTTTTCTTTCATTGTAATTAGCCGATATTTTAGTTTGTGTAAGATTAAACAAATTTTGATTTATGATCAATCAAACGTTGAACCATCTGCCGGGCTGGCACGGCTCGCACGGCTGGCTAGGAGGGGGAGAATCAGCTGATTTCTAATTAGTGACAGTTTAGTCTGTTAGCCGATAGCGCTTATACGTTATACCTACGTCAATTTGATCTGGAAATTTGGAGAAATCAAAATGATTTAAAGGGAAACATCCATGAAACTGGAAGAACAAAATTAAAACTTGTTTAAGCCTTTGTACACTCTCTCAAACTAATGCTTAGATTTTCAATGCTTTGCTTGAAAGAGAGTATCAATGCAAAACCAAATCTTCCATAATTCAGACTGCAGAATCTACTTCATACAAGAATCAAATGTTTGAAAAACGTTTTCTTTGGATTGTTTTTAAAAATAAATAAGAACCCAAATTTAAGATATCAAAGATCTAGGACATTGAGCTGTAAAGATACTTATAGGGATAAGACCATCAGAGTTGTGTCAAAGACTCACTTACTGTGTTTCTGTAACTCAAATCTTTTTGAAAACTAAGAAAGATGTTTTTTTCCCCTATCAGTATGCACTGTAGAGATGGGCGTGTTAGGCATCTTTCAATTTTGTCGTTTTTAATTAAAATTAAGTTTGAAAACGAACAATTGAAATATTCAAAAATAATCTATAATTCTGATAGAAAAAAAAATTAAAATGTTCACTGAATGACTAGAAAAAAATACTTAATGGGTTGTTAACAAACGATGAACGACAAAATGTAAAGAAGTCCAAGTCTATACAAGTGCATACTCGTTTATTAGGAGAGATTGTTTGTTCAGTAAAATCGTGCAGACAGTAAAAAATTTCAAAAATCATTTGGTAGGCAAAAAAACGATCGTTTTTAAGTATGTTAGAAAAAATCGTTCAATTGAATGAACAAATTATAAATCATTTGTATATGATATGACTGATCATTAAAATGCTAATGATCATTAACAATTTTAAATCATTTTTTTTCTCATTTGTTTTGAAATAATTTGATACTATTTATATGAACGATCAAGTTTCTTCGTCCATCGTTTTATTTTATTATTTTGTTATATTTTATTAATTTGTCATTCATAACATTTTTTGGCTGTTTTGAAATATGTCGTTTGTTCACGAAAACTATGCCCATCTCTAATACACTATAAATAAATTAGGCAAGGATATATTTAGATGAGAGAGTGCTTAAAGTGTTGCAAAGCAATTGTTTTTGATTTTACTAATTTACTCAGCTTTATTGTATTCCTTAAACTATAAAGCACTTGTTTTTAGCTCTGTATTTGCTAGGAAGTAATTGGCAAAATTCTCATCGTTTTTTGCTTGAGAGCTTCCAACCTTTAAATCACAGTAAGTGATAAGGCTTGTTTACAATGTACAGTGACGTATTAGGAAAGCTATCAAACTGGTTTCATTGTAAACAATCAATACTTGGTAAACCATAATTTTGATGAAAATGAAAATAATAATATAATAGAGATAGACACTTATGGCCTTTTTTATTGGGATTTTGTTCTTTTTTTCAATCGTTAAAAATTTGATTTAGTTCATTCTCAAAATTATTGTTTGTTTCTTTCTATCGTTAATTTAAACCGTTCGCTCAATAAAATTGTTCTTTCAGTAAAAAAAGCGAAAGTTTTTTTAAAGTTTGTTAAAAAAATCGTCCTTTCAAACGTTTTAAATCCTTCATTTTAAATTTTTTTTCTGTCTATTTAATAAACGATATATTTTTATTTCGTTTCTCTTCGCGATCCAAGTGCTTCGTTGAATGTTTGTTCATTGAATGTTTGTTCGTTGACAAAAACGATACCCATCTCTAGTTTACTATATTTGTTATTGTTTACTAATCTAGCTCCTGAGCTTCCCTAATACGTCACAGTAAAATGTAAGCAAATCCGCCTTTACTTATTAGTCCATCGTTACATCGGCCTTAGTTTAACCTGTATTTTTTGTTGATTTATTCTGCCAACTAGCGTACAGTACAGTACAGTACAGTACAGTACAGTACAGTACAGTACTTAGTTTAACCTGTATTTTTTGTTGATTTATTCTGCCAACTAGCGTACAGTACAGTACAGTACAGTACAGTACAGTACAGTACTTAGTTTAACCTGTATTTTTTGTTGATTTATTCTGCCAACTAGCGCTTCATTTTTCAAATAGTTGACAATTCTTTTACCCAAATATTTCTCACTTATACCAGCCATCTTGAATCTTGAATCTTAAATCTTGAATCTAAATAAGTTTAATTATATGTCATGTAACCCCTCAATAAAATAAATAAATTTCTCGGTAAAATCAAAACTTTTAAATCTAAATTTAAAGTTTTGAAAAATGTAAAACCATACACTGTCAAGCTTTTCCGAGGATTATCATTTATCTTGAACATTTGCCCTCCATATATTAATTATATTCCTATTTGCCCTCCATATATTAATTATATTCCTATTTGCCCTCCATATATTAATTATATTCCTATTTGCCCTCCATATATTAATTATATTCCTATTTGCCCTCCATATATTAATTATATTCCTATTTGCCCTCCATATATTAATTATATTCCTATTTGCCCTCCATATATTAATTATATTCCTATTTGCCCTCCATATATTAATTATATTCCTATTTGCCCTCCATATATTAATTATATTCCTATTTCAGGATAAATGCTAGATCACTTAATTAAAGTTATCACTACAAAGGGTCAGAGGTCAGTACTCGGGATCAAGGATCAAGGATTAAGGGATCAATAATTTATCCTCAATCTTAAAAGTGCCCACATTGGGTATCGAAATCAAGGGTTTAAGGTTAACTAAACTTTACACAAAAGTTCTGGATATGACCACCACAGGATATTAAAGAGGAATTAAATTTATCAGTAGGTCTGAATGAGCTCCTAAGATTCACAACTCAAATGTTCTGAAGTTTGATAATAAAATTGAACATAATAAAAACATTTCGAACAACACGTTCTGATTAAAGAGAGTATAATTTTTTTAACAAATAAGTGGATTTTCAACTAAAATATTTGTGATTTTTTTGCAAGAATATTTTATTTCTTAATTATAAAGTAAAATTGCTATTACATGTTTACCACGTAGTTTCCAGAAAATTTGCAAATCTTTATTCATGGTATAAAGTGAAAAACTAATTATTTTTGTTTGTATCCAGAAACTAGTAATCTGTGTAAAATGAACGTCGAATAATATGAGTTTGGTACCTTGAATTTCAAACCTATGTAAAGTTCTATGTATTT